ATCAAATCACACAGGTCTCGTCGGAGAGAAAAATTGCAGTCATAGTATTAGACAGTGAACCCTCCTGCATCATGCATCCATGTGCAATAATCATCTCAATTTTGCACTAATCTTTTGCGCGCATGTGTTGCACTGTTCTTTACTATAGAAAACAAGATCCAGCGAATCATGATCCGCATCATGTTCCTTGTATTCGGTCACATCATTCCGAGATATTGAGATAATGCCAATGTGGCCCCAAGTGCTGCCATCCTTTGATGGTAATTGCCTAATTGATATGTTGATAGCATACTAGCTAGTCCAATATGTTCATCGAAAGATTAACAAACAAACACACAGCACTAATCAACGGCGCATGCGTCGAGTCAAAGAAACGTGCATAAACGACCAACGGCGTCAAAGGTTTCGTGACAAATATCATGATTCATGACCAGTCTGCATGCTTTGCTATAGATCGATGCTGAAGAAAACGACCACCAATATCGAAAGTGACACCTGTGTTTTGCGTGTGCGCGTCTTCATGTGTTAAGAAAAAAGATACTCGTATTTGCGGCCAATTATATTTTTAGTGATAGACGATATACTTGTCGATAATAAGACAGTGATAACTTTATCAATTCCAAAATATATCGATCTACTTTTTTTAAGGTGATCATAGTTGTACCTATGCGTTTGCACGGTATTTTCACGGAGAGAAGCGGATGCTGTCATGTCGTGAAATGCATTCCATCTGCAACATTACTTTCCGTTTCAGGGCCTCGATTAGGCCAGGTTGTGTGTGTGTTCTGTACCGGGCTCAGAGTGTCATGGGCTGGCCTGACCAAGTGTTTCAGGCTGGTCAAGGATGGGCTAATAAAATCCAGCTGAAACCAGATTCGGCCCAGCACATAGCTGGGCCCTTTTTCCTTCCCTACTCCTAGATGTGCAATTGGGCTTTCCGGATGAACTCCTTCACTACTCCCAAGTTTAATTTGCCCTCGAAAGCAGGGGGGACAAAAGCGTCAGTCAATCTCGAGCCCGAGGCCAGCTATTAGGTGGGCCGGGTCGTGGGCCCCGGAAGCGGGGTTTCAAAAGGCGCAGGAAGTACCACTGATGGGTCATGTCACGTGGGCCCGCCAACCGTTAGGCGCCAAAGCAAGCAAAGCCCGGCATGGGTTGTTGGGTTGGATATGATGGCGGCGTACGTTCTCCGCATCGATCCTAGCGGAGTAGATCCTCCGGCCGAGACCAATGTTTTGCTAATGATATGGTCATATCGACCTAATCATTTGAATGCATTTTTGCTAGTCCTATAGTACTAATCCATCTGGTCGACTGTGCTGTGCCACATCGGCAGGAGTCCACGAGATCGATGCATGTGAATGTGATCGACTGTGCTTGTTTGCTTATTACCCGCATCTTAAATTTAAATTTTATAACTTAGTTTTAAGTTGATTTGGAGGGTTTCTTAGCTCTCAAATTGTCGGTAATACAGGTATAAAAGTTTATTAGGTAAATTATTTTGATTGCTTAGGGAGTGTTTGGGAGGAGAGGATTAGAAAATATTGAGAATATACACCAAACAAGGTGAATCATTAGCATAAGATTAATTGAGTATTAATTATTTTAAGCTTGAAACATACTAGTAGATTAATATGAGTTTTAAATAAACTTTCGTAGAGATTTTTTTGTTATGAGAAGACATACTATTTAGTGGTTTGAGAAGCGTACGTGTAAAAAACATTGGATTTCTCCTCTCAACCTGCTTCTGCTGTTCATTTTTCTACTGTTTACGACCTGTACATAAGAGAGGATTACATGCACTTAACTGCAATTTTAAGGTGGTGCACTGAACTAAACAACAACTAGTCGTAGTGCTGATCGAGGGATGAATGGTTCAAACTTGGAGAAGCGAGAAAAGGCTTGCAAATTCCAAAAGATACCTGCCTGGCCGGCCGCTTGCTTCCTCCGTGTTCTCTCTCATGGATCAGTCATCAAAAACTAAAGGACATGAGGCCACCAATCTCTAGGCTTAACTCTGGCCGTGTCGGGACAACTTTTTGAACGACGATCTCCTCGGCCGGATTGGCTGCACTCCCCTCACCACGCAACACACACAGAACTGCACACCCCCTCAAAGCAAGGCTAATAATACAGCTAACATGTTGGTTATAAGTTTTTTTTTAGCCTTCTCTTAGTCTACCTATATAATAGTTAGCTCTTTACAATTAATATAGGATCCACTTGTCTCTCTTAGAAAGTTTATTGGTTCTTGTGTCCAGGCTGGCTATAAGTTTATAGCCCGCTTCTCCTCTCTCTCCTCTCTTCTCTCCTCCATCTCAGCATTTAGCCGGCTTATAGCCTACTATTATACTTGCTCTCATCTTATGCAGAGAAATGCTGCTAGCTAGCTGCAGGCATGTGGCACAATTTAATCGCTTTGTTTACTGAAGATTCATCAGCACGGAGCACAAGGCACACAATCCCTGAATCCCCTGTCATACGTGTAGAGCATTACGCTGATAAATAACAGGCCACACGACAAATCACGCCAGTACGTGTTTGCATGCAGTCTTGCACCAGTAACATATAATCAACCAATAATTAATCATCTAGTATCCGGTTAACATTCACACTACCAGTTTGACTGCCGATAGTTAATTCATCGCTCCACTTGTTTCTAATAATATATTCATGTCACATAAAAAACGAATATAGAATCAGATATAACACATTTTAATACTATAAATCCGGATTGATGTACTCCCTCCATCTAAAAAAAACTTAACCTTACCTCTCTTAGAATAACGAATCTGGATAAAGAGTAGTCTAGATTTATTGTACAATGATGTGTCACGTCTGTTAGTAGGTTGATTTTTAAGGATGGAAGGAGTAAAGCTGATCTCTAAACACAGATTTGATGCAAAATGCAGGCACTGTAGCAGGTCGATCTGCAGGTGGTAATAACCAGCAGTACTACGAGTGATTGCAACAGTGGAGTTGGAGGAGTACTATGATCTGCCACTTGCACGAGCGAGCATTAATCGATCGGCTGGCGCTGCAGGCGTGTCTGAGACGACCGCACGTACTACTACGGCTGGTGCAGACGGATCATGGATGAGTACGTGCGTGTGCAGAGAGTCATGGGGGCCATGCTGCTGCAACGCAACGCAACGCGCATCATCAGCGCATGCATGCAGCGCGCGCGCAGGTGCAGATGCAGTCGTGTCGGCACTGATGGGCTGCAGCAAATGGAATGATGGGCTCCACTCCCTTCTTGGCTTTCTCTGCATGACACATTGCCACCGATCCCTACATCTGCAAGCTTGCTTCTTCCTTAATCGGTCTATAAAACATTAAAACCGACAGGCAGCTAATTCTCTACTCCATTATATATGCTAAATCGTTTTAACTTTTATCATAAGTTAAACTTCTCTAGAGAAAAGAAAAAAAAGGCCTAGAGCTCAGAGTAAGACACGCCAACAGTCCAACATCTTTATAATATAACAAATAAATACACTATTAAAATATTACATCTACCCTTTAATATATGACATCCAACGGTCATACAAAATATGACATATGGAGTAGTATATTTTATGGTAGATTTTGGTAAACTAATTTGATTTTATCGATCGATGTTGTCGTATTTTCATATAAACCCATATATTTGATATCACATTAGGTATGTTCGGTTGCTGATTTCACGGCTGTGCCGTGTTACATGGCAGCCTGCTGAACAGACTCATTAATAATATAAAGCGACTCTCAAGATATAATTATAGGGAAAATGAAGCCAACATAGCAAGCAGGGATGATCTAGTTCGAGTCGATCGACCGGCCGGGCCGGTTGGCCGGTTTTGCCCGGGGTGCTTTTGTGAACGGGCGGACGGCTGAGCTAGAGGTCTCATCATTGGCGTGGCCAACTCATGATCCGTCCATCCATTCCATATATCCATGCAATTATATCTCCACGTCTTTTCTTGAGTTATCCTGCATGCATGCATGCATGGAAACTAGTGGTGGTTACTGGTTGCCACTCTTTACCCTTTTGCTTCTTTTGATCATTTCGCCTTTATTTTTTCTTTTGCACCCTTGTTCTCTCTTCGATCTATACTACTCCTACTCCTTTATTTCTTTCTTGTTTTGATAGAAGTTTTTGCATGCAGCAGCTTGCTGGATTCGATAATGTAGGCAAGGGTTGCGACACGCTTTTCATTTGTGCAAAGGAAAGCAAGGACATGACGTTTTGAGAATATCCACTGTGGCAATGCAAGGAGTAGCTAGCAGCAGTCTTTTTATCTGTTCCCCGTTCCAGCGAATGATCAAGCAATCGCAGAACTGCTGGTGCTGGTACATGCAAAATACTCCGCTATCCGTTTGAACAAATTGAGGTGGTGTTCTTTTCTCATTAAGACGAAAATGAAGATTGGCAGTCTCTTAAATTAATATGATATTTTATAGCAGCTTTCATATAGAAAGTTTTACATAAAACACACCGTTTAGCAGTTTGAAAAACGTGCCACGAAAATCTTAATCTTCATCCAATTTTTATTGGAGAAAAGAACGGGACCTAAACTATAAACACATGTCCTGTTCAGATTCATTGTAATAGATTCCTTTTAAATTGAGTATTTTTTTAAGGAGTATATTGGTAGTGGAGTAGATGACGGGCTGTATGTACTGCGTGTAGCTAGTGACAGGGGATCGGATCATACAGGATCGATCCGGTACGGGAGGAGGAACAGATCGGACTGTGCACCTCGTGATCGGGGAAGTGCGATTCTACTGCACTGCACACAAGAGAGCGAGTAGTGTCTCTGGGCTGGGGTGGGTAGGGTAGCTAACGACCACGTCCCCAGGAGTTGCATGGGAGACTGTTCCCCGTTTCACGTGCCCCTCTCCTCTTTTGACCCCCCCTCGCTGCAGCTGCCCCGCTTCTCTCTCTCTTGACCGCCTGCTGCCTCTGCCACCGCAGCGCTGCGTGCAGACACGCACACGCACGAACACAAAACACACGCGAGACGCCGAGACGGACAGGGAGGCAGACATGCGCGCACACACACCCACCCACCCGCATCGCATCGCATCGCTCCCCGCGCCGGCAACGCAAAATCTCGTCCACTTCTCCCGCAAAACGCCAACCAAACCCAAACCCCACACAGGTGAGCGGCTGAGCGATCGAGTCTCCTCGTTATAATAAGCGGATTTGCCACCGCGTACGCCGCGCCTGCGCTAGCTCACATGCCCCCGCCCGCTTCGCCTCGCCGACCACGGCTCGCGATCGCAGCCAACGAGACAGACGATAGTACCCTCCTCTCGATATCTCTCGCCGATCGATCGATCGATCCACCATTGTTAGGTTGAGATAATGCTGCAGGAGCTGGCGCCGTGCACGTGCGGGATGCTGTACGGCAGCTGCGGCGGCGGGTGCGGTGGCGCCGCCGCGGCGGCGTCGGCGTTCTCGCTGCTGTTCCCCATGGCGGGCGGGCAGTACTACTACAGGCAGTGCGGCGGCGTCGCGGAGGAGGACAGTCGGTCGCCGTACGGCGGCGGCGGTGCGGCGGTGGACTGCACGCTGTCGCTCGGCACGCCGTCCACGCGGCGCGCGGAGGCGGGCGCGTACGGCGGCGGGCTGCAGCCGTGGGACGTGCCGTCGTCGGCGCGCCCTGGCGGCGGCGGCGGCGGCAAGCAGGACGGCGCCGGCGTGGCTCCTTGCAACAAGGAGGCCCCCGCCGCCGGCCGCCTGCCTCGCCGCTGCGCCAACTGCGACACGATGTCGACGCCGCTCTGGCGAAATGGTCCCAGGGGACCCAAGGTACGTACGTACTCCTGCGTGCCATGCCATCTAGGTAGGCAGCAACGTGCACGAACGCCTTTCGTGCAAATCAAGTGCTACTATACAAACGTCACATCACATGAAAAATATTCTTCTGTCGTTGGTTGCAGTCGCTGTGCAACGCGTGCGGGATCCGGTACAAGAAGGAGGAGAGGCGCGCCGCGGCGGCGGTGGCGCCGACGCCGCCGCCGTCGCTGGACACCGGCGCCGGGTACGCGTACTGCTACTCGCGACAGCCGCCGCCGCCACCGGCGCCGCAGTGGGGATGCTACGGCCAGGCCGCGGCGAAGTCGGCGTCGTACGCGATGTTCGACGCGGCGGACGACGGGCCCTGCCTGTCGTGGCGGCTCAACATGATGCCATCCTCGCCGGCGTTCGCCGTCGGCGAGCGGCCCGGCCTGTTCCAATACTATTAGCTTAGCTAGAGACCCTAGATCAGTGTACTACTACTACTACGAACTAATTTTGATCAGTTTAGTTTAGTTTAAGCAATGAGATCGATCGATCGATGACCAGAGTTGTACTGTTTGGAATTAACTAGTTCCACCATTAATTAGTTACTAGCAGCAGTATAATTCCTATTGCTCGCGTGCCAAATTTGTTCTTTATATTTCTTTTGTGATTTAACTAACAGTACTTTCCACTGTGCACTAATCATCGTCATCGTTTGATCCAAAAAGGTAAGTGGATATATATGTGGAGGGATATATGTTTGGGCTTTTGAGATGTGAGGTACCATCGATCAATCATCACGGTTATATGTCTTGGGACCCATATAAGGGTTCTCCTTTTGATCAGAGGCCTACAAGATCTTGTTTGAGCTGTTGCCTAGCTATTTAAATTGACCGAACCACTTTTTTTGGGCAATTAAATTGACCGAACCTTTGATATGCTCGTTGTTTGGTCGTTGGTTTACAAGTAGTACTACCAAACAAAATTTGAATTATTGAAGTTAATTTTAAATTATTGAGTTCTTTTATTTTGGGCATGTTCGGCTGCTGCTTTCATGGCTGCACCACAGCCGGCACGAATAGTCCCGTACTCACTTAGCACATTCGCAGCTACAGCCATTGCAGTCGGCCTGTCGAACACTCCCTTTGTTTTCAGCCTTGGCTTCTAATTAATTAAACCACTAAGACATAAGACTAAAGTTAGAAATACAGAAGTTCTACCGTAAAATCATTTTCCGTTGGCTCCTTTTATTTTTCTAGGGTTTATCAGTCGAACCAACCAATCACACATGCAGACGGAGGACTGGAGGAAGGAGAGTGACAATGGCTAAATGTTGGGTGGGAAACAATGATTATAGAGAAAACGTTGTAGATATGAAAAAAAATGAAATGTTGGATCAGGAGCCAAAGTGAAAAATACTGGATCTCAAATAACTATAGAAATCCATTATCCAAAACTGGGTTAATAATAATACGCGAAATGTGGTATCCCAAACCATATCAGATTTGTTTCTGTGGATCGTCCTGAAATGTCTAAACCTTATCGGGCCCAATTATATGTCATCTCGCAATGAGAGGCCCACCAAGGCAGAACTGACTGACACTGCGTTCCTCGGAGACCTACCTTTGAATCCAGGAACATAGTTCTAAAAAAAAAATACCGGGAACATTTCTACTGTTACAAGTGAAGAAAAATGCTTGTCCAAAGCAGTATCAGACTATCAGTAGAAGACATGGAACTACAGAGCCAAGGATCTTTCACATGTTTAAATGCTCTAATCCATCGATCAGATCACTGTGCCAACTAGTAGTGTTTATATTCTGGAGACCTCAGGACCACTGGTAACAAGTTGCTACCATACCATGAATTGATAGAAACCTCATTCCTTGGCTGAACTCGTTACTCAGCATGACGCAGTGAGAGTCAAACTAGAATGGTTCAAATCATAATCTCAGTAAAAACTTGGTGTTATTTTAGACTTCCCAGAGGGGAATCTGAAGCTTGTTTTGTCCAGGAACCACGTAACACTGAAAAACTAGCTAGCATCCTTGTTTTGTTTCCCGGCAAGAGTTCATTAATTTCTGTATGTATGGACCTTGTATATGTATTTTTTTAATAGAAAATGTCATATCCCTATATCACAGCATCTGTATCTCCGTATCTTACTAGGCAAATTTTGTTTGCTACCATTGATAGCAAATCGAGATTTTGAACCGTTACTATCAAAAACTATGGGTCTTTACCAAATTTTAATAAAGTTATTAAAAAAATAGCTACATTTAGTTTGCTGCCAAAATTTGGTAACTATATAAGAAATCCTGCTAAAATTTTGGCAAGTTGTCAAAATTTTGGTAACTATGTGGTAAGGTTTTTTTGCAACAAACTGAACAGGCCTAGAAAATTAGAAAAAGATCCAAACAGGGAGCTAACTGCAAAAAGCGGGTCAACCGGTCAACTCTGGAAGGAACATATGTACCTGACCGGATTCCACCGCAATAGCGGTGCACCATGGACCAGCCCAAAATGTCCATTAAGAAATTGGGCCTAATTAGCTACTACAGTATATTGATAGGCCCATATAGTACACTCACGTAAGAGGCCATCCCGTTACGGCCCAATGGCACGTACTCTGCTTTCCTGTTCTGGCCCATACCGGCATTGATGACGTCACCATCGTCGTCTTCCTCGGATCAAATTCTTCTTCATCAAGGCTCTGCCTCTGCGCTATGGATCGCCGGCTACCTTCTCCAGAAATTTCTCAGACTATTGAAATTTGACAAGAAAAATATTTTCGAAGGCAAGCAAAGGCGTCAAGAATGCCTGAGAGTATACTCATATTTTACATTGATCATGCTCATGCAGCCGCTCAAGACAAAAAGGAAAAGCAATTAGGATGAGATCACGAGTGTGTCACTGCACAAAAGCCTTTGCAAGTCGATCTGGAATACGTGAAACAATGTTGTACAAGAATATATGAACAGAAAGAATACTTTGCTTTTTGTCCAGTATACTTGACTCGGAACATAGAATACACAAGATTTGCAAATGCGCAAATCAATCCTTCCCTTTGTACTTGAAAAAATGGCCATATTTTCGAAGACCACAAGGCTCAGCGGAAGGACCATTGTATCTCTTCGAGAGTTCTTCCTTTTGTCTCTGGCACCCAAAGGATGACGAACACGAGGGTGAAAGCACTCACGACCATGTAGGACACAAAGGTCCCTGTTGATGTTTAAGAAGATAGCATGAGCGTCAGGTTGGATATTCAGAATTCTACTCTAGTCTCGCTCAACGAAAAGAACAATTCCACTGCAGGAAAGAGAGATCAGAGAAGTAGAAGTATGTACCTCCAGCACTCCAGCTAAGCATCAAGTTTGCTGTCATTGTTATTCCAAAGGATGTAAGCCAGTTGGCGAGCGTCGCAAAGCTTCCTGCGAGACTCTTGATACTAACCGGGAGGATCTGAAAATATACAAGTTGGAAGTGAGTCTTCAGACCATCTGACAAATGCTCCAAAAATCATGGCCATGTGAATGCTCTTCAGCTAAATTCCAAGGCCGTATGATTATGAGCCATGAAGCTATACCTCTGACATTATGATCCATGGAATGGCACCCATACCGAAGGAGAAGGCGATTACAAAAGCCTAAATGAAGTGTACGAGTCAACATTTTCTGTCACAGCTTCCATATTTGTGATGCATATTTTTAGAGAAAACAACATAATGAGGGACATACCACAAGAGCAACCAAGGAGATCATACTTAAGGTGTAGTACATGTGAGAATCTTGTGAAATGCTATCCTGAAACAAATAAATCACAATAACAATATGAAAATATTCAGTGGATTGACAGAAGAGACCTGTGATATATTGCAAAATTCATAAGCCATATATGGAATATTGCATATAGTGCAACAGATGAAACTTTTCCCTTTTCTTTTTTACTGGTAGGAACTTACCTTGAGGAAAAATACAACAGCAACTGCAAGGAGGCTTAGAGTCATCCCAGCAGAAGAGATCTAGAAGTTGAAGCGAGAGCTTTATTATGGTCACAGAATACAGAAAATTAGCATGCTTTAGTTTCAGGAGGAAGAGAATTACGATAAGGAGGATCCGTCGGCCAGCTCTGTCTAATAACCAGGTTGTAACTCCTGTAGCAAGAACCTGACAAGAAATGCCGTGAGCAACTTAAGGACATGTTTACTTGTCTAGTGTGTGGTTTAAGTGATTGCATAGAGACAGGAACGGTATTTATAGTTGCACACCTGGATAGCACCAAGTGCACATGTAGCCAAGTCACTGTTTGTGAGACCTGAAGAAATTTTGCGTGTCACGAAGCCAAATCGGCTAAAATATGACTATGATACAGAGAGACGAAGGAAATTACATATGCATAAACCTATTAGAGGTCCTATCAGGTCAGCGGTCCCAAATTTAGTAGTTTGAAATCTAGTATGCTATTCCTTCTGGGCTAAAGTTTGATGAACAGATGATTACACTGATGGTAATTTAGCAAACACTACCGTTAAAGTTGGCAAGATATCCCAATATATGCATACAATTTACTATGCCTAAAGCCCTAACCAGTGTAATGAAAAGGTTTACTAGCAAAGAAGGAAGCACGACACAACTTACCTGCTGCTTTGAAGATGCTACCTGCATAAAACAATATTCCATTGATTCCACTTAGCTGTTGCAGTACAAGTAGGCCAATTCCTAGCTGCCACAGTTAAAAGTACAATTCCAATTATAAAATTTAGTCCCTATATTTGGTATGGCATAAAAGTACAATACCAATTATAAAGTTAAGGAAATTACTATTAGGGGTGTGCGGTATTTCTTCTGGTTTAATTCTTGAAAACGGATCGTTGTCCTTTTGTTTGCTGACGCTACTGCTCTCTGCATAAAGATGATGCTGTTACTTCCAGAAGCATGTGGTATTGTGGTGCATATATCAGTGTGCTCAATGTTATAACAAGTGCTTACCTTTATATCATTCACTTCCGCGCTGATGTCAGTCTCAAATCCCCTCAGAACTTGTAAAGAAGTCTCAAAATCATCCATCATGTTCATCTTTGCCTAGAGATATATAGAGATAAAAATATGGCTATAAAAAAATGATTCAGATGATGTAATTTCATATCGATTTTTTGCATATACAATAATACATACCAACCATCTTGGGGATTCTGGAATGAAGAATAGGCCAGGTATCAACACAGTGCAAGGCAAGATTCCTACATGCAAAAAAAACACAGATTTGAATAAAAAAACCATTTACTCCTAGTAGACGCATATATGACATCCAAACTATTACTTTAATACTTGTGAAAAAAATATGTGCTGGCTATTGAAAATGACTAACATTCCATCTATGATTCAAATGAAAATATTTGCATGCAATGTTTGTAGGATGTTAGCTATGTTTGTCAACATATTAGTATCATTTGCTGTTAATGAACTTGTGAACTGAAATATCAGAACGCAGACATAAAAAAATGAAAGGAAAAAAAGATCACATTAGCAATACAATCAGAACTTGGTTATATTACCTATTACAGCAAGAAGCCTCCAAGGAACAAACATGCCGAGCAAATATGCCAACAATATACCAACGGTTACAGATAACTGTGTAACAAACAATCACATAAGGTGCTTAAAATAAACAAGAAAAACATAGAAAAGCAATTGTCTTTGTGTCAAAAAGATTATTCCTGTGAAGTAAGGTTACCTGATTCACTGAGCCAAGAGCACCTCTCATGTTTTGAGGTGATATTTCTGCTATGTAAACTGGCACCTGTTATCACATAATACACAGATCAATAGTAAGTCTCTAACATAGCTGGCAATGCAGAGTTTTTCCTCCAAAATATTGACATATCCGTTATTCCTTTTTTTTCTTTTTCTTGAACAAAGAAGTTAAGTACTCAAACTATAAGTGCGCATAAAAAAGGGAGGAAGGAAGTTTTCTCATACAAACCGTATAAGAGATGACACCAACACCAAACCCCTCGAGCAATCGTCCCATATAAAGAAACGATGAGTCCTATAAAGCAAAGGCATCGAGCTTAAATTGTATAAAGCAACAAGGTGGTGAAAGTAAGATTCTGAACCATGTAATGCCATACTTTTGCAAAGGAGATGGCAAGCCAACCAATGATGTTTGGAATTGCAGCAATCATCAATGACTGGAAAATTCACCAAACAATTCAGTTAGCTTAAAAGAGTAGACCATTGAAGTACAACTGACTACTGCAACCATGCCAAAAACAGGACATTAAATAAAATTACCCTAAAGTATGTTTATCTACTGTAAGTCATGCCAGAACACGAGCATGAAAAATACTTCATCCATACATTTTCGTCTATACCGATTTCTTGAGTACCATATGTTCATATCTGTATGAAACAGAAGTATGCAACTACCAAACTCATGAACAGACATAATGTCAAACCCCCAAAAAGCCATCCTAGCAATTCGGTAGCTCAATAATCTACTGAAGAATGATCAACATTTATTTCCAGAAAGTTCCATCCGTTTTGCCCACATTTGTATTACTTAAAAACTAAAATAATAATTTTTTATTTGTACTAATTACATAAAACTCTCCCAGCACAGCAGGTGACGTTGACCGAGACCACCATTATTGTCCTTTAGAAAGAGACTGGTAACCCTACGAAAGCGCAACTAATAACTGCATACGATGTGTACCCAAAAAAAGAAAAAAAATTCTCACCCCTTTGCGCCCAATGTACTCGGCCATCTGACCACTGGCAATCGCCCCAACCATGGCGCCGACGTTGGACAGCGATCCGAACACCGAGAACTGCAGCAGCAGCGCGTCGTTCAGATTCGGGACAAAAAAAAAGGGGGGGGGGGGTAATGGGAAGAACCGAAGAAGAAGAAGAAGAAGCGGGCAGCAACCTCGGAGAGGGTGAGGTCGAGGTCTCGGATGATGGCGTCCTGCGTCGGGGAGGAGAAGCCCCCCGTGAATCCGAACTGGATGGGGCCGAGCGCGACGATGAGCGTGCAGAGGAAGGCGGAGACGTGGGACTCGCGTAGGATGGCCATGGACGAGGTCCCCGCGCCGGTGAGGCTCCCCTGCCGCGACCCCATCCTGTACCAGCTCCCCGTGTGCATCAGCAGCGGCTTCCGCATGCCGCCGCCGCTCTCGTAGTCGCTTCCGCTCTCATCGCCGACGCCGACGCCGCCGCCCCTGTTCATGGCGCCGCCCTCCCGATCTCTACTTCGCCGGCAATGGTTGGATTCCCGAGGCGAGACGAGATCTCTTTACGAGTTACGAGAGAGAGGACGAGATGAATTGGAAGGAGGAAGAGGCGACGAGACGAGGAGACGCGACCCCTTTTTTTTTCCGTTGAAGCGGGGGAGAGTTGGGGGGATCGCGTCGTGTGTGTGTCTACCTGTCTCTTGGCTTGACCGGTTGGCAGGTGGGGCCCACCTGTCAGTCACCGACGGGAGAAGATTTCGTTTGGTCCGGGATGGAAAAAGGGGCCCACCTCTGTTTGATAGGAGGAATATTTGGAAATAAAAAATAATTTGTGAATAAAACTTTTATATACGTATTCTTAACGATTTAAAAGCAAATGTTAAAATATAAACTACGCTGAAAAAACTCCAAAATTAACTTTAAATTTAAAGTTGAAAAATCAAAATTTAGCTATAAACATAAGTATAAGCAAAAGATAAATTTTAAGGGATTTCATTATTTTCACGGTTTGAACAAAGAATTTGGTGGATAGTCTTCCTAAAGGTTTTTGATTCCTTCCATGCACTTTTTCCCCAATTTTATAGGAAAGCAAATATTTGCTAAATTTTGTTGGAAACTTGCCTACGGGTATGTTCGTTTTAAAGCAGCTGCAGTTTGACTAATGAATCCTTTCTTCCAAACATCCCATATTATATTTTTCATGTGTTTTTCATTTCGCTGGTTAACACAAGCATTCTTGTGTTCTATTTTTCTAGGTTTTTATTCCTGTGTGTAATAAATGGGGCCTCATTTTTCTTTGCCATAAACTACCAAAAAAGAGTAATCATCCAGAAATCATACATAATCAATTAAAATTGTATTTCTTGGACTGTTTTATGGCATAAATACTAAAAACGTTAATAAGTTCGTGCTCAGATGTACTAGTGTGCACAAGTGCACAACATGTCCAGACAACGACGTGTACTGCTTTTTTTAACGCAAAAACTAATCGGCGAGGCCTCTCGATATTGTGTTATCCCGCGATGCCAACCATAGAAGCCGTGGAGAAGCCGGCGCACATGCATGCCTTTTTTTTCTATTACACATGCATGTTTTTCCCCTTCTTACAAAGTTTTCTCTCAAATTACTTATCCGATCTATAATCCGATTATACCATTGTGTTCGTTGCAATTAAATCTTCAAAACAAGATCTTACATGATTATACTACGATAAAAAAATATTTATACTTGTAAATTACTTTTATTATATACTTAAGTTACTTTTATCATATATATAAGTTACTTTTAGATTTGACTAAATTACTTTTTATATATTCATAATGCTTTAAGTCGATTATGTTTATTATAGTTTTTAGTCAATTCTATAATTTATGGACTTTAAATTTAATTTTTAGATACAAAATATTTTTCTCTCGAATTTACTTCTAATGTTGTAACAACTTACTTCTATTTTGTGCTAACTTACTTCTATTGCATAGCTAAGTTATATCTATTGCATAGCTAAGTTACTACTACAATTTAAATAAATTACTTTTAAATTAATAAAATATTTGAATATATTCAATATGGATATTGTTTTGTCTCATATTTTATGTAGAGTACAATGATATAAATAGATCATGAAAATAATACGTGATTTAAAAGATATAAGTTATTAAAGAGCTTAAATCTAAAAGTGATTTATGTATAGGACAAAAGTAACTTACATATATAATAAAAGTAATTTGCAACATAGATATTTTTTATCAGAATATAATCGTGTAAGATCTTGTTATAAAGATTTAATTGCAACAACCATAATGGTGTAATCGGATTATAGATCGGATAAGTAATTTAGGAGAAAATTCTCTAGGAAGGAAAAAAAAGGCTTGTATAACTGTTGTTTTTTTTTTAAGAGAAGGACGTCGCTGGTTAGTGATATGCCATTAGCGCGCGCGATCTAGCCGTGTCCCTTTTTTAATTTCTTCTGATCTCATTAGGATCATCCCAATCATTTTCACGAGCTAAGCTGGATAAGATCGTGATGACGAGGAAAGCGATTGCTTGCTGAATGAACAACGACCATTTGAAAAGGGCCGGAGATTTCAAACCACCCCGTTTCTCCAAAAAAAATTTGAACGAATTTTATGGAAACCGAACTAAAATTTAATCACGCAGAAGGCGTAGTCTGCTGGAAATAGATGGCGTGGCGTGGTAGCTGGCTACTTGCTTGCTCAAAGCCACGTCATACGGCAACATTTTCTGGCTGTCGTGCTTCTCGTGGACACTATAATATAATGATGCTCCCAGCTGAAAGAAACAAACATGTTCCAGTTTGCAGACATGATGCCAATGGACATGTGCAGATCATGGCAAAATTCCTAATCACAGCTTTGATAGGGATGCATCACCGGCCAAAAACGGCAGAAATCTGTCTTAGTACATGACAGATATTCAACCAGCAATGTCTGCATTTCTTTAAGGAATAAGGGGAGTAAATATATTCATTTATCACCAAATAAGTGTCTCTGAACTCTGAATTTCTGATGAAGGTGCCAAATAACTGTGGAAATATCGGCAGATAGCTGAACTTCAGAACAGAAGTATTTCCAAAACAGTCAGGGATTCAAATTGCTCATTTATGCATCTTTTTATTATATAACGTCGAAGACAAGTAGGAAGCAATTTGATTTGAGCCACTGCACTGGCATTTACAAGCCAATTGGGCATAACTGAATTAAAATTACACAAGAATATACAAAAAAAATGAACTGAATAAAAATGCTTGGCCTTCAACCAGTAATCGACTTGGTAAAAGAAAAGCCAAGGTTCCTAATTGTATAAGTAAATCCTTTCCTTGTACTCAACTGGAGTATCCACTGGATGCAACGAGAAACTCAAAATTTAGCAGAACGAAAACTGTATCTCCTCCAGAGTTCTTCCCTTTGTCTCTGGCACCCAAAATATGACGAACACGAGAGTGAAAGCACTCACAATCATGTAGGACAAAAATGTTCCTGTTGAAATTAAAATAAAATATTTAACTTTTATCAGGTAAATCAGTTCAGAATTTTATTCTTGGTAACAGAGGATTTTTATAGAAATACGGACCTCCAGCACTCCAGCTGAGTAACAAATTTGCTGTCATTGTTATTGCCCAGGATGTAAGCATGTTGGCAAGTGTCGCAAAGCTTCCCCCAAGACTCTTGATGCTAACTGGGAGGATCTAAGAACAAACAAAGATTTAACTGAAATCTTTAGATTACTTAAGCTGATGCCTGAGATACTTGCAACAAAATGGTGGATGTGTCAATGCTCTAAAAATACTAACATCATTGTGAGCTATGGGGCAAAGCATTATACCTCAGACATCATGACCCATGGAATGGCACCCATGCCGAAGGAAAAGGTGATGATATAAGCCTGAAGTAAGTGACCGAGGTAAATTTTCCGGCAGAGGTTTTGGAGCAATTTTCAAAAGAAATGGTTTAACTGACAGACATACCACAAGAGCAACCAAGGAGATCATACTTAAGATGTAGAACGAATGAGAATCATGTGAAATATTACCCTGAAACAAATAATCATTGTAGTAATATTGAAATATTGAGTGAACTGAGGAGAAAGGGGAAGAGTCCATGCGACAATGTAGGCTATCAAAGAGACTGCAACATATGATTTTTTTTATCACAATGGTATACTGGAAAAAATCTGAATGTACCTCCAGAAAAAATACAACAGATACTGCAAGAAGGCTTAGAGTCATCCCAGCAGTAGAGATCTGCAATTTTAAGTGAGTCACTATGTTATTGTTACAGACAACTAACAAAAAGGTGATTTCATTGGGAAGAGGAAATTACAATAAGGAGCATCCGTCGACCAGCTCTGTCCAGTAACCATGTTGTAACTCCAGTGGCAAGAACCTAATGTAATCCAACGATTTCTGTAAGCAACTTGATATAAGTTACAGAGATGAGATCAGGATATTCCTAATCACTTACCTGAATTGCTCCTAGTGCACATGTGGCCAAGTCACTGTTTGTAAACCCTGAAGTTCTTTGCGTGTTAAGATTACAAGCCAAAATTTACTACAACGTGACTGTAGTACTAAGGACCTATAAGAGATATCCACAACTTACCTGCATCTCTGAAGATTCTACTTGCATAAAACAGAATACCATTTATTCCACTTAGATTCTGAAGTACAAGAAGGCCAGTTCCTATCTGTCAACATAAAGCGTAGTTACCATTACAAAACATGATTAATGACTTTGGTATAAACTGAACAAAAGGGGTATGTAAGTTACCAGTAAGGGAGTGCGGTATTTCTTTTGGTTCAACTCTTTAAAACGGACTGTGGTTCTTTTGTTTGCCGATGCTACTGCTCTCTGCATAACAGGGATTTGAACCATATTAGTCTTCCAGAAAAATGAAAGTACATATCTCCCAAGTGTTGTGTTAGTGAAAATCTTACTAAGATGAAATCACGCGAAACCGCAAATAACTTGTAGTCAGTTAATCAAGAAAAATAAAATTGCTTGCCTTTATATCATTCACTTCTGCAGTAATATCAGTCTCAAACCCCCTCAAAACTTGTAGAGAAGCCTCAAAATCATCCATCATTTTCATTTTTGCCTGCATATAGATGTAGGAAAGTGCTTGCTACAGATTTCAGATTTGTGATACAATATCCAACTTAGGTGTATAACATACCAGCCATCTTGGGGATTCCGGAATGAAGAATAGACCAGGTATTAACAATGTACATGGGATGCTTCCTACAAGCATGGCAACCCAGATATTTGAATCAGAATCAGAGGTACCAGACATTTAACGCACATACAAATTGCAATAAGTCCAAAAGGTACTAGCAAATATCAAAAGTTAAAAATTCATTATTATTTATTACATATCCCTAAATAGAAAACATTCAGACATCAGGTATTGATTTGTACCTATCACTGCAAGCAGCCTCCAAGGAACAAACATGCCTAGCAAATAGGCCAACAAGATACCAATGGTAACGGACAACTACATAATGAAAAACTGCATGGTAAGTCCAACATAAACAAACCATAAATTTCCCTCGCATAAGATAAGATGCTTCTGACGATAAGCACACCTGGTTCACGGAGCCAAGTGCTCCTCTTGTGTTCTGATGAGATATCTCTGCTATGTATACTGGCACCTGGTACGATATAATTCACACATTAAGGGTTTATACATGCACTAACTATTAACTGATCCAAAGTTCTTCTGGCAACAAAAATGTAAAAAAGCTTCATTAGCAAAGGATGCTCTGCCTCATTCTACAGGCATCTCAGTCTCAGTCAGATAAGTACTCAAGCAGTGAAGCCACAGAACATTCTAAGCAGCAAATAAACATGAAATGAAGTTGGTAAATACAGACCGTATATGATATAACACCAACACCAAAACCTTCAAGCAAGCGTCCCATGTATAAAAATGACGCGTCCTGAAAAACAAAGATCGGCAAGAATGAAACTAGTGAAAAAGAGCAAACAGAGAAAAATAAGCTTGAGAAATATGTGACACGTACTTTTGCAAAGGAGATGGCAAGCCAACCAATGATGTTAGGAACCGCCGCAATTATCAACGACTGGAGATTCAATCAGCAAGACCATTAGAGTAAAATAATAGAGCTTCACTGTAGTTAACTACTGATCTGATTAAGTGATTATGAAGTATGAACCAAAGAAAATGTCACAAAAACTTCATCTACACATTTTCTGTCATACTAACTCCTCTTTTGCCAGATCAATGGCAATCACAACTAAAGAACTCGTCAACTTTGAAATTAAGGTCAAACCCCAATAGTATAGCTAACTGAACCTGAAATTTTGGGTTTCATATTTTCACAAGCTACAGTTCACAGGAAATGACCAGCATTTCTAATCCCACTCACTTTCTTTAATGGCAAATTATTGGTGTTACCGGAAATCATACAACAGTGACGTATTGACCTTGTCAACTATCAAAGTATCAATTGTTCGTCGTCGAGATACAGGATGGCCTTCTAGTGGAAGAACAGATAAGGACCAAATGAAGCACAAATTCTCACCCCTTTCCGGCCAATGTACTCCGCCATCTGCCCACTGGCGATCGCTCCGACCATGGCGCCGACGTTGGACAGCGAACCGAAAGCCGAGAACTGCATCAGAAAGATAAAACTTCACACTACAAGAAACGCAATAAGCAAGAGGAAGCAGCAAAAGCACGCAAGATCGCAGCTGGAACGGGCACGGGACCTCGGAGATGGAGAGCTTGAGGTCGCGGATGATGGCGTCCTGGGTGGGTGAGGAGAAGCCGCTGGTGAATCCGAATTGGATGGGGCCGAGCGCGACGATGAGCGTGCAGAGGAAGGCGGAGACGTGGGACTCCCGGATGGCGGCCATGGAGGAGGCGGCGAGGCTGGACCGCGATCCCATCCTGTACCAGCTCCCCGTGTTCAGCAGCGGCTTCCGCAAGCCGCCGCCGCTGCCGCCGTCCTGGTCGCTGCCGCTCTCGTCGGCGCACGACGCACCTCCCCGCCTGCTCCCGCCGCCGTTCATCGCGCCCGCTCGCTCGCTCGCCTCGGCTCCGCCGCGGCGCCGCTCAACCGGAGAAATGGATGAGAGAGAGGGAGTAGAAAAGAGGAAACTTTTTTCCGTTGAAATGGGGGGAGAGTTCCTGACCGTGTTCGTTGGTCTCCTGTGGGGCCCACTGTCAGTGACACATAAGGAGGCTACTCTGATTTTGTCTGAACTGAAACAGAAATAGAACATAGGCTTCTTCTTTTTCTGTAACTGTTGCATGTGGACCATTTTGTCATTCACCCTGATCCGACCACCTGTACTACATATATGTACAAACAATCAGTTCATTCTAGTTAAGCTCATGACCTTTCTATTATTATCTTTGAACACATTAATTTCTAATAATTTATAATTAGATTGGACATAACTACGAATCTAGATAAGCTTTTGTTCAGATTCATAGTAATAAGATGTGTCCAATCTAATATTAGGTTTTTATCCAGATTCATAATATCGAGATATATCTAATCCAATTCTAGATTGATATAGCTATTACTTTCTTCTATACCATTCTCTTTTTTTGGGCTTGAAATAAACAAACATGGAATGCACAGTTGCACACCATATGCTGTTGTAAGTACAGATCATCATCATATCTTGCTGCTTTGCCTCGTGGTCGTTGGCTAGTTGCTTCCATGCATTCTGGTTGTCTGTGGCGAGAGCATGCTGCGATGCTGCTCCTGGACTGGAACCCAGCTGGACGAACACGAGGTCTCAACTTGCAGCTGTAATGCTGACAAGAAACATGCACTCAGCGTGGCAAAAATCCAACAAACTTTAGCTTCACTACTACCAAGCTGCCGATGGGTGGCAGAAGGGTCGCCAGATCCGAAGTGAGCAACAGGAATACTATGTTCAATTTGAATCCGGATGCTTTTCTCAGTTTCATGTGTAGTGTAATCACTAATCAGTTGGTAAAACCGAAAATCGCCTTGCTGAAACATAGAACGGTTATCATAAGTTGTCAGCTGTCTGGTTGCCAATGAAAGACCAAAGCAATGATCACATCTGAGATCTGCATCCAGAGTAAATTTTAGATGCCACTAGAAAACCAGCAGAATGAAACTGAATACTCCATCTGTTTATAAATATTTAACGTTATTGATTTTTTAAAATATGTTTGACCGTTCGTCTTATTAAAAAAATTAAATAATTATTGATTTTTTTTCTACCATTTGATTCATTGTTAAATATACTTATATGTATACATATAATTTTACATATTTTATAAAAGTTTTTGAATAAGACGAAATGTCAAATATGTTCTAAACAAATTTTTAAATAAGATAAGGTTCACTTGTTACCATCAGATAACAGTAGAAATATATGCTCATGCAACTATGCGAGTGGATTCGCCGCTGTCTCCGTCACCGCCTCACCGGCGAGGCCACCATCTCGCCGCCGATCTCATCTAGCGCAGGTTTCCCTGAATCCCGTCGCGAGATGGGGGCCGCCCGATGAAGCCTAAACGGCGGATGCGAATCGGAGTAAAGATTTTGCTTAGGCATTTCTCCATCAAATGGTAGGACCCACCTAGCAGTGACACTGACGGCTAACCTTTTTGGTACGTACTCCCGTTCCGAGTTACGGGCCGTTGCTTAGCCTTTTTATGGGCCCAGATCACGGCCCGTCACGCGAGGAGGACGGGTGGGCCCACGCGAGTGATAAATGGGCCTCAAGGGACCACCCGACAAAACGGCCAACTGCTTCCCTCCACGGTCCAGTAATCCACGCCGTCTCGTCTCCAACACCCAACCTTTGCAATGGTCAAGACCAGAGCGGCGGCGACTCCCCGCCCCTCCGGCGGCGGCGGCGGCGCAGGCGCAGCGGACATCACCGCCGGTAAGATCTCCTTCCGCTCCCGCAAGATCGTCAAGAGCACACCCGCCAAAGGGAAATCCGTCGCCACAACAACAACAGCCGTACTATCGCCACCGCCGCTGTCCTCGCCGGGGGAGCTCGCGGCGGCGCTCTCGCACCTCCGCACCGCGGACCCGCTCCTCTCCGAGGTCATCTCCTCCACCGGCGCCCCGGCCTTCATCTCGTCCCCTTCCCGCCCCGCCTTCCACTCCCTCGCGCACTCCATCCTCCACCAGCAGCTCGCTCCCTCCGCCGCCGCCGCCATCTACGCTCGCTTCCTCGCGCTCATCCCCGCCGCCGCTGATCCCGATGCCGCGGTGGTCAACCCCGCTGCGGTGCTCGCCCTCTCCGCCGCCGACCTCCGCGCCATCGGCGTCTCCGCCCGCAAGGCGGCCTACCTCCACGACCTCGCCGGCAGGTTCGCGGCCGGGGAGCTCTCGGAGTCCGCCGTGGCCGCAATGGACGAGGCGGCGCTCCTCGCGGAGCTCACCAAGGTGAAGGGCGTCGGCGAGTGGACGGTCCACATGTTCATGATCTTCTCGCTGCACCGCCCCGATGTGCTGCCATCCGGCGACCTCGGCGTGCGCAAGGGCGTGCAGGAGCTGTACGGGCTGCCGGCGCTGCCGAAGCCGGAGGAGATGGCGGCGCTGTGTGAGCGGTGGAGGCCGTACCGGTCGGTGGGCGCGTGGTACATGTGGCGCCTCATGGAGAGCAAGGGCGCCGCGGCCAAGAAGGCGAAGAGCAATGCCATTGCCACTTTGCCATCGAGTTGCTAGGTATGTACTGTACCATGTAATTTGTTGATGGTGTGCCTCAGAATTGTTGTCCCCAAGCTGTCAAATTTAGATGGCAGTGTGTTAGATTCTACTTACCCGGATTAGTGTAGTGCTGCGTGTGTGTGTGACTATGCTCACACTATGGTTCTTGCAAAGTTGCAATCGGAATTCTGAATATGCTCAAATTGAATGTTACTACTTTTGCATTATTGTATCTTCGTTTGGTATGTGAGCTCTGGTAAATTTGTAGGCCAGTTTTGTGTTACTAATTACAAATGATATTGGTACTGCTGTCTGCTGATACTGTGATCAAGATGGCAAATTTTGTGGTCAGAAATGGTATGAGATATCGTCGTCTCGGCAGAGACCAGTGGATGCAAACCCTTGTTCAGTAGTTATAGTAGTTGAGTATACAGTCAGCAGAAACATGACAAGAATGTTTTCAGAAATGTTTGTTTCTAGCTAGTCCTGTGAGTTTGTAACTACCGTTCTTGATTCTACCCTACAGTAATGAGTGATTCTTAACAGTGAACATTGGTGGGCTTGGATGTAGATCATTCTGGCATTAGGTTCTTTCTGTTGTTCTTGAAGACAATTCAGTGACTTCTCCTTTTTGAGACCGACATTTGAAAACGAAAGCAGTGGTGGCAATGATTCTGTATTTCTTTAACGTTTTAAAGCTCAGAAATTTAAGATTGAACATAGCGTCCATCAAATTTAGTGATTTGGGGCAACAGAATGCAATCGAACATAACATTTTATAATTGGACAAACACATGAGTTTACATCACAATGTTACTTCATAATTTAGTTCACAGAGTTAATGAATACTGCAGTTGACGAATGTAGACGAGAATCTACAACAGCATGGGGACTTAACCTTGCTCATAACCCAATACTATATGCATACACACCCCTTCTCTTCCTTTATTCTCTAAGCAATGCTGGATTACTTAATTTGGTTCCTCCTAGAGCAAGTCTTTCTTAGGGATCTAGTTTATACAACTTCATCTTCTGTCTATCGGAGCTTCCAATGGTTCATCCTGGGAAAAAGGAAAAATATAATGTACTGTAAGTTTATCGGAGCTCAAAAAACTTTACTCAGATGAACTATATATTGCTTTTGGATGCCTGATAGGAGAGAGCTGCTTCTTTTCTCTCTTTTGGTTGCTTTGTTCAACTAGACATCAAGTTAGGCTGATAGGTACGGAAAGAGTTTGGAACTCAACCAAGACTAGCAAAATAGACCTAGTACTTTCGCTTTTTTTAAACTTGTATGATGTACTTTTGTTGATCTCATTGCAAACTCTAGCTTGCAACCAGCTGCCTTTTATATTTGTAAAGTGTTGCGATTGCAAAATTGCCAACTCAAAAAGAAAACAAAACAACAAGAACAAGAACCCACTCAAAGCATACCCACCAGCACCCTCTCAAAAAGCATGGGAGATCAACCTTTTGGCACTTAGCTGTGACTTGTAAAGGACTATGAGAAGTGCATGTCGGCTGTAAGCTGGAAGCACGAGGTAGACTGTACTTCTCTAAGACCAAAGCTTTTCTTTTGGAAGGTATTATTCTGATAGCGCTAGGATTAGATCCCACGTGATTAGAGGGCGTCAGATTACAAAGACACTCATAAATTACTGACTCTTTGTCTAAGTATGCTTATGATGCCAGTCATGCATGGTGGCAACATGGAAAGAATATAAAGTACTAAACCCTGCATGTTGTATCTTCAAGTTAAACCATGAACCATCTATAAACAGCCAAATATACATGGTCTATTCTTCATCATTGCATTTAGTAAGCTTGTAAACAATCACTGACTTAGTTATGACTACCATGCTTCTACTCGACTGTAATTCTGAAAACTTATTGGAGGCAAGTTATCTTTTTTCTTTTTTGCAGCTCAGGTTTGGTTGAGAGGTGGCATGCATGGTTTTTTTTTTTTTTTTTTTTTACCTCAGGTCCAGTATCCCTGCGTCTTGTACTTGGGGAACTGCACTCGCCCGGACTCGATCGTCTTGACGTCATCGGTGAGGTCTTCGTAGTGGCAGCGGATCTCCTCAGCGGACTTGATGCCTCCCATGGCGCTGGCCACCTTGTCCCACCGGTTGGGCGTGTCCTCGCCGTAGTAGGCGAGCGCCTCCTCGAACATCTTGTTCTCCTTCCTGCTCCACTCAGACTTCGAGTTGGGGGAGGAGCTCCGGGACCCAGACATCTTCAAGAGTGGCCTTGGTAAGACACTGAACTACTGAAAGCTCTAATGCTAAAGATCTTGCTGTGTCTTAGCTCTGAATGTTCTTGCTCTTTCAGAAGCTCTGGTGGTTTGTGCTTTCAGTGTTGCAAGGTCGGCTATTTATAGGGCCTGGGGCCTTGGGTGCTGTTGTGTGTATGAGCTGTAAGCTGTATGGAATAATGGCTGTGCATTAAAGGTGGCCGAGGAGAATAAGGTTCGCAGATTTTGGAGCAAAGGGACACAGACAGCGTGTGATGGAAAATGCCAATTACAGCAGTTGATAGTATTGGCTGTGTTCTATAGCAGCCTAATCTCCCGGCAAAAAAAATAGCAGCCTAATCGATCGAGACTATGGTGCATGATGCCTAACATGGTAACTTTGATGAGCTTCTGGTAAAGATTACATCTTGATGTTAGTGTGGCTCATGGCTGCACATTGGCATGCCTGAACATTGAAAATTTTTGTGGTGAACTTTCTGGTGCTGAAGATAGAAGTTAAATATTCTGGAGCTGCAGTATATGTGTCACTCAGCTGAGAAGGAGCTGACCTGGCATGTAGCTGGGCATCCCGATGTCTCAATCCTTATACTGACAAACGCCGATCGTTTTTGTTTTTTGCATGCAGCTGCTTCTCTCGGATCCATGCGCCGAGCGTTCCAGTCATCGAGGCATCATGCTGCATGCAGAGCTAACAACTGTTCATCACTACTATGCACGCATGGCATGGAGTGCATCTTTCGACAGCAACACAGCACTTGGATGTGCCATTTTGTCATAGTATCCCCCAAGCATTAGCATGGTGAAATTGCCTCATGTTCTTTACACTTTCTGAGAAGAAGACAAAGCAATATCTTGTGCTGAGCACGCGCAGGCGCGTTTGCATTCAATGGAAGGTAAAGGTGGCCAGACTTTACCACAACCTATCAGTGAAAAAAGTGAGATATAAATTCCCATGTTTGGTTCGTTTTCTGATCAAGCTTCCATTCTCCAGTTTTGTCCTGTGTTTGCTCGAACTGGAGCACTGAAGCAACGGTGAAGCTAAAAACAGCATCAGAAAGAGGCAGAGAAAAGAAAGGGGGTAACATCAAAGTGATCAGATCTAAAGGATAGTAACATCAAGGTAAAGCGCCAACGAATCTATGGATCCATCAAGATTTTATCACGTAGCTGTTTTGTCATCCTGCAGAGATCGCACAGTCATCCGGATACATGCGTCTTTGCCATGAATTCCTTCCTGCTTAGCAAGCAGCTGGCCTTGCTCTCCAAGTATAAGCTTATGAAGCCTTCAGTGATCTTGTATATCTTGCTTTGTCTCCCCTCTAAGTAGCAGCTTGCCTACCAAGCTAGTCTAATTCCAGTGTTTAACTTCTGTTTTATGCACACTGACAGCTTGGTTTGCAAACAATTTAGCCTAACCTTTTGTGCAGCTGAAGTTGTTTTTGTCTGGGCTACAGGCATGGCCCATGCATGCATGAAAGATCGGAAGAATATGTGCCAAAGCAAAGGCTTTCTTGAGCATCACCCCTGGACCTAGTAGTTGCCATTATCAGTCTATTACCTGTAGGCTGTTGCCATGGCCTTGGAAGGAAGAGGGGGGGACTACAGTACTACATCTGCATATGTTCTATGGTCCATGTAAAACATGCATGCTATCTTGTCCTTAAACACTTTGTTTCATTAATAAACCCTATTTCTGAATCATGGTTATGTCATGCATACAGAATTCTGGCGTGGCAGCATGGAATCCATGGATGCTGCTGACATCACGAATGAAAGCATCTCTGTGAATGGTGATGTGTCAGCCATCAGCCTGACATGGTGCAGTGCAGGTTCGATCGATGCATGAGAGCAGAGGCTGCAGATGCAGAGCAGTGAGCTTGTAACGTGTGAGCATCAACCAATAGGCTGTGCCTGTGCCCTGCAAGGTGCGCCGAAGGTGTGCTTCTTCAGAATTCAGAACTGCAAAGGTGCGCAAACCGAACCCATTATTCAGTGTTCTTTTTTTTCTTTGAAAGATCTATGATCCTGTTATTCCAATCCTTGATATGATAGGCTGATAGCCTATAAATCCAGTGGTGGATCCAGAAAAAATTAGAGCCCGGACATACCTAACTATAGCTAATATTTGCTGTGGAAATGGTATCCCAATCCTTGAAAAACATGCAAAAAATTCAGTAGAACATTCGCTGACGAGGCTGGGCAGCCGCCCATGGTGGCTAGGCGGTGAATCTGCTGGTGTATGAATCCACCTCACAAATCTCTCTCAACATGGTGCCGAATTTCTAATTGTGGTTCAGAAGGTATTAGAAACAATTGCTCATGCATGCACTGTTTGGATATGTAATTCGTTGGAGAATAGCAGGATGTGGGCTAAGAACATCCATTCTTTACAATGGACGCGTTTTGCGCGATCCCAGCCAGCCATCCACTTTACTGCTACTATCCAAAGAACATATTCCAAAGGAAGATAAGCAGCCAGTGAAGTGGAAAATACCCTTTGGGGACCCAAAGAATATATATCTATGTGTGTATCTTTTCCATCTCCAATGACTCTGGAAAGTGAATTTGACGACATGCCATCTTGTTCCTGGCTTGCCGTTTGCTCATAGGGTCATGGAATTTGCATCGTATTTCTGTATTTTTTTTTCTTTTCCCCCTGTTTATGAAGATCTGATTTGGGCCTGATTGACCTTTCCAAAGGCCTGGCATGGCATTTCTCGTGATGAACTGTGTCGTGTAGGATCCTGGTCCATCGGATGCAAATGGCCATTGGAGAGCAGCAAGTGCTTGCAAGCAGCATCTTTGATTCCTTCCTGCAGCATGGACCAGGCCACCGGAGATCTCTCTCTGGGAATCATATCTGCATAAAGCCATCGGAAAGATGCAGGATTCCCTCTGATATTTTGAACCATCCGAGCAAATGCTTTCTGGGAGATGCTGGCTAGTGAATTGACATGCTGTGCAAAGCTTTTCTCATGCATTCTGGAAGGATTTCTGCTGATTTTGGATTTGCAGCCTGAGTTCTCGTTTGCTTTTCATGTTGGTCCAAAGTCCAAACTGTGCTTATCATTGTCAATCTGTCACGCATGAGGGTTGAAATAATTCAACTGATCTAGTTTTTTCTTTTAAAAAGAAAAAGAACAAACATTTCAATTGGGAAATTGTTTATTAGCATCAAGCAGAATTGCAGATTCTGGATTGACTACAGTATTGCCTTCAGATGAAAAGGGACAGAAAAGAAGGCATATCTGCGCAGATTACATTATCCTGTACCGTCTGCTTTTGATCTACAGAGATGTTTGGTTCTTGGAATTCCTTGCCTGACGTTGAAACTTCAGAAGATGCACCAGCCTGAATAACACGGTCAACTTCTCCCTTAATCATAGTATTAAACCCCTTAAACATTGCAGCATCTTCAGTATCTGCCAAATAGTGCTAACTAAAATGCATTTTAATCCCCAAATTAAACAAACACCTGAGACATTATTATTCCCTGAGCTGTGAGCCATCATTAGTCGGTATCATACTATCATTCCTGCCAGCCACTTGATCCTAATCGTCAAGTAGCAGCTCACTAGTATTATTCTTGCTCTAATCGTCAAGTAGCAGCTCGGGATTCAGCTCAGTGGCCGTCACTGCGACGGCCGGATTCCAAATCTTTGCAGCGCAAAGCTGGGGATTCGGATTCGATCCTAAGGCTGATCGATCGGCGCCAACTTGAGGAATGGGAATCTGCATCGCCGTGCCCCGGGATTCAAAGGCAAAGCGCCGCTCCTCTTTCTTTTCCCTTGACAAGGAAACGCGCGTGGGTTCCACTCCCGCTGATTCCCAAACGCTACAACATGCAGCAATGCCAGTGCAGGCTCTGAATGGATTAGTGGAACTGAATGGATCACAAATTTTATGACACAAACACCTCTATCGTTTTTTCAAAGTTGGATTAAGTTGCTAATTTCAGCATTGTGATTTTAAGTTCCTAAGAACACGTATAAAAGTTCCCCCCAGAAATTATTTAAGCGTTACAGGTTATAATCAGTTGTAGGCTTAAAAAACGATGGGACTGAAAATATAATCTGACGAGACAACTGATAATTCACGCATTTAAAAATTCCGTACATATGAATTCGGTAAGTTATAAGTAAACAAAAATTGAGCAGTAGAGCCACTGAACAAAAATTCAGTAGAAAATTCAGTCATGCTCTATTGCTACTCAGTTTTGGGCTTTCCTCCCAGCTTTCCCTCGCATACCGCCTTTCTGGCCGCCGCCCTTCTTCCCCTTGCCCTTAGCTCCTTTGCCACCCTTCACTTTGCTGGCCCTCTTGTCCTTCTTCATACGCTTATCCACCAGTATCTTCCCTTTGCCAGCCCTCACCTGAACGCCCTTCTTTGCGACAACGTACTCCTTCTGGGGCTTCTTTGGAATCGCCTTCTTGTAAATCCTGTCGATCATCTTCCTCTTTGACTGCTCGTTTATGTCGTTTTGATCTGCGATGGCATCTGCCTTCTGGCGCGCCTTATCCAGCTTCTTCATGGCGACGCGCTTCTTCCGAGCCTTAGCCTCAGCGACCTTCTTGGCTGGCCGAGCATCGATCTCCTTGAACTGAGCCCTCATGGCAGCTACCTCCTCTTTTGTTACAGGCTTCATAGGCTGGTTATGCCTCTTTTCATCCTCAGCAAACCATTTAGGTAAACCCTCGTCGTCAAACATGTACTTGTTGTAAGCGTCGTCAAGTATCTGCTCTCTCTGTTTCTTCCTCAACATCTTCCTTGCATAGGCTAGTACTTCAGCTTTTGTGTCATCGTCGAGGTCCTCATCTAGTTCATCAGACTCATCAGAAGATGAAGATGAGTCATCTTCAGTTCGGACTGGTTCTGCTGGCACAATCTCAAAATCGTCCTGTTGCAAGTGTTTTGCTTTAGCAGACTTTTCCTTCTTTCCAGAATCCGCCTTCTTTTTTGCAATCCTAGTTAGCTGCTCTCTTTCATCTTCACTATCACTCTGCTCAACCACACCTGTTCCTGCTTCTGTGAATACATCCTGGCTGAACCACTGCTCCATCATCTGCTCTTTTGTTGGTTTCTCTGCATCTAGGGATAATAAAAGGGGATTGGTCTCTTGATCTTGCTCTTCATCAGAACCTTGATCCATGTCAACATCGTCACCGTCATCTTCACCTCCCTATTAAGTTCAGACCATAAGGATAACAACTATTACCACCCATGCAATCTAGTTATATAAAGGGCAGTGTGTAAATTGGCATAATTAACTACCCCAATTGCATGCAGAGAGACCGAAAGATGCAATTGTCATTTGGTTGAGACAAGATCCATGTGTCAGAGATTACCTCTAATAATTCTTCATCAGCATCAGTATTTACTCGTTTTGCACGCTTGCGTTCTTGTTTCACTTCACCACCCTTTTTAGTTACATAACGCTCATAAGCTTCATCAAGCATTTCCTCAAGTTGGGCATCATACCTGGTTGGGAAGATTACCATGTTACACATTTTTGGGATTGCGGTAAAATTATAAAACCTGTAAAAATTTATGACCGGCTTATTGTATGTTTTATTGAGTGTTAATTTCGAAATTTACCTCTGCTGTTCTTCGTCAGAATCCATTTCCTCATCAGAGTATTCACGAGTTTGAATATCCTCATTCTCACTATCTCCTTGGGCATCTTCTACATTAAGCTCAGCCGATTCAATAGCTTGGAGTTCTTTTCCGCCCTACAGAAAAATGACACAAACTATCTATTTAGATGATAGTAAGTATTACACAAGACAAGTGTAGACTATACAGCTCATACTGGAAAGTAACTTTGAGAAAGCGTAACATAACGAAAATCAATTTACTAAGTTTGTGAATACTGATAAAGGCTACCACACTAAGAAATTGTCGCATGGAGAGATCAATAAAAGTGAAACTTTACTGAGGAGCACGAACGTTGCATATTTCAAGTGCAAAGAAAAGAAGCACACTTTCAAATTCAGGAAAATTATAGCCATGCAAATGAACACCTGTCCTATGATTTTAAACAAATATTAGTACTAAATACTTAAGAACCACACAGGATATGACTACAGAAACAGCATGAACCTTGATAGCACTTATAGAAAACAAATCAGGATCGCCGTAATTATCTCCTGTAGCATCTATTTGCATTCCTGTTGCTTTGCGTGCTTTATCCTGGAACGAAAAGACCAGTGTATTAGCACATAACTCAAATTAACCACCCATTTGGCAATGGCAGCATCTATATCTCATGACTGATATACCTTTGCACGGCGCTTTGATTGACGCTTCTTTTCTCTCTTCTTCTTTCTATCAATGACACTCGTCAATTCTTCCATTTCCTGTAGAAGTTGGTCATCATCCTTGACATTGACTTCCACCGCAGTATCATCAGTTTTTTTAGTGACTTCAGAAGATGATAGTGCTTTCCGTATGCGTATCCGCCATCTAACAGCATCATACAAAATTAGTTTCATTCATGATATTGACAAGACTAAGCTCTGAATATCCCAACTTATACACATAGATAACCATAACCACTTAAACTCAACAGAATTAATCTGTGCAATAAAATACATCAGTAATCACCCTCATGTGGTAAACTACTTACTTCAAGATATGCTTGAAGCTGTTTTTGTCCAGTACATACAAATCCTCACAAAGAGCTTTTATCTGTCACACAGCAAACAATATGCAGCCATCAATATGACTATTCAATATAGAAGACAATATATCAGCCAGCATACGGAGGAAAGGCATTAGTCCACTACCTCATCTGTAGTAAGCTCATGGTTCTTGATAGGAAGAGATGCTGGGTCATCAAATGAAATTGCATTAAAAGAACCAAGAAACTCTAGGGGCGTTTGGCCCTCAGACCATATAAAATCTGAAGCCAGACCAACTTTTCGCAATGTTGTATTTCCTTCTTCGTATCTGCATAAATTGTGCAATGTAGAAATTCAAAATGCTATATTGCCACAAAACTGACATCTATACAAGTGGAAATTTAAAGCTATAAATCCTGGAAAAATACTATTTTGGTAGTTAGGGTCAAGAGTAAATGATTACACAATTGAAAGTTGGGAATCAGGCCAGCATTGTATTGAAGTGTATGCTAAGACGAAAAAATAGAATTAACCAAAATTAGTAGGCAAGATCCAGAGATGATGTAATAGGGATAGCCTACCCATCACGGTTCCTCTTCTGTCTGTCCGGCTTGAGAGGATCCCTAACCTGTAGAAGCCGTAAAATTCAAAACATCAAATGGATGCTAGCACAGAAAAGATGAGAAACCAAGAATATAAGTAGGATAAATGTTTCAACATGCCTTTTTAGGATCTGGATCCACACTGAACAAATGCTTTATATCCAAAAGTTCTGGCTGAATCTTTGCAGGAGCTTTATATCTCAGACAGATAATATAAATTTCTGCAGACGTAGAACGACTTGCAGTAGGTTTAGTGACTTCAACCTTCTCAAATAACTGCATGCAGATATATTTGATACATCAAGAAACTACATTTAGAAAAAGAAAAATGTAATCAAACCTTAGAGTAATATGCACCTGTTTAAGACAGTACATAATAGCGTTGTAATCCTGAGACCTGAAAACCTGTAGAAGACAAGGAACAGCTGGTTAAGGAGGGCTACAGAAAATACAGGAACACCCATTAGAGAAATTTTGTCTGAGGGAACTAATAGCATCGTTCTCAACCTCTATGAACTAATAATTGCACTAGCCTGTTACAATACGAGAGGGACTACATAACACTTTCCTACGAAACTAAAAATTATTCATCACAATCTGTAGAACAATTTTTTAATCGCATATACAGAGCATATAAAGTTTTTGAGTTTTTAACCTCGGTAAGAAAAATGCATCACTCCCAACTGCTAATGTAAGCAGTAGCTAAGACCATTCAACAATGCAACAACTACGCCTAAAAGGAGCGGATTTGTGGATAAATAATTACCTTAGTGATGAAGGCACCCTTGGGGGCGAGGAACATGGTGGCGAGGCGCACGGCGTCGATGACGAGCGACGATTGCGCGGTGGCCTCCTGCGCCCACGCGCCACCGACGTTGGGGGACCCGTCGTGGAGCACGACGTCGAACGCGGCGACGCCGTTGGAGTCCATGAGCCTCCGCACGGCGGCGCGGCACTTGGTGGTGGTGATGTCCTCCGTGAGGGAGTGCGCGCCGCGGATGGGGCGGATGGGGACGAGGTCGACGCCGACGACGAAGGCCCCCACGGGCGCGTGGTTGACGGCCACCTGGACCCATCCCCCGGGCGCCGCGCAGAGGTCGAGCACCGCGCGCGCCGTCGGCAGGAAGCGGAACCGCGCGTCGAGCTGGAGCAGCTTGAAGGCCGCGCGGCTCCGGTACCCCTGCTCCTTGGCGAGGTGGTAGAACTTGTCCTGCCGCTGCTTCCCCTTCGTCTTCCCCATTGCTGCCTCCTCCTCCTCCTCCTCCTCCTCCGCCGCCGCCGCCGCCGACGAGCCGCCGCCTCAGCTATAGGCGAAGGGAGGGTGGGGGGGGAGAGAGAGAGAGCGCTAGGGTTTTGGAGGCTTTGCTCGAGCGGTTGGTCGTTTTGTCGCGGGCTTTGCTAGTAATGGCGGTGAGGTCTCCATGGGCTTTGTTGGGCCGGTCCTTTCTCGTTTTGGGCCAGCCCAAGAGAAGAAAAACGTTTCGTCGTTTATTGGGCCGGCCCAAGAGAAGAAAAACGAGTGGCAAATAGGCGGTATCATCTCGCATTTCACTATTTGCCACTCGTGTGTCTATGACATGTGGGCCCGGGACCCACATGTCATAATCCCTCTTATCCCCTTCTGCTGCGGCGAGCCACACTCCCAAGCCGAGGAGCTCTCGCTTGCGACAGCCATGGAGCTAGGCCTCGCGCTGCGGCTCGTCGCGCCGCCGCCTCGTCTCCCCTGTAGAGCTCTCCAGCCGCCGCCGATGCCTTGTTTCTCTCCGTGTGCGGCCCGAAGAAGCCGCATCCGCTCCTCGAGGTTGGAGCGCAGGGTTGGGGTTGTTGTATCCGGTGGGAGTATGGCTTCCTTGGCAATGGAGGAGGAGGAAGAGGAAGAGTGGGAAGAAGCGGAGGAAGAAGCGGAAGGATGGCAAGAGGAGGAGGCTGCAGTGGTGACGACGAGGCCGCGTCTGGAGCTCATCGAGAAGCCGGACCGGAGCCTGTGTCTGCTCGACGAGTACGAGTCGGAGGAGCTAGGCACCTCTCATTGTGCCAACCACCGCAGCGGTGAGGCTTCTAGCTTCTGTGAAATTCACCTCTTCATTTCGATTCTGAAATAACAGCCTTTTTAGTTTATGATCTCCAAATGAAACTATTCTGCAGATGAATATTTTTTCATGTTGTTGTAATATTGATATACCATGTGTTTGCACAGGTTATGTTGCTGTATTAGGAAAGCCAAATGTTGGAAAGAGCACCCTAATTAACCAAATTGTTGGTCAGAAACTTTCAATTGTGACAGACAAACCGCAAACCACACGGCATCGCATTCTTGGTATATGTTCTGAACCAGAATACCAGGTATCACCTTTTAGTTTCTAAAGCTTTAGGATTATAGACTATGAAAGGGGGAAATGTTAATTTCTCACTGCTAATCTGAGTTATCATTTAGTTTGCAGATAATACTTTATGACACGCCAGGTGTCATCAAAAAGGAAATGCATAAGCTAGACACAATGATGATGAAGAATGTTAGGAGTGCCGTTGGCAGTGCAGATTGTGTGCTTGTTGTTGTTGATGCTTGCAAAATGCCTGAAAAGGTATTGCAACATAGGAAAGAGATGACTGAATTATGAAAAAAAAATTATTATGCCAATATACAATCTAAAATTCTGACATTTGTACCTTTTAGATTGATGAAATACTGGAAGAAGGTGTGGGGAACAAAGATACTGAGCTTCCAGTACTGTTGGTATTAAACAAGAAAGATCTCATAAAGCCAGGAGAAATTGCAAAGAAACTTGAGGTAAAATATCGTTACAAAAATTTGGAGATGGTTTTGTTTTTCCCTCTACTTCGATGTAATTGATTTACTGGCTACGATTTTCACAGTGGTATCAAAAATTCACTAATGCTGATGACGTCATACCTATAAGTGCTAAATTTGGGCATGGAGTGGATGATATCAAGGAGTGGATATTATCAAAGCTCCCTCTGGGGCCTGCTTACTATCCAAAGGTATTGGTGTATTAGATGAATTTTTTTTTCTTATTCTATTTCTGCAAGTGTTTCTTCATCTTTGGCACAAATTTTTCTGTACTCATGTAAAACCAGATAGCCATAGTGTGACTATAATATGTCTTTTCCATAGCATCATGTTTGTTCTTTAGATAGTGCTACTCACGATATCCAGTGCTTGCTTTGATGTTTAACTGCAGCCAATAAATACTGATACTACAAGATATCAAATATATTTGTTCATGTGATTCTCGTTCCAGGACATAGCTAGTGAGCACCCTGAGAGATTTTTTGTGGGGGAAATAGTGAGAGAAAAGATTTTTCTTCAGTATCGTCAAGAAATTCCATATGCTTGTCAGGTATATCTTCTGGTGCTTGCACCTATCAATTTTGTGCGGCATTTTTCTGCCAGCATGTGTCAGATGTGCGACTTTGTTTATGACAGGTTAATGTCATAAGTTACAAGAGCAGACCTACAGCCAAGGATTTTATTCAAGTTGAGATACTCGTTGAGAAGGAATCACAAAGAAGCATTATACTTGGGAAGGTAAAAAAAATAGTAAAACAGTACCTTTGTGCGCCTGAATATTTCAGGATTTTATGGTTACGAAATCAGTTAAGTTTAATCTTTTTCAAGTTAACATTGAGTATAGCTAAGGAAAATACCATAACTTGGGGTGCATATTTGGGTAGAATGAAGCAGTTTCATGAAATCATCTTATTTGCATTGCTTTAGTGGGATATATTTTTGTAACATGTTTGGCAACTGCAGGATGGAAAAGCAATCAAGATGCTAGCAACAGCATCAAGACTTGATATCGAGGATTTCCTACAAAAGAAGGTCTATCTTGAGGTAGTAACTGCTTCCTTTGTTTGGAGGCTGTGAAATTTTGATCTACCTTGAGGATTTGTTCTGAGCAGTTTCCTAATATCAAATATACTATATATTGGACAGATAATGGTCAAGGTGAAGGAAAACTGGCGGCAGGATGAACTTCTTTTGAAGCGTTATGGCTATGGAGGGGAGATTCAAGCACTATGACCATCAGATTGTTATGCAGGCTGTCACAGCTAGGAGTAATTTACCTTTTTTTTTCTGTTAGCTTTGTTTATGATTGAGGTGATGAGTGAAGGTCGAATTAGCTCGGTAATTAGTGAGGTATCTCCACAAAATTTTGTGTGCCCACTCTATTATTGCATAGATGTACATCTGTTGTATCATGAAACTGATGTTTCTAATAGAAAGAAACATAGTTCTGGTCTGTATCATTGGATGGTTGAAAGCCAAGTCAGTACTAGTAGCTGATTGGAGGCAATCCTTTTGCGAGATAAAACCCAAGGAGAAGAGAAAAGAAAATACTGGGGCACTTATAGCCTGATGGGACATTTGGCTTGAGAAAAATGTAAAGTTTTTGAATATGTTCATCAACATGTAGACGGCGGCTTTGGTGATACAAGACATAAATCAGCGTGATCTGGCTTTCAATTTCATAGACTAGCATCTCCTTTGAAAGCATTTTGCTTAAGTGGCCATCACCCTAAACCTGTAATGTGATGGCTTTATACTACCTGAATCTATAAATTGCAGAGCTCCTGCCTTTTTCCTTCTAAAAGGCCAATTCAGACATACGGTACCTCATATGGCAATGCTTGTGGATATGATTTTTTTCCATTTCTTTTGAACTAATATTTCGATCAAAACTGGTGTGCTTTGCCCTGCTTAGCTCTGTATGGACTATCCAAAATTTATCATTTGACTAATACTGTTCACATTAAAGTACTGATTCTTAGGTGGTGTTTGGTTGGAGGGATTAAAGTGGGGCTAAATTTTAGTCCCTGTTTTTGTTGAATACTCCTACCACAGGATGGTCAGTTCGTGATGGCACGAATTTGTAAGCCCAACAAGTCAGCAGTGTGACGAGATCAGCCATTATTCTTCTCGCGATTCAGAGACGACCATAAAAATGTCAGAGCGTGACTCAGCTCTATGTGAGGCAACGTAGCCACGAAATTGACTCCACGCCTTGCGCTGCGTGCGACCAACTAACCAATTCAAAGTCCAAATTCACACAAAATGGTCACCCTTTAATTAGGCTCCCACAAAATTTGTTACTCCAAGTTGCTGACATAAAATTCAGCAAAAATTTGTACTCCGTATGTGACACGGACCAAAATTTCTGTCTCCATCCACGAGGAGACTGACGGAGAAAAAAAAAACATCAAAACTACTCCAAATTGTGTAATTCAAACTAATTTTGTTGAAAGAAAAAGAAAAATTACGTACGAGCAAAAATCAAACGAAACTTGAAGCAAGCAAAAAAATTGCAGCTAGCGAATCAAGTTTTTAGCTGTTTTGCTCTCCTATCTTGTCGTCTCTACTACAGCTATCGCCGCCGCCGCTCATCAGCGGCTGCACCGTGCCGCTGCTCCCGCCGGCGCCGGCGCCGCCGCTGCCGCTTCTACTGCCTATGTACGACGTCAGCGCGGCGGCGAGCACGGCGGTGAAGTTTGGGTCCGACGCGATCGCGGCCGTCGCGGCGTTCACCGTGTCGGCGAGCGCGCCGCCGTCGGAGCCCTTGGTGCCGGCCACGGCCTGCACGGCGGAGAGCTTGGACTGGTCGTAGAGCTTCTGCCCGAACAGCTGGGGCAGCGCCACCGGCCGCGCGGCCTCGGCGAGCGCCGCCTGGAGCTGCGCGGGCTCCGGGCGCGGCGGCTGCGGCTGCGTCGACGACGCCGGCGGCGGCGGCGGCGCCGTCTGCGTGAGGTCGAGCGTGACCGTCGGGAACGGCGCCGACGCCGAGATGGTGGCGACGGTGGACGAGCACGGCAGCACGGCGCGCGCCAGGAAGTTGGACCCGGCCATGAGGCTGCCGTCCGCGCTCGGCATGGAGCCCGACAGCAGCATGGACGCCGCCGCCGCCGTGGTCGACGCCATCGCCATCGCCGCCGGCGGCAGCGGGTGGTTGTGGTTCCCCTCGTACGTCGTTATCAGCACCGTCCTGTCCTCCGCGCACCTCTGGACCTGCAAAACCATGGCCGCACATCAGCGAACGCGCCATTGACGACGACGACGACACAGCAAATCAAACACGCTCGTACGCTCCGGCGATCTTGCACACACACCTGCTTCCGCACCGGGCAGCCGGCGGCCATGGTGCACCGGTAGTACGCGCGCGGGCAAGGGTTTCCCTTCGCCATCTTCTGCCCGTACTTCCTCCATTGGCACCCATCGCTGATCTGCACATCACCATATCAAACATCCATGCGAAGAAGAAGAACACTAGCTGCATATGGAACATGATCGAGCACACACACACACACACCATGGGTGCATCGGAGCGAGCTCGAACGGAGACGCGGGCCTTGCGCATGGTGGCGGCCTCCGGGACGGGCTCGGGCCCCTTGCCGGGGAGGAACCTGGGCACCTTGTCGGCGGGAAGCCAGCTCGGCGGCAACTGCTGCTGCTGCTGCGGCGGCGGCGGCGGCTGCTCTTGCTGATGGTGGCGGTGGTGGTCGGCCTCCGCCGGGCTGCTCCCCCTCTCCCTTCCACCATGGATGGGGTGGTGGTGGTTGTGGTGGTCGAAATGCGGCAACGGCATCATCGCCGGCACCGCCGCGTCGGGGTTGCTCGACGACGGCGCGCAGACATCGCCGCCGACGACGACGACGGAGTGCGGCGCCTCGACGTCGGGCTGCAGCGACGCGGAGCCGAGGCTGATGAACTGCCTCGGGATCAGCTGCTGCTGCTGCTGCTGGCTCCCCTCTTGCTCCTTCTTCTCCGGATCAAGCAGCTGCCGATCATACAAATCGTCGATGAATTACACCACATGAGCGATCTTGAGCATTGCTGCCATGAGCGATCTTGAATCTTGCATGGTAATAATTATGATTTGTTCTTTTTTCTTAATTACCTCTTGCTGGTGGATCGGAGCGGCTAGGACTGATCTCCTCTGCTGCATCAGTGTGACGAACTGCATCTGGAGAGAGTTGTATTTCGTGGTCACGTTGCTCAGCATGTTCTTGAGCCTCTTGTTCTCCTCACTCAGCCGCCCAATCTCAGCTTTGGTTACTGCCAGCTGATCATAAATTCCGAGAGAAAATTATGATCAGATCATGGCAACAACAATTTTTGTTGTTCTCCGGTTTACACTAACTAGAATTTCTGATGATGAAGAAAACGGCAAACGGTCACTAGACCGATCTCTCCTCCTCGCATTCAGAAATTCAAAAGCGAATTTATAAACACAGAGAGATCCTATTGATTTTGCTGCTGTTTGCTCACCGCAGCTTTGGCCTCGCGGTGCTCCTCGTCGTTGGAGGAGACGCCGCCATCGTCGACGATGGATTCCTCGCTGCCGCTGTTCCTCCTCCGGCCGACGAGCAATCCCATCTGCGACGCAACAAGATCACGAAATTAAACCACGCATCAACCAAGAAAAAAAAATCTCTCAAACCATCACGCATCAACTGATCCGTTACATTGATGGTGAGGTCGTCCTTGTTGAGGCTGAGGTCATCCGGCGAGGCACCGGCGTGTCCACTCGCCGCCGCCGTCGCCGTCGCCGGCGGCGGCTCCTTCCTCTCCCCACGCTTCTCCGCCGTCTTGAAGAAGTCCATCTCGCCGACCACCACCCTCCTCTCCTGGTAACCACCCCCGGCCTCCTTCGCCGTCATCCCGGCGTACCCCAGCCCCGCCGCCGCCGCCGGGAACTCCACCATCCCTACCGCCGCCGACGACGACGACGGTGGCGCCACCGGCATCTCCCTGCCGACGTCGCCGCCCCCGACGACATTCTTCCCCTTGACACCCACGTAGGACTCCATTCTCACACACACACCTCGCCGTCGCGTCGCGCGCGGCGGTGACAGACGAGCGGTGGGAGGGAGAGTAGACGACCAGGCCAAGGCGAGGGCGTAGTGTGTATATATATAACGACGAGACGGGGGACACGTGGCGGGATGAGATTGGAGCTGAGTCCATCATTCTAGGCAGTGTTGGTGACCATTGACCAGAGAGAGAGGGGGGGTTAAGCTGAGGATGCGTGGACACCACAAGCGACGCGAGCGCCATGGATGGGAATGGATGAAGCTCGCAGCATCGCAGCTCGCAGCTTGGCTGCATGCGCGCGGCGTCTAAGCAAGTCTAAGGTCAGAGGAGGCGATCGGGTCTGACGGTTTCGTGGAGAGAGAGAGAGAGTCCATGCTTGATCCGGCAACCGTTTGCGGACTTGCATCGCGAGCGAGTCGTGATCTGGGCAGAGAGATCGGAGAGGGGGATGGAGGAGAGACTGCCGTTGACAACTTCTTTTACTAGATTTTTTTTTATTTTGTTTATGAATTGGATTGGATGGAGAGTCCTGCTGCCATTGCTAGCGTCCAGCAACGGATTCTTTCTAAAAAAAGAGGGTGTGTCTATTTTCGGTGGTTACTTGACCAGCTTTGTCAGTCGCCTGAGAATGTTGGAAGAAGGTTGATCTCAGTTGGATCACTTATATCAGTGGTTTTGAAGTCAAATTTGAATGTTGAAGGTTGATATCAGTTGGATCACTTATATTGGTGGTTTTGAAGTCAAATTTTGCTGGTGTTTCGGCGGCACATAAGGGAATTGAGGGGTTTTGAAGTCAAATTTTGCAGGTGTACCGGCGGCTCATGAGGGAGTTGGTCTGAATTTCAGAGTAATTCTGGTTTGAGGAACTTAACAAGCTTTAGTACTCCCTCCGTCCCATAATAAAAGGGATTTTGAGTTTTTCTTGTAACGTTTAACCACTCGTCTTATTAAAAAAAAATTTGAAATTGTTATTTATTTTATTTGTGAATTACTTTATTATCTACAGTACTTTAAACACAATTATAAAAAATTAAATAAGACGAGTGGTCGAATGTTGTAAGAAAAAAAATCTCTTTTATTGTGGGACGGAGAGAGTAAGAGTTACTTAGGTGAAAAGACTTCAGCTGAAGAAACCACCACATTAGATTTAGCTGAAGAAACCACCACACTTTTAAGGCTTAACCACGTGATCACAGCTGCAATAATCCGGTGGCTCTCTTCACATCAACCATGGGATAATTAACCTTCGGACTGACTAGCAATTCAGTCACAAAACACAGTGCACATGTTATCAGAAGTTCACATATCAGTACGAGAATTCGAACAGAGACTGGTCCGAGATATTCTTGCCAAGCTAAAATAGACGGGCGCCATCTCAGGCCTTGGAAAACATAAACATGTTATGTAGCATGCATATATACACACATCGCCGGATAAATACGCTAGTTAAAAGCTACGGTCTTCTTCTCTCGGCGTATGCGTCCACCTCGTCATTAGGAACGTGACAACAACACGTTTAGGCCGACTTCGCGAAGCCAACCCTCATCTTGCCGTAGTCGAACACGGTATGGTAGGCACCCATGAAAACGTCACCCAGGATCCTGCAAATTGTAGGGTGCATCAGTCAAAGATCAAAAATGACAAGAAGTGAAATTATTTCACTGCTAATTCAAGGGTTTGGAAATGCATAGTTTACCAGAGAGGACCACGGGGAGGAGGGATGTCCATGGCTGTGAATCCACTGATGCACTGGGCAGCAGCTCCTTCACCAACCTTCAGAATATACTGCACAACCAAAAGAAGAGAGTAAATTATGTGCTCAAGCCAGTGCGTCAAATATCTACACAAACTAGATGGGCCGGCAAGCGTGTCCAACTTTTCAGCTAATCTAGATGCACCCAAGGGAAGAAAAAAAAGAAGAGAAACCATAAAGAAATCATCGCACCTCTTCTGGCTTCAGTGCAAACTTTTTGCCTCCAATGGTGAATGAAATCTCAGGCATGGATGCAAGGCTGCCACAGTCCACAGATGATTCTCCCATTGGACTTGGGAGCTTGTCACAGAGCTGTAAAATTGATAACAGTTAAGCAACGGAAAATCTATCCCTACCAGTACAATGGCCCTAGAGCAGGAGTTAACTAAGCTCACCTGATTAATGTAGTTCAAGATGAGATCCTGAGTCTTGTTCTGTGCAAGTTGGTTCTGCATCCATACAACAGCCATCTCACAGGCATTGCACATGGGACCACTTTGGAGACCATTCGATTCCCCAGCTTCATCATCTACTACGCTCTTAATTCCAGCACTGTGTTTACATACCACATGGAGAAGAAATGAGAGTGAGTACAGATTGCCTACGAATCCGATCTCAAATAAGTCATAATTGATATAGCACTTGACACCAAAATCGCTAATCGAGTCAAAACGAAAATATCCTACTTTACAGATTCAGACACTTGAAAAACATTTGCAGTTCTTACCTAACACCATGCTTCCCATCAAAAGTACACAGACCAACCTGAGAGCAGATTTTTGATGGCTGTGTCTGCAACATAATCCCAGAAAGTTGTTTTAATTCATCAAAGATATAATTGACAAAAGCTGTTTCCAGAAAATTGAAGCAAATTACAAACCTCAGCAAGCAACAGATCTAGGATCTGTTGTCCATATTGAGAAACAACTGTCTTGCATTCTTGGCTGACTACCCCAGTAGCACCGATCTTCTCATTGATTTCAGTGATTATGGCCTGCGATGATTGTGTTAACTCGTGAACCACTCATTGGAACTTGGTAAGAACAAACAAGACAGTATGAAGACAATAAAGAGTAGGGATGAGTGTGGAAAGCCTTTGCACATTAGACCCAACAGGTGTTCCTTTTGTGTGTATGCATTTGCGTAATATGATGAATTGGGGGTCAATTGATTGAGCAGCACAACTCATCTCTAGATAATAATTAGATATAATAAATACTGTGCTACAGTACAGCTACATTTACAACACTTCATATATGCAAAACAATACATGATAGGACAAAGGACGAGACATGGCTAGAAGCTTCCGAAAGGTGATCCAAGAATCAGAGCAAAAAAACAAAGGAAATATATTTCTGAACATAGATTGGGGTACTGCATTATTATATTTGTTAAGCACCCTGTACAGGTTCCGTATGCAAATTTTGGACCTAAAAAAAAAACCTACAAGTATGTGTTGGGTTCAAAAAGGCTCATTATTAAGACGATAATTCCTTCGAAGTAAATAAAACTGAGATGTGAAATTTAGTAGAGATCTCCAAAGCTTATTACTGTTGTGAAAAATGTAGGCCATCATGATAAAAAAAAAACAAGTATAAACAAAAGCTTATTACGTACTGTGGGGCCAGCAAGCAATGATGTTCCAGAGTCTGCTATAGCTGAACAACCGCTAGCACAAAATCCTGATAGCAGCAAAGGTGTAACGATGTGTAAGATTATTTCTCATTTAGACAGATCGGATATGAAAAACAAGAGTCAGTACCTGTGGTCTTTCCTCCAATCAGGACATCGCCCATCTCAAACTGCACAAAGTCAATGCAAACATTACATCAAATGTCGAAAACACTACAGAACTTAGCAGAAACAGGACCAACCTGCCAATATCCCTTCTGAGAGACTGGAACATATGTATGGTTGCCCTTGTAGTGGCTAGGATCCATTCCTCCAAACACAATTTCACCACCTTCTCCTTCATCAGAATGACGGTTGAACCAGAAGGAGAAAACAGGCTCACTGACAAGACCTTGCTCTACCATCTTATACCTGTGATTTATACATATCATTAGGGACTATGGATCTGCTATATTATGTGCATGATACGTGAAAAATCTAATTATCATGACAAATGCGCCAAAATATATATAATGAGAAAAATAAAACAGAAATATGCAAGAAAACAACCAGCCAAATATTTTGAGATACGTGGTTTTAACAGAATGAAGGTAGCCTATTGTGTTAATCAGCAGGTCAATATCTAGGATTCTTCACCATTATAAATGTATCGTGCATAGATGAACTGTGGTTAGAGATAGTGGAAGATTCATACAAATATAATCACTATATGCAAAAGAGCACCTTCTCTTCTACTGTGAACCACAGTGAGAAATCAAAAACTTAGATCACGTAAGTCAGGTTGTCTTACCACACAGGTACTGCATCTCCAACGGATATTTCCTGAAATCCAAGCCCAAGAATGCCATCAAATTTTGCAACCATGAAAGTAAGACCTGGCTCCTTGGTAGCTTCAATGAATTCCTAAAGCGGTGAAGCAACAATGTTAAAAATATTTGGGGCAATATGATCAGAGATAATAATCAGTAAGTTAACCGAGATATATAGTGCAGACCTGATCTTTCACAACCAGATCACCTACTGTAACACTATCCTCGCTGAAAAACCCAGCAATTGAACCAGTGCCATACTGAATGGCAGCTGGTTTTCCTGGAGGGATGAAACAACAGAAAACAGGACTGTCAAACATACAATTTTCCTTAAGCTACCAAAAGGGTGGTTAAAATTTAGAAATAAATGAAAAGAAAATCAATAAATTTACTGTAAGAATATATGAATATACCACTTTCCAAGAAATAAAACATTTATTTCATATCACAGCAAAGTAAGTGGTTATGTTTTAATGATATTTCACTAAAATTTCAAGTGCTGGAAATAATGTAAGAAACTTCCATGCATCTTTCTAGTTAGAAGATAGGATGGTACATCTGAATTATTGTGGTCAACACAGACAGCGATAGTAAATTGTCAGCAATGTTCCTCAATCCTGACTGCATATCGTTTTAATGTCAAGCGACACCATGTGGGCACTACATCAACATCATACCCTTTTCAAGTATGTTAAGGCTACACCAATCCACGTATTTTGTTCAAACCCATGCAGAATATTTTTCCCCTTTCATCATAAATACTTTGTGATATAAAATGATTTTCCTTTTCATCATAAATGATTGAACAATTTAGAGGGACTAAAAGTATAACCGCCAAGCGAAGATGTAATTTTCAATGCATATATGCAAATCTAGTATCTATCTTTTTAGGAGAATTTTTTTAAAACAAACTTTAACTTGAATAAAACCAACCTCCTAATTTGATTTGCACCAAAATCCAAATAACACCATCTAGTATCCTTTTAACTAAATCCAATTTTGCTTCTTCTAACAAGGCTATTTTTTTTCACACCAAAATCCAAATAACTACCACGTAGGATTCTTTCAATTACATCCAATTTTGGATTAAAAGGGCAAATTTCAACATGAGATATGCCACCAGCTATAGAGCAAATACGAGTAATAGCAAAAAAGGATGTTGTCAATGCATCCAAGTAAACTGAGAGAGGCAGACAGTCACAACATAAACTAGCACGGTTGGGGAAAGTTTTAAGGCACGGACCATTCTTCTGATAAGTGCTCGACTGTCCGGACTTGTAGCGAGAGTGGAAGAAGCACGCAATCTGCATCAATCGCCACAAGGAAAAAAAAATCCACCATTAGCACAGGTCGCAATCGCAACAAGACTCTTGGGAGAATTCCCCTTGACCAGTGCATCGAACAGGGACTCACCGAGAAGTAGCACTTGGCCGACGGCACCCAGAGGTTGGAGCTGCCAGTGTCGAAGATGACGGTGAATTTCTGCGGCGGAGTGCCGACGCCAATCTCCCCGAAGTACTGCGCGTTCATGTAGTTCTTCAGCGCCACGATGTCGCCCTCACCCCCGCCGCCGCCAAGGGAGTTGGCGCCGCGGAGGCCCAGCCGGCGCGCCCCTTCCTCGCCGGAGAGTCGCGCGGCGACGCGGCTGTTCTCGTCGATCGGGCGCTTCTTCAGCGCGATCCGCACCAAACCCTCCGCCGCCGAAGCGGGGAGGAGGGCTTGGAGCAGCACGGCCGCGAGGAGCACCAAGGCCACGCTGCGGGTTCCCATGGCTGCGATCTGCGGCAAATCGCGAGAAAAACCAAACCAAACCAAACAGAAGGCGATGAGAAATTTTTCGTCAGGAGTGATGAGATCGAAAAATCCAAATGGGGAAAACACTGGAACACAACGACTGTTAGATCTCAACTCTCTAACTGACGATACGATTAAAACACAGTGAAATTAGTCGATAATATCGAAGATTAGTAACTCACGAAATAAGAAAAAAAAACAAAATCAAATCGAAGGTTCAGCCATGGAACCGAGGCTAGAACTGAAGGGGAAAACAGAAAAAAAATAAAACTCAAAATCGGAGAGCAGCAGTTACAGAAAACACCGATGCACTAACCGAAAAATCAACACCAAACCACGAACAGAAAAACACCGATCAGTTATCCAACCCAGGGTAAAATCCGATCAAAGCTGCCCCAAAACAATCCATCCAGACCTACCACCCATCCGACCAAAAAACTCCTCAAAAAACACCAAAAACAACCCGTAAAAATAACCCAGATTACCCTCAAACACACAGGAAGTCAGGAACAAGCAGATCCACACCAAAACTCACACGAACACCGCAAAATCCCCCCCACCTATCAAACAGATTCACCCCCACATCAAGTCAAGCGGAGTCCACGAGAGCTCACCGGAAAACGGGAGGAGCAGCAGCAGCAACAGCAACAACCGACGTGCCGAGCACTACGGGCGGTGGAGGCGACCGCGCGTGCATATAAAGCGAGGCGAGGAGGCGTGCGCGCGCTGCCAACCGTCCGATCCTCCTGGGGCTGCGGCTCAGCCGTTGGATCGGGGTGAGTGGGGTGGGAAACTGCTATATTTACCCGGAGAAGTGGCCTGCGTGGGGGCAAGAGGAGTACGTACCTGACTCAGTTAGGACGTCGCTTTTTCGCGATTTACTAATTGATTTTTGTTCGTATTTCTTCTGTACCTGATTAGGAATCCGATGGTTTCTTTGCTTTGAAGTAACGAGGTTTCATTAATTTTTTGCAAGTACATTAAATACAAGGAAATTGTATATACGGAGTATTTGGCAAGTATATCGAGTTGGAGCCCTGGAGGAAGGATTATAGTATTATCCACTTGTTCATAAAGTTTTTGTTTGCTTCGTCTCAATTGTTTATTTGTCGAGAGTGGACCCATTGCATGGTGGATTGGGATGTTAATCCACAAAGTTCATGAGCCTTATTAAACTAGTACTCCTATGAAAATTTTTTTCTTTTTTTCAGAATGGTTAGTTGCAGTTTTTCCACGTGCTTTGCGTTTAGAGGGTCGGAATATCTCATTACATGATACATTAACTATTAAAATGGTCATTCAGAGGGTGTGTTCAATTCACGTTAAAATTGAAAGTTTGGTTGAAATTGGAACGATACAACGGAAAAGTTAAAAGTTTATGTGTATAGGAAAGTTTTGATGTGATGAAAAAGTTGAAAGTTTGAAGAAAAAGTTAGAAACTAAACAAGGGCTCTGTCAAAGAAAATGGGTCATTCAGAGCATGAGGTTTTTGCTTCCTTCACCGAGATATTCCCTGCTCAGATTTTCACCTTCACAGAAACAACTAGCTACAAAAATATAGCAATATTTTTTTCATAAACAACATGCTGCATTGATGATTAAGTCAGTACATCCTGTTAAGAAAATGCTTAAGATTTAAATACAAGCCAATAGGCCATTTCCAATATCAAATCTGCATTTACCAGCAGCAGTAGTACTGTATTGAAAGCAGGAGTAGCAATGATTTGCAAGTGAAGCCTTTCCTACGAATTCAGATGCGTAACACCTCCACGTAGCTAGAGTAGATCGCTTGCATGGCCACCTCGTGGAATCTCCTCACTTGACACGTGTAGCTCTCGACGCAGTAGGCCCCAGTCCAAAGCACTCACTGTCACCACAGGCTGACATGTGGGCCCAAATCATATCTGGGCCCGGTTTTCAGCGGCAGTGTACCTCACCTTCTCTGCCGCTTGCATCCGCCGACGAAAAGGAGTGGTAGGGATTGCGTGTGCGCGAAGCGATGCGTTGCCGCTCGCCGCGGGCTACCGAAGCTAGTAAGCTGGGGGATCTCGCTCGCTCCACGCACCCCGTCGCGTGCACGCCAAAAAACGCGGGGTCGTACTCACGTGTATCTGGTGGGCCAGCCGTCCGTCGCGGTGTGAACTCAGCGAGAGAGAGCAGATTAAGCGAGAGCATCCATCCACTAATTGATCGATTAATTATTCGTCTCAGAAAGAGGAGGAGATAAGATGTACAGATCATAGCAGTTTCGCTGTCTCTGAATATTCTTATATAGCTAACTAGAAAAAGCCTAGGAGGAGAAGTGGTCTCATGGTTTTCTTAATTGTGCATCGCATGTCACCAGCTGAACAATGTTACGAGTAATTACATAATGAATTATGAAAAAGAAAGGCTCGTGGAAGTCAACTTGTAGCTGCTCTGGGCATCTTTCGTATGCATATAAAAACTATGAACAACTGATTATCTCAATTCTCAAGGACTAACATCAAGTTAGACATATCGAAGTTTTGAAGGGCTGGATCAGATTCAGTCTCTATTGCACAATGTCAACTTCACAGTTTGCTTAAAGGAAACGCTCTCTTGCATGCTGTTTTTCGCTGTGTTCGTTGGAATGGTAATTTTTTTCTCTCATGATGCTGTTGTTATTGGCTTATTGCAGACAAGCAGAGGCTACGAATAATGTCAAACTGTCAATTGCCAAGCACTCAACCTAACTAGCTGTTCCTTAGCCCTTGACTTATCTCTCTCTTTGTCGCCCACAAACTTATCATCTTTGAGAAACTCTTCACACGCCATTGCAGCTTGCTTCCTTTTGTTAAGCGGAATCCTGGGCGATGAAAGTGACTGCGGACTAATTACTTTTAGCAAAGGTAAGAGGAGCTTTCTGATAGTGCTAAATGCTTGGGTTTAACAAGCATTTCATAAAAAAAAAAAGATCTTTGTTCACATAACTGACAGCGAAGTTCCTTTGCACTAATAGGTTGTCAACTATGCTCGGTCTCTCCGTGCCTGCTGGAGCACGACGCATGTACAGTTAACGGGCTAGGAATAACACAGCCCATTTAGATATGGGTCGTCTAGCCATGTCGTGTTTGGGCTGCTATCCGGGCCAACGTGCCAACACGACAACGACAAGCGCATGTAACGACTAGCGACGACTCAGCACGACATCGCCTAGAAAAGGCACGACACGGGCACGATAGCGACCGGCGATTACCGAATAGCCGCCGGTCGAGCAACTGCCAACCATGGTGGGCGCGACGTTAGGACTGCGCAGCAGCGTGGTGGCGGCGGCGACCCCATTGACGAGCTATTCTGATTTCCTGTCGTGGGCTGTGTGCCTGTGTCGACTAGCACGGACCCCAAAGAGGTGGCTCCTGTCGCTCTCGCCGCCGTCCGTTAGCGTTAGCCCCCGCGATGCCGCCCAATTAGCCCCCAAGACGGCGACGATGACCTCGAACAACGCCGCCGCCGTCGGAATTTCCTCGAGCGCGTCCGGCAGCGTGGCGGAAGGAGTGCCTGCCGCCCGCCGCCCGCCGCGGTGGCGCCCATGCTCGTCGACGCGGCGGAGCCCGTCGACCCCGTCTCGGTGCAGGCGGTGGCGGCGCACGTCCCTCCCGCCGCTGTGTCCGCCTTGCCCATGGGCCAGTTCCACGACTAGCCGGGCTCAAACAGAACATAGCACGGACGCAGCATCCGACTACAAGTCGGAAAAGACGCGAGCCTAAGTCGAATCGGAACTGTAATTACTCTTTGATTGGCCATTATTAAAAAAATAGTTTGGGATTAGAGGAGATTAAACCCAAGTTAAATTATTAGTAGCTCAACGCTATGAAGCGAAAGAGTTCGATAGTAGCGCGTAAGGACGCAAAGAAGGTGCAGTCGTGGGCGACTGTCACGACGTCGCTCGCGAGGTTCAGGGAAGAGGTGGCTCCTGGCTTCTTGTCGCTCTCGCCGTCGTCCGTCAGCCCCGGCGACGCTGCCGCCCAATTAGCCCCCCAGACGACGACGATAACGACCTCGAACAGCGCCGCCGCCGTTGGAAATTCCACGAGCGCATCCGGTACCACGGCGGAAGTGTCCGCCGCGGGGGAGCCCATGCTCATCGACGCGGCTGCACCGATTGCAGCGGAGCCCATCGACGCCGTCCCGTTGCAGGCGGTGGCGGCGCACGTCCCTCGCGCCGCCGTGCCGCAAAGAGTAGATGATGACGATGCCGCTCCCCCGCCGCCGGCGTGGATACGCGGCGAGCTGCTGCCGCTACTAGGCCTACGCGGCGACCTGCCGCTGCACTTCATCTGCAGGAAGCGAGTGGAGGCTTCCGACCTGTCGGCGCAGCAGAGCCGCTTCCTCATCCCGCAAGCCGCCGCCAGCCTCCGCCTCTGTCCGCTCCTCTCAGCGGCGGAGCGCGAGGCCGCCAAGCTGGTGGAGGAGTTCTTGCACAAGAAAAAGAAATCGCCAGAACCAAAGCCGAGGGAGAAGGGGGAGAAGAGCCCCGGGCTCGCCGTGCGCGTGGTCGTCTACCGTGCATCCCCGCTCGACGTGATGGCCATGGAGTTGACCAGGAGGCTCTCCAATTGCCACACCATAATCCGGCAAAAAGAAACCACAAGGCTCGTCGACCGCGGCGTCCAGGTGAAGGACGACGTCGCCGTGTGGGCGTTCCGGCCAGACCCCAACAGTGCTCTGCACTTCGTGATCGCCAACACCGCCGCCCAGCAGCAGCAGCCACCGCCGGCAGCAGCACCGAACGCGTTGCCGCAATAGCAAAAGCCAAAGCATCGACGCAGCTCCAGAAGTGATAATCAGAAAGTAGCATCAGCAAAGGTCAAGATGATAGATACTAATCTTAGAAATCAGAACGGTGACCTGTTAGGTCTCAAGAAGAGTTACAAGGAAGACTGCACTTGGGCACATATAATAACTCGGCTATCAAAACAAAGCACAAATCATTCTTGTCTGACGAACACACGCGAACATGTTAAAAACACTCTCGAAACTGTTGGTTGAATGGCGTGGACCCTCCATCCTCAGCGCTCGAGGCACAGGCTCAGCTAGTCCGAGCTGCTTAAACCCTGCAGCTGGTCAGGATACACGCACGCCATGGTCGGCAAGCAACTTAACCCCAACTATAACAAAGGGTAAAGGCCTCAGTAGCCGGTGTGCTGCTGCCACCCCTGGTGAGACGGCTGTGATTGGGCATTCTGGAAACCGTTCAGGCCTCCCTCGGCCGGGTTCTGGTGGTGCTCTTGGCTTTGAGAATGGTAGAAAGCTGGATACCCATGGCCACCGAATTGCGAGTGCTGCTGCGGTTGCTGCGCCTGACGAAAGCCACCCTGCTGACTCTGTCCCTGGAAGCCATAGAAGTGACTCGGTGGAAGCGCCGACGTTGCTCTTGAACCAGCACCATGAAGCCACATTGCAGAATTGTCACCCTGAAAGGAATACCCAAAGTAACTTGTGACTAATGTCCCATTCTTTTCAGATTATATAGCTACTACTTTCATTAAATCCATCATTGATTGTTTTTTAATAGTATATGTGTAAGAAATGTTTCTATATTATTCTATAAACTTGGTCAAACTTGAAAAGGTTTGACGTAGAACAAACCCAAAGTAACTTGTAATATGAAATGGAGGGAGTATGATTTTTGAAAAAGCATATTCTATACAGAATTTTCTTAGAAAATACAAATAAATCCATTTTTCAAATTTGTAATAATAAATGGAGTACTTAATTAATTATATGATAATTAAGTGTTTTTTCCGGTAAGCCAAGCACTCATCCAAAACCTTCGAACCGAGCCGTGCCTATCAGAATTATTATATAGCATATAAATTACCAAAGAAACACAAGGGCTGCTTGCAATTGTTACCTGCTGGAGGGCCATATATTGGCTGGGATCTTTGTATGGCGTGCTCAATGCTTCGTCAAACCCAAGATTTGTTGATGCAGAGGCAGCATTCTGATTAAGAGTGAAATTTCCAGGAAGATTACTAGAGCTTCCAAATCCTCCATAACCAGAGATCACTGAAGAAGGTTGCTGTTGTAAGCTTGTAGCCGATAGGTTGTTCTTGAATTGCGGCACATTCATATTGTACTTCATAGCTCCTGGTACAGCAGCAGCAGCAGACTGATGGAATGGTCCATTACTCGAGTATGCTTGCTGGAAGGCAGCTGATGGTAGGTAAGCAGCAGGGTAGTTCTGTGCCAAATACGGATAACCAATCATATTCGCAAAAGGCGCCAGTGGTACAGTAGGCTGAGAGTAAGGGTGGACTAATTGCTGAGGGAGAGGAGGCCCCGTTGCTATACTAGTACTTGGAAGATTTTGGGTAGATTGAGCGTTGGAGAAAACTCCTGGCTTCAGAGTCTGAAACAAATATGTACATGTGTGTGAAGAAAATTAGAGAACTAGAGATTACTTGTTGCTGAATGATTAACTGTATATGCACACAAAATAAAAAATTCCAACACCATCACACCCTTGTAAATTCATCTTTCAAATAAAGAAAGGATGTGGAGCCTTTTTCTTCCTAAAGTTATACTTCTATGAAATATGAATCCAGAGAAAACACCATGAGAAAGTGAACCAGCGTAGTTAAATTACCTCTTGCATGGAGATTGCTGGTCCAGTAGTAGTTGGTGCAGCTGAGTTATATTTTGTCATTGATTGTGCTGCTAGCAAAGGTGATAAACTGAAGTCCAAGTCCCGAAGAGGTGCAATGTTTGACCCCAATAGGCTGTTGTGTAATGAATTTGCTTGCTGGGGAATAAACGAGTTCAATAAGAATTATGCAGGAGCACAATTAGCTGACTTGAATAACATGCATATGCAGAAGACAGAAAAACTGGTATCCAGAAAGACCAGCTCCCAATGTTATTCTGGACATTCCAGAATGAAGCAATGATTTACATCTGTGGTCAATATCTTGAGACAAGAGTTATGAGCAAAAGAATGGGTCTATATGGCACCTTTTTATTTGGCTCTTTTCCAATCAAGGTAAAACTAGTTATCTTACTGTATGTAGCAAGATCATAGTTTGGCTAAAGCTACTTAGTACTGTTAGCAATTCAGCATGAATGATGAAAAGTGAAGATTATAGGAAAAAGAAAACAATTTACCAGTAAGTTTGAAAGATGGGAAAGAGTGTGCGCCTGGTTGTTTCCTTGTGAGGACTCCATTGTACTTGGCTGTGTAGTGTTTGCATATGCAGCACTTGAATCAGATGGTAGGTTATATTGAAGACCGGAATGATCAAGCACTTCCTGTCTCAGGACATCAGGCTGTGAAACAGAAGGTACATCAATGTTCTCCATGTTAGTTCCTATGATAGTATCAAGGTTCTCATTTCCTGACGAATTAACTGCGGCACTATCATAATAGTCTTGATCTCTGCAAGATTAAAAAAATGGCATTCCAGTCATGTCACAAGCAATATGTGGAGTGAAATAAAGACGGCAGGAACAAACTTAATTAACCTTGAATCAATTTGATCTAGAGGTACAGATTCCTCTATAACAGGCAACTCCACATTGTTATCATCAGCGCTCCTTGATGGAACAGGGAGAAGCCCAGAAAATGCTCCAGATTCAAAACTGCCAAAGCTCAAAGTGACACAGTCTGAGCCGGTAACTTGCAGGTGATCAGGAATTATAACTGCAGGGTTATCTTCAGCTAATTTTGTTGGAACTAACTCTTCATTATGTAGGCTTAGACCCTGGAAGTTTTCAGTGGCTAACGCTACATCAGAATTGGAGCCCTCAACTGCAAGAATAGTAAAAAGAAATCAGTATTCACATGCAGGTCATGCACAGCCAAAGCCAGAATGCAACAGCGTCCAGGAAAAGAACAAGCAACCAGAAAGGAACATATGCTGTAAAACCTATTCACAATAAACTGCATGACCTGTTGTTGCCTTACAGAACTTTTAATACTGGATAACACGACAGTCTAAAGTTCATTATTCATCAAGAAAGTAACAGCATGACATCAGAAATCTGAAGACTGGTATTCTACTACTAAAAAGATGCAGGAACCATCATATATCAATTTTGTTCAGTAAAGTTGATTACTTGCCAGTTGCAACAACTGCCTCCCTAAACCCTATCATAACAGAGATGCATTCAACATACCCAGATTAACATAGGAATTGATAACGTCAATTACAGGGTGTAAGTTGCATCTCACACCTACGCAAGTATCAATGGCATTCTGGAAGGAATACCAAAAGTATTTACTAATAAATTGTCTGCTGCCTTTTCCAATGCTAACGAATGCAATAAGCTCATAACACCAAAGATCCAGGTTATTCCAGCAGGACAGAATATGGAGATGCTAAAGTTAAGCAAATTCATAAACTCATATCTACACTCACCTTCATCTTCTGCATGAGAATTCTTCTGAGGCAGATAGGTACTCGATTCTTGCAACAGTCCATCATCATATTCAGAATCGCCTCCATGATGTTCCAAGTGTCTCTCGGAAGAAAATGCAGCTGATCTGTTCTCATCCAAATGAGAATTTTCATGGGGGTTAATCACACCAGCAACCAGTGTAGATGACTGTAGCGATGACTCATATAATGATTGGTCACCGGATGTCTCAGGCAAGGCTGATTGATTTCCTGGTGGTGGCTCGTCCTGTGGAAGCCAATCATTATCATATGCCTGCTTGTTGACAGCTGCTGAGTGGTTGTGATCCTTGGGATGAATAGAATCTTGAGCAGAATGTAACCCCTGGTCAGGATTTGTTGGTGAAACTGTGCTAGCAGATTGTTTCAAATTCTGGTTTACAGTACTGGGCAAAGATGGGTATTGTCCAGTATATCCTTTGTCTGCAGTAACCGCAGGCTTGCTAGAGGACTGCTTTACCTGAGGCCTGCCCATTTTCACAATATCGGCCATTGACAACTGACCTGGTGTCCCAGACCAACCGTGCTGAAACCCAGATGATGATTGTGCAGGTACCGACGGTCCATCAGCAACCACACTTTTGTTTACCAAGGAACTACAGCAGATAAAAAAGAGCATGAATTCCCCAGAGTGAAATAAGAAGGCGTTATGAAATCATCAACGCATCAGATAAAATTTGTAGTATGCATTAACTTTCATGTGGGATGCATCATCCAAGTTCATCCATATTCCATATGGTTCATTTGAATCTAACACAACATTACAAACGATAGTCTCAGATAACAATTATATGTAACTATATGAACTATTGAGTCATAGTCATCTAACAAGAGAATTGTTTGTAAAAAAACCTATGCTGTTTGCATGAAATTTTACACATAACAGCAGAATTAACAATAATGCAAAAGGATCATATCAAATGCAAACAGATAAAGGCTCCAGAGAAAAGACAACTAGAAAAATGGTATGCCTTCTAAAAAGGCAGACCTGCTGTACAAGCCCTTCTTAAAATATATGCAACAAAAGGGAAGCTCTCTTACCTTGGAATTGTTTGCTTCTGAGTGGAATTGGTTGATGTCATACCAGGCCCTGAGATTGACCTTGAAGCCACATTGTCTGAATATTGAAATGAACAAAAAAAAAATGTGAAAAGAAATTACAACCAATGATAACCTTGAAGATACTGATGGTGGTTTTTCCTATTACCAATGGAGCTAGAGTGAAAAGAACTGTTTCGCCCGCCTCGATCTGCACCGCCTCTTACACCTCGACTGGCAGCATTACTTGCCGCTCGAGATCTTGGCTCAGGAATCTCTTTAACCTATGAAAGTGCCCATGACTATAATGGTAAGTTCATCAAGGCTAGAGAATTTTCAAAATAACCAAAACTCCAAAAGATTAGTTCCATATGCTTAATTTAGACGCAGGGGAATCAGACAAAAACTAATTGTTACATGAATAAAATGTTTTCTTTATGCTATTGATGATGAAAATAAATATAGGGCAACCGAATCAAAGCTGAGTGCTGGTCAAAAAATAAGGCGAGCAATGCAAGATGTGGGGCACACCTCTTTTTTCTTATCGCGCTTGCTCTTTACCTCTTGAAAAGTATCTGAAAAAAGCGGTACATAAGATATCAATTTTAACATAACTGCAAGAGCAACTGAAATAAATATAACTGATTTATCTTGGGGTGCATTGTCAGATCACAGTTTAAACTGACTAAAAATAACTGGATGATATGATCAACAAAGGCATACAAAAAATAATGTTGAACAAAAATAAAATTGGCATGACAATATGAGAAGAAATTTAGAAAAGGTTGACAAAACAACCTAACACTTGCCTCCTCGAACATTCATTAAGTATGTGTGCAGAAAATAAGATATTCAATATGTGGTAACAGTACAGCATATAAACTCTGAACAAGAAAGTAGTCATAAAACCCAAATGACACCTCTATGCCATTTCAGGAAGCTGTATTATGACTTTCACATGCTACACAGATGAGGTATATTAAGGTGGCAATTCCCACTCCTGGCTCATCCATCATCCCTCATAAACTTAGCAGCAATAGATTACCAAGGAGTCAAGGGGAGTAGGAGACTAACAATGTTCAGGAAAGTTATAACACAAATACACAATGCCTCTTGTAACATGTTGTAAAAGTCAAACCAAGAAAAATGCCATGGAAAAATCATAGATGGAATAGATAGGCTACCAACTATGTCTGACAGTTAATCTTTCTTCAACTTCCCAGATCAAAGAAAATGCATGGAGTTTCAATTAATAAAAAGCCTCCTTGCAAAGAGAAGAGCCCAAGACTAATGCCACAAATCACTGCAAGCTCAGAAACTTATCCTACAGAAATAAAGCCACGAGTTCAAATGGCACACTACGATATAAATAAGCTAAAGGTGGACCTGAGTTTCTTGCTTACTACCACTATATGACCAATGAAATTCAGTAAATATCATCTAATAGCCCCTTTCATCATATACATATGATAGTTACACTTCCCCCCATGTCCATATGTTATTATTGTCAACACATCCTAAAAACTGATGATGGAATGTTTCTATAGAACAATCAGAGATGCACACATTCTTCTTTATAAATTATGAAAAGATATGACACAGGAAAGAGCGACAAGAGCAAAAACGAAGGCACTAAAACACCTATCGAACTGTCCCCGAGAATGAACACAAAACTCAACCACCACCCTGCAGAAACAGCAAGTCCTAATTTCACAAGTATTGTAATGCAAATAGCCATTTTGGAAGCAACAGTAATGTGTTCCCACTTTTCAAACATAGCCAATATGAGAAGCCAGAGGGTCCATCTCCTTTCCCAATCTAAAGATTCCACTCTTTTCAAGCCTGGTAACTAAAATTACCACAACCATCTCTTTTCCAATCCAACAACTAACTTTAGCATGGTGTATTTACCTAGACAGGTCAGTAAATTGATCCAAACAGCAAATCTCAAGTAATGAACTCGTTCCACTCCTTCTATCCTACATAATCCTACCAAAGATATAGCTGTTTCTTTCAAAGTTCAGAAAAAAGTTCAGTATTCATCTGTTTGACTTTCCTCCCAAAAATCTCAACTCCTTCCTACAACCGAAAGACAAGAAACAAAAGGAGATCGATTCCTATAAATAACAAGCAGGATCGACCTAACCCCTGCTCCAGAATAGGAAAACGCTAGCCACTGTTAACATTTAGCAGGAACCCTAAACAGAAACCCTACAAATGTACAACGGATTCAACGAACCCCAAAGGGCCAAATCTATCAAATGCTACAATCATAAACGGATAAATCATGACAAATCGGCAGGACTCTCATGAAGAAAAAATAATAGGCGCATCCTTCCCACTCATCCCATCCGTGGTGCGCACGCTCAGAGCGCGGCAAGTAACGAATAGCCCCAATCGGAAAGAGGGGCACGCGGTTGTAAGAATCTTCTAGAACCCTAACGGCGACGAGAACTCGAGGCGCGGGCGCATCAGGGAAGAATCCGCGAGGGGGCATCGAAACAAGCGCGAAATCGCGGGGTGGGAGAGGGCGCGCGAGAGAGAGAGGGGGCGGAGACCTTGGGAGAGGAGGCGGCTGACCGCCTCGTCGGGGTCCATGCCGCAATCGCGCAGCGCCGCGTAGATCTCCGCCTCCGGGCGGTTCACGATCTCCTTCAGGCTCTGCACCAGCTTCCTCGACGCCGCCGGGACGGGGCCCGCCGCCGCGCCCCCCTTCCCTCCTCCTCCTCCTCCCCCCGCGCCGCCGCCGGTCATCCTCGCCGCCGGAGAGATCCCCCCCGCCTCCTCCTCCTCCTCCTCCTCCTCCTCCTCCCCACACTCCGCGCGCGGGAAACCCCTAGGGACCTTGGGGGCGAGTGGTGCGGCGCGGCGCGGCGGAGGCGAAGGCGGCGGCGGCGGCTAGTTTCGGTTTCGGCTGCTTCCACTTTGCTCTCCCACGCAACGGCGGCTTCTAATTCCAAAACCCTTCCTCCCCTCCCTCCGCTGCGCCGAGCTTTATATAGCTGGGGTTGGATGGATGGATGGATGGATTGTGGAGGAGGAATAAATAGTGGGGGCTTTACTTTTTCCTTCCGTGTTTAGCAGTAACTTACACAAAAACTGAAATTTGCCTTGATAAGGTCACCTCCAAATCTGCAAATTTACTCATGGACTCTGTATTAATATGTATTTTCGGATAACTTCTATTTTTTGAATTATATATTTATAAAAAAAATGTAAACTATAATAACGTATTAAGAAATAAGCTTGTTGATTTTTTATGGGTATAAATGGTATCTATGCCCATCATATTGTTTGTTATAGAAACCAAGTGTGGTAAGGAAGTAGGTTGCGGTCCTGTTCAGACACCTGGGTTACGGCTGCGTTGTAGCCCGCAGCCACCCAGAATAGTGCCATGTGTACAAGATAGCTAGAGGCTGCAACAGCTGTAGCCGCATGACCGATTGCCGGACAGACCCAACATTTGTAGCCTCGTGAATAAAAAAAACTAAATCAAGACAATAAGTGTTAAAATCTGAAGAGAAAAAAAAACTTAATCAGTGCTACCCCTAAATTGATCGAGCTATGCAAGATTCTATTTTGATACGTCATTCGTATTTGAGTTGGTTTTTAAGTTCGTTCGCTTTTGGAAATACATATTCATATTTGAGTCGAATTTTAAGTTTGTTTGCTTCTAGAAATAAAAAAAAGTCGTATAAGAAATCTCTTTAAAAGAACTCGCATGCTAACTTGAGATGAAAGTCGAACTCCTAATTGCAGCTCATGATTTTCTAAAAAAAAAAATCCAAGCGAATTCCTACAGTGAATTTTATCCTAACTAAACCGTATAACAATAATAAGATTTTAAAAAAATTAGTTGTTGTAAAAATTGAAGATGTTTTCACCGATATTTTGGTACGTCGTCTGTACGTATTTGAGTCGGTTTCTAAGTTCATCCATTTTTTGAAATACATAAGGAGTTGTATAAGAAATCATTTAAAAAATACTCGCATGCTAACTCGGGATGAGAGACAGACTCCTAATTGCTTTATAATTCTTGACAGGGCATAAGAAAGCAAGCATACAGCATATGGCCATCATCTTAATAAGAGTTCCAAATTAGACATAAGTACTATCAAAATTAAAAAAAAACATATACTTTTACTAATATCAAAATAGTCTTCATCCGTTGCAATGCACAAGTGTTTTTTCATAGTTTAACTAAAAAAAGCAAACTATAATGTATTAAGAAATAAATTTGTTGATTTTCATGAGTATAAATGGCATCTATGTCCACCATATTGTTTATTATAGAAACCAAGTGCGGTGAGTAACTAGGTAGCGTACCTGTTCAAACGCCTGGGTTACGGTTACGTTGTAGCCTGCAGCCACCCAGAATAGTGCCATGTGCACAAGACAGCTAGAGGCTGCAACAGCCGTAGCCACATGACCGATTGCCGAACATACCAACATTTGTAGCCTTGTGGATAAAAAAACTAAATCAAACCAGGAAGTATTAAAATCCGGAAAAATATTAATCAGTGCTACCCCTAAATTGATCAGGCTATGCAAGATCCTATTTCTCGTATGATTAAAAAGAAATCCTGCATAACGATTTATATAAAATGATTTGCTAGATCTCAACTTCATATCGAATATGATGTTTTAACTTTATTACTTGATTTTTTTTAATTAAATGTGAGGTGAAATTTTAGTTCTTTTTCAAACCTAGAGATGCATTGGCTTTATAAAAAGGAGGAGATATAACATGAGTTCGCGAAGACAATGAAGTAAACTTGTTGTTGAGATACATTAGCACCGACTTATTGATGATACTAAACTGGACTGATGAGATCGATGATATGTGTTATCCTTATGTGCAAAGAAGCAACATCCTCTTGCTGCCGCCACCAAGGAGGCATGTTTTCTATATGGTCTTTGACTCATTCTGTGGCTTTTAGTTCTAGCATATACGTGAACACTGAGATATTATTGATGTCACTATTCATGAGAAAGAGAAGAGGACGTCGTTTTCATCTCCATTATTGGTTTATGAGAAAGAGGCATCTTGCGATTATAGTGTGTAAGAGGAATATATGGTACTATACTTCCATATCGTGCAATGAGATAGTAGTGTTTGTTTCGAATGGGCATATCTAGGGCTAGCTAGTGTTGCATCCTATGGTTCATGGATATGGTTCGACTAAGGCCACCCATGAAAAAAAAACCCCTTATAATGCAATGATTTTAGTTGGGCTTGCTAAAAGCTTTCAAAATTCTCCATGTTGACTACATGTCTTTAAAACTTAAACAAGGTGCTACTCCATGATATCGTGTTAGCGAGAAAATGTTTTCTCATGTAGTGTATAATATACCAGTAACAAGTTAAAGATTGTTGAATCCTTACATACTCCCTCAATTCTATAATTGTTGTTGTTTTCGATAACTACAAGGTTTTCAAAATATATATCAACTATATATTTTATTATTAACATTTAAAAAGTAATTATTGGATTTTATTAACGTATTTTAAAGTCTAATATGTACATCATTCTGCCGGTGTTTCCAAGACGACTATTTTAAAGTTTATAGTATTCAAAGTTTAAGTAAATTTCATAAAACTACATATACTTCAACCAAAACCACATGTATTTTTTTTATAACTTTTGGCCTTAAATATATATAGTTGTATGATATTTTTTTATGGGGGTTTTTATGATAAATTGACCTTAAATATGTAGCTTCGTGATAATTTAGTGCTAAATATGTTGTTCTACGATAGGTTTGTCAAAATATCCATAGTTTGGTGAAATTTACTCGTGAAGTTTGAATTGTTTGACCCCAACTTTATACAAAACATAAAGAATTAATTGTATGTGCAATCTCATTAATTACTCGCTGCAAAATTTAGAGAACCCTACAAATTGGCATGCCGTTTCAAGACCGGGAAAATCCCTGTCTGTATATTAATGAGCAGATTACAATCATCAATCACGTTGTAATTAATGCGTGCATAAAAAAAACACGGGTACACGTGATGACCCGTCTCGATGATCTACACGAGCCAGCAGTCTCTCCCTCTCATCTAGGCCCAGCCGGAAAAGACACGAATCGCACGGCCCTTGGTACGGTTTGGATTAAGTCTACTTTGCATCCCTCATTCATTATCTTGATCCAACCGTAAAATCGGATATAACACAGTTCCCATCTTTGAAAAACGGGTACAAATTATCTTCTTGGTGGTTTTGAAAGCAGTTTCTGTAGATGGAGCCCACATATTAACGAGGTATGATAAAAATGTTAGAAAGTGATAGACAAACAAACGATAAAAAACAATAGATTAATCGTATAAGACACTAGATTTAACGTGAAAACCCTCCCAAAACATGAGAGAAAAAACCACGGGCGCCAGCCAGCAAAATATATTCACTATATCAAGGGTGAGGTTACAACGCCGCACGGCGGCTTACAAGAGATATATATATGGTGGAACACTAAAAGGGATGACGATCGGTACCTCCGGCCCAAGCCTACCGGCGACAGGCCTCCGCCCCACATCTCCCTCCCTCTTGCTTCGAAGGCAGCAGCGGAGGCCCGCGCGCCGGATCTCGGCCCAGCGGGAAGCATACGGTCCGGCCCAATACAACCCGTTCGTGGCAACCCTATTCCAGCCCATCGCGCCCACCGCATCATGGGCCGAATGCAGCGTCGTTGCGTTACGGTTCAGCCCAAAAACCCCGCAGATTTCTTCGAGAAAAAGAGGGAAAATCCGAGAGAAATCACGAGAAGTTGCCGCTGGCGCTCGCCTCGCCTCCTCCTCCTCCTGCTGGCCTGTCCGCCACGTCGCCGTCGCCGTTACGCGATCATCTCATCTCGCCGAGTCATCAGCCGCGAGAAAAGCAAGCCCAGATCCAAAAACGAGACCCCCACCACCCTCGAACCCGGCGCGCACGCTTGCCCATCCGCCTCGGCCCCCGCGACGGGAAAGTGAGGCCTCTCGTGGGCCGTCGCCGCCCACCCGCCCGGACACGTGGACGGTCACGGTGGGCCGTGCCCACGGCTTCAATAACAGCAGCAGCTCACCTCGCCGTCCAGTTCGTCACTCACACGCGGAGACAAAAACACCTTCACAATTCGCGAAAGCTCAGCTGCTTCTGCTTCTTCTTCTTCTTTCGGATTCGAGAAGAGGATGTCCATCTCGCTGCGCCTCGCGGTCCCGACGGCGGCGCCGCCCGTGCTGCCGCCGCTGCGGCAGTCTGCGGTGCGGGCGGCGGGCTCCCCCGCCGCCGCCGCTCTGCGGACGGGCGCGCTCAGGTGAGGCGGCTATCTGTCCGGGTTAATGCGGTGGATTTGTTCGTACTGACGGTGTTGTGGTGATGGATGATGTGCAGGGGATGCGCCTCGCTGCCGCTGAAGCCGCAGCCGCTGCTGGGGGCGGGACAGGCGGCGAGCGGTCGCCGGGGTGGCGCCGCCGTGTGCCACTCGTCGGCGCACCTGAGCGCGCGGACGATGCAATGGGTCTCCGCCGGGGCCACCGCGTGAGTGCCTCTGTTTCTCATACTTTCGTCTAATGGTAGTGGAATAGTGGATAATGCGATGCGATTCATCCGCTGTACAGCATGGCGATTTTGGGGTTTGGCATCTGTTCGATCTTTTGCCCGTGAGAACTGTGAATGATTGTGCAAGTGTTAGTTCATGTGCTTCTAGCTGTCACTCGATAGGGACATGCGCAAACCTATCTTGATTTTGTTGTCTGACCGTGACGATGTTGATTGTTGAACCTTGAGGAAGGACAGGGCACAAACAGAGACATAATCTTGAAATGGACTATCAAATTAACACGTATAATCTCCCATGTAAAAAATAAGCTAAAAGAATATAGCCTCCCAAATTATGTATATATGTATGCAACTTGAGGATTGATAACCATTTTAAAATCAAGTTAGCACAAATACAATCTCATTATAATTGTCTACTGTTTAATTTTATCATTTAATACTTGGGATTGCGTGATAACTGCACTGTAAATTCCCAGTACGCTCTGATTATTATTTGATCATTTACCCCCTTTTTGTCTTTTCCAGAGTGCTATTGCTTGCTAAAGGCACAGCCATACACAAATCTTTCCTTGTGCCACTGTTTGCTCTGCTAGCACCTTGCAGTGTAATCTCATGGATCAAGTAAGGCATCGCTATTCCGTGCAAATAATTGTTTAATACCTATTATGTTCCTTCATTAACAACATCTAGTAAATGCTTGTTCGGTTTAAAACAAGGTACTCTCTTGAGTCCTACTTAATTCTTTGATCAACAAATGTAGGAGTGACTATGGTCAGTGGACTGCTTTTCTTGCTCTTTTGGTGCGTTTGTTCTTCTCCATTCCAGGTAGAGTAACAATAAAAAGTTCAATATTGTAAGGCTATTCATCATTAACATTTTCCTGCTGAAAACAACTTCAGTTGAAGTGCCCTCATTCAGCCTGAATTCAGATGTTTATGCTTTGTCATAGGTGAGCTGGAGCTTCCATTGTCAACTATGCTGCTCGTGAGTGTTGCTCCTTACCAGTTGATGAATCTGAGGTGTGGAACACTCTCCCTGTTCTGGAAATAATATCTGCAGCCTATACAAACAATTTCAAAAGGTTCAAAATGACATTTAACATAAGAAATTTTAGTCTTTGCCTGTAGCGCGGACAAAAGTAATAATTTATAGCAATCATATTACAGTATATGAATATCAGTATGAACATATGTATCATTTTTATCACTGTTGACAGGGAACTACTCCGTAAGATCTTACTTTTTTCAAAAGTTCTTGTGCTCATGCTCCAATTCCCATTTCCTGTGCACAGGGGAACTCAAGGTGGTGCAGCACTGTCTTTGGCATTGGCTGGGTACCTCGCTTTTCAGCACTTCACCAGGGTTGGGGGTTTAGGGAAAGCATTTGATCAGGGATCAATAATTGCAACCTTGGCCATCATCTGCATCACAGTTATCCCCTTGATGATGTTGTTCTGAGTCAGATTAAGCTGGCAAGCCGTTGTTCATTGTGGGCATTGCAGGAGCTAGTAGGGAGTACAGAAAAATAATAGCTTTGTAATGCAACACCCTGTCAGACTTTGTGGCCTTGATAAAAGTAATAATTTATGAGATGGCTACAGAAATGTTTACTGATGCTGATGTCTTCAGGGATTTGCTCATTTTCTCATTTCTTAATCTCTTTCGCAATCTTGCAAACAATTGATGCTTGTATGGCCTATATACAATTATACAAACTTATAAAGGCATGCCGAACCTTAAAAAAGAAAAGAAAATGGGCATGCCGATGGCCAATTTCTGCTTCTGGATTTATCATCCCCTGATGTAGTGGTGCTGTCTTTTTAAGTCTGTAATTACATAATCATGAATATAACTTGTTCATAGAATCCTCTTAATTTTTCAGCTGTTTTAACACAACTAATCGACGATGATATAGGGGCCCGGAGGTTAATCTTCCATTAACTAAACTGCGACGATTCTTGGTGCAATTTCCTCGTGCTGACTAACGTATCCTCTGAGGCCCATTTTAATTTTTAGTAGCATAGGAAATACGAAGAATTTGAATTTTACAGAAAACTTTGAAACAAAGGATCAGGACTATACGTACGAGGACCCTACGAAATTCATATGGAACTAGTAAGGTGCCCGTGCGTTGCAACGGGAAATGCTATATATCAATTTCAAATTATATTAAGTGAAAATATATTAAATAATTATTGAGTGAAAATTTGTTGAACACTGAAAAAAATCTGGCAATCCAAAAAAACTACAAATCATGATTCAGTCGACGATGTTTTATCAACTCCATGTTATGCTTGATGTCTTCAGCGTCTTTTTCCCCGTCTCACGCCAGTACCCAAAGAACGAAAGTCTGAACCGATTTCAGGACACATCCAATCAATTCGTTCGAATACATAATTCATGGCTTTTCAACGTTAATTAAAGCATCACATTCATATATCAGTACATGACATGGCAAACCACAAAGCCAAGGTTGCCATAATCTAAGCTACGATCAAATTACAGAAATCTTTGCATTTGCGAATAAATGCCCAAGAGAGAATAGATTAAATCGAATGCACTATTTCATACACGTTTGGTATTCACTTCCAAATATGAGAGTATGCACTAAACCTTAGGAGATATATGATTGCGTCCATATTCTAATACAGAAGTATATGATACTTGCTTCAGATAAAATCTGACAAGGAGAACAAAAGTTCAAACTCGTCATAAAAAAAATGTGTGCGTGTTGAGAAGTAAAATTATAAAGGTACCATTTTGCCATCGTTCGGAAGGAGCTGACTCTGTTATTGAATATCTGATCCTTTTTTTCATAAACTCACTAATACATATGAGCTAGCTTTGATTGATCATCATCAGCTAGAAGTGAAATTGTAAGTCAATAGTGAAGATAAATGATGGTTTTGAGAGAGAGAGAGAGAGGTGGGGTGGGGAAGGGGGATGAACTCACCAAAATATCCCAACTGCATACAACCATCAAGGATCACGCATTCATGTGTGATAGAGAGCTAGCTGAAGGGCTGGCACAGGCAACAGAATCAAGGCAGCAAGTGCCAAAATAATGGGACATGATCACATTCAACGACAAGAAATATATAGTATTTTCCAAGAATTGCCCATCCTCTGCTAGAAAAATTCCCATGTTGAGCTATTTTGATCTGAATCCAAAGAAACTATTAATCAAAAATGAAGGTGCAGATTTGCAGTTCACTGGGTACAAAAGTTAGATGCACCTCTTTAACATTTAGCAGATTGCTCTCAGCATATGACAACAGCTTCCCAGTCAATTGAGCTATTGTCCTTTAGACCCTCAAACAGCTCCTCCTTTTGTGTATATATGCCTTCATTATATATATATGTCTGAAAAAAACCAAACAAAAGGGAGAAATTTATGAACATCCCTGCTAGTTGGTTATTTTACAAGGCATTGAAAAAAATAAGAAAAAAATGATCTACTCCATAGTAATGACACCCTGAAACAAAACAGATAAAAACAAGAACACCAATAGCCGAGCACATGGGAAATCATAATAATTAAATTGACAACACAAAAAAGAAACTACCAAGACCACAGGCAGCAAGAATGACTTGGAGTGAAGAAAGCTGCTAACAACATAGGGCAGGCTCCCATCTGCCACCAGCCGGCTCAGATTGCACCAGCAGCAAGCATGTTGGAGTTTGCAGCAACAATCATGAAGCAGGATAGGCTTAGTTGGTGATCTTGGGGTTGGTGTGGTTGTTCATCTTGAGCTGAACAATACAACATAAAATGTTAGTCCTACTGCTAGGTATGAAAACTCAGCTCAAATTTTTAAGCAGGTATCAGATCTATCACAGCTGAGGGTTATTAATAGTAGAAAATGTAAGCAGTGTCAACTGTAGAGCAGATTTACAACATATTAATTCTTGGGCTAGCTTTAACATATGTTATGCAGATTTACAGAGATGAAGTTCACTAATTAATAACCTGCAAATTTTTGTATTTGTGCAATGGCCATCTATGAGAATTTCAGGATCGATATATCACGAACATTGCTTACATAATCTTCACTGCATCATTCCATTTTTTATTTTCATCCACTCTGAAACAATCAAGAACCAGATTAGTTTTGAGACTGCGAGATCCAAATTAGTTTGCTCCAACAGATCAATTGAATCTTTTTGCTTGGTAGCAACACTCTCAACTTCCCAGCACTTCATAGCATAAATAACAACAGAGAGAATCCTGCAATCATTAGTATAAATAACAACATAGGGGACATGACAATATGACATTCTCACTTACAGAGAAATCAATTTCTGGTAATACATTGGCTAAGCAGCATTTCGTTGAACATCTTATGGGCAAAAAAGAGCATTAGTGATCCTGCAATCTGTAATAACCCTCGGCACTCACAATGATGATTCTTGATAAATGAATGGATTGCAACGTAAAGAGAACGAACCAATTATCCACAGGGCGCGTAGAGTGCTGAAGGTCGGCGCATGCGTCCCTTCTCCGGCAGAAGCTAAGGAGGGATCGTGCTCCGATGGTATCCGGGGGCATGGAGCGCTGGAGGCGGGCACAGGTGTCACCTCTCCCATGGAGCGGGCGAGGCGGCTGGGAAGCAGATTGGCGAACCTCGCCCTTGGCGCCGACTTGGGCGAGGGGCGAGTGAGGGATCGGCGGCGGCATTGATCTGGGCAAGGACGAACAACCCCGCCGCACCTCGCACCGCATTCTCTCCCTCAGTGCCTGGTAGTGTCGCCGCGCGCAGCCGTCGTTGGAGTGAGGTCTTCAACATCTCCCCTCTGTCGACTGTTGTGGCGTCGATGCAGGGTCAGCGTTCGGTCCCCAATCGGCGGGGTGTCGGGCGGCGATGAGCGTGCGACCTTGAGAGGCGGAGGCGTGCGATGGCGATCTGCGGTGGATGGATGGAGGCGGGGGTGCGGCCGGCAGCGAGACGCGGCGGATGGATGGAGGCGGTGCTGACGGGGGAAGTGTTGGGGCGATGGGGCGGGAGGGACCGGGAGAGCAGGCGGCAGAGGAGGAATGGATCGGTGGTGCGACTGGCGGCGAGACGCGGCGGATGGATGGAGGCGGTGCCGGCGGGGGAGGAGCGCGATAGGAGGAGCGGCGATGTCGATCCGCGACGGCGGCGGCGTGGATTCAGGCGAGCAGGAGTGGCGGTTGGCGAAGGCGTGGTGGGGGCGCGGCGAAGGATGAGGGGAGCGGCGTCGACGGTTGGATAGTGAGCGCGATCTGGCCTGTGGGGGAGAGAAGTGATTCACGGAGGGGAGGAGCGCGTGCGATGGGATCCTCAGCACCATCCGATCTGCCAATCCCACGGTTAATAAGTCGCGTGTTTATCAGGTTGGAGTCATCTTCACCACTACAGAATTTTAAAGTAATAAGTAGCCTGAGTTTTAATCTCATGCAATCCTTTATTCAAGTATTTATCTCTTCTCTAATCCGTGTAATTTTCCATTTTGTCTATTTAAATAATCATTATTTTTTAATTTTCCTACGTCCTGTTGTAATTCTTTATTTCATGTTTCCATTTCAATTAAAATCATATAAACTGTATATCTTTTCCTAATCATGCATGTTCTCAATTGATTTTCGAAGAGGTTTTGATAGTATAAAAAAGAGTAAATTGTATTGATGGTACATAAACTTATTAGGTGGGTGTAATTTAGTATATGAACTTGCAAAATGCTTGTTTTTTACACGAACTTATCTAATCCGTGCGAAGTAGGTCCAAAATAGCATGGCAAGGTTAATTTTACCTAACTGATATTGATTAGGATATGGCGTACATACATATAGTTAGTATACATAAAACAAGCTATATTTATAATTTTGTTCTCTAGTTTATCTTGAATTTCATATGTTTCTAACCCTTTATAATTGCTCAGTTTTTTATATCTTTCTCTACAATCACCATGTCTCATTCTATATTTTTATTGAACAGGTGTATGTCTAAGTAGCAATCTTCTCATATATATATGTGTTTACGTAGTATCCTAATCAGCACCTAAATCAACAAAATTAGTCATGTAATATCCTTTTGACCTTAGCTCGCACGCGGAAGACAAGTTTATGTAAAAAAGAGCATTTTACAAGTTCATACACTAGATTGTACACACCTGACAAGTTCATGTTCCGCCGATGCAATTTACTCTATAAAAAAAAGCACGTACTCCTGTATTGGCCCTTCAATTTAGGGCCCGTTTAGTTCCCTAATTTTTTTTTCCAAAAACATCACATCGAATATTTAGACACATGCATGAAACATTAAATATAGATAAAAAAAACTAATCGCACAGTTATGGAGGAAATCGCGAGACGAATCTTTTAAGCCTAATTAGTCCGTGATTAGCCTTAAGTGCTACAGTAACCCACATATGCTAATGACGGCTTAATTAGTCTCAAAAGATTCGTCTCGCGGTTTCCAGGCGAGTTCTGAAATTAGTTTTTTTATTCGTGTCCGAAAACCTCTTCCGACATCCGGTCAAACGTTCGATGTGACACCAAAAATTTCCTTTTCCTCAACTAAACACACCCTTAGGGCACCCTTAATGATTATCTATAGGCTCTCTACAAGAGATCCATGTCAGCATATTTTCTTACTTGGAAGAGAAGAGCAAAGCTATCTACTAACCTGGAGATAGTCTATAGAGAAAAATAAGGCAATGGATTAGAGAGCTATAGATACCCATATAGACATACTATTAAGGTGGTTTACTATTAATCTAGTTTATTGCTGAGATATACATATTTTATAGAGAGTACCTTACTTTACCATTACGGGTGCTCTTACGGTAGATGCACGCCGTTGGCTGAGGTCAGATGAACAGAGGCCCCACAGGTTCCCCAGGTCCTCTCCCCCTCCTCCACGTGACGGTCGTCTTCTCCACGTGACACATGCGCCCTGCGCCCTTTGCGGCGATTGGCTCCCCATCATTTTGCCTCTTCGATCCATTCCCTCTCCTCCTCCTCCCCTCCACCTCCACGCGCTCCTCCCCACCTCGTCTCGAACCCAGGTATCATCCAGAAATCCCCCCTTCCTTTGCTTGGATTGTTGTTTCGAGCGATTTGTTCTGCTCTTTGATTTTCCGTGCTCAATCTGATCCACATCTCCCCCCTCCCCCCTCCCCCCTCCAATCCAACCATTTCTCCGCGGACTCATTTGCTGTATGTATGGTTGAGTGCTTGCTAATAGGCAGTTTATTTGTGAAGAAATTTGGGGATTGAGCTGAATCAGCTGCATACAGCCATACAGCAATCAACACAGCAGATGGATTTAGAATCATGTATCAGCATGCCTGTGCCTGTGGTAGCTAGGCACGGGGCTAAATTGCTTTCAGCTTATCCATCTGCTGTATGACTCTCGTGCTGTGTTGATTCTCAAATCAATTTTACGCTATGGGCTGCCATAACATAAACATCTTCAGGGTGTGTTTTGATTTCAGATCAACAGGGGAAATTAAGAGTAGATCCTTTTTAGCATATCCACTTTAGATACCTTTTTACAAGGCAGTCTGCTTCTTTGGTTCATAAATTTTCTATGACTGTATTGAACAGTACTCTTATATTTCTTTTAGTGTTTTATAAGTGAGTACAGCTCTTAATTGCTGAACAGTTGCTATCTCAACCATTGTAATTTTGTAAATCTGCTTGGCGAGAACCTCATTGCATATTTATAGCTCAAAACTTGACTCTCAACTCACAAGTTACATAGTTGGTTAAAAAAACACACTAAAAACTCAGGGTTAAAGATTGATCTCAGGGCTCTTGTTTAGATCCTGTCCGTTGCCTTTTCTCTTTTCCATGTAAACAGACAATTTAAAAAAATGAAAGAAAAGAAGAAACTAATTCTTCATGGTGTAATGCTTTATAAATTGTGTCATCTACTCATGTGTGGTAGGTCAAAACATACTAACATTGAGTTATAACCGATTTCAGAATATGTTTATGCTCCACTTTTGTTTTTCCGAGTTAGTATGATAGATCATCGCACTTTTATTATTGTTCAATTCATTGATAACTCATGTAATGTCTTGGAAAACTTGTGTGCATCTATACCTTATCCAGGTTGATCTACTCTTGTCCAGTCATTTCTGCAGTTTGCCCCCAGTACCTCTTTGAGGACCAATATTGGTGCAAATAACATGTTGATAGTGCAAACATATTAATGATAAATTCAATTTTAGAACATATGCAAACAACTGTTAGAAAGTTATGTATGACCAGCACATTTGGTTTCTACATTATTTGTCCAAAAAGGATGGGTCAATTGCTGTACCTACCCTCCATTGATAATGCCAAAAATATTGCATATAAGCATTATAGTTATTCTTGATGCTTAGTTACTCAGGCATGTTCCTCGTACTTCTACATTATTATTTATTTTTTTCCATGATTTTATTTCACATTTCCTCTTCCATCGGTGTATGTCCTAGTTTTTATCCAAATGATTTTGGTAGCTTTGGGATATATCATGTCATAAGGATCTGAATTGGTGCAGCTTGTTGAAACATATACAGTATGTCGGGGAAGCCATCTGATGATACAACAGGTCAAGTGAGGCCCGAAGTAGATGGTTCCGATGAGAAAGTAGAAATTGCCAACCAGAATGAAAAAGAGGTGATGCCTTCACCTCAGGAAGAGGTACTGTGTTTTCTTAACATTTGTGATTTTAGTCCATTAGCACCTTATTTCATACTATAGTGGTTAACTGGGTATTTGCAGGAAGCAGCAATAAAGAAAAAGTATGGTGGAATAGTTCCCAGAAAGCCAGCGCTTATAGCCAAGGTAACCATCATTGCCTTGGAATCTGATTCACCCTCTTATACAGATACCATTGTACAACATCTATAATTCTATATATGAAACAGTTAGAGAAATTGATTTAATATTATCTCCATATCCATGTTATTTACTTATGCTGAAAATGTAAAATGTTTTTTCAGGATCATGAGCGAGCTTACTTTGATTCTGCTGATTGGGCTTTGGGGAAGGTATTGTCATCTTATTTCCAAAGTGAAAACTAACTTTCATGCGATGCTCTGGACAAGCAATGCGGTTCTCAATAAAATGTCATTCACCTGATCTCGGCTTCCTGCAGCAAGGAGGACACCCTCAAAAACCTAAAGGGCCGCTTGAAGCACTCCGACCAAAATTGCAGGTGCTAAAACTCGTTGCCTTTTTAGAATGTACTTACATTGTAGGATTGATACTTTCTTACGTTGGCGTGAAGTCAAACTGGATGATTAGGATATCTGGGAAATCTACCTAATGTTTATCCATGCTGTTGGTTCTTTTCGCTTAGTAACCATTGTACAGCACTGAATGGAGTAACTACTGTATATGTGATGCATTTGCTTTGCCCTTGTAATATATTTTCGCGATGCAGCTGATGTCTGTTTTCCACCATACATAGTTAGCTTAAGTTGACATGCATGGCTTACATATACCACATGCACTTGTTGGCTTACATGTTTCACAATCTTCTTCCAGCCTACTCAACAGCAAGCACGTTCGCGTCGATTTCTTCATGCTTCTGTTGACAACGAAGGTACGTTACATTATAATCCACCACAAAGGCAATTCTGAAGGTTCATTTTGCCATTTTCACAAGCATCGCTTGTGCCTTGCAGAGGGTCTTAATTCACCGACTGAAGATGCAAGCCAGAACCAGGAATCCAATGAGGTCAAGGACGATAAATGATTGCTTTTAACCGATTCCAAGTTTCACCACAAAACCACTGTACGCGGTTTAGATACGAGAATGACTATAACAAGTTGTCTTTTTTGTTCGGGATTTTGCCAGCTGCTATGCTCATGCCAATTTGTTACTTCGGTAATAAGTACTCCGTCGCCTGTAATGCTCGTGCCTCTGTGAGGTTTAGCTGAATTTTGGAAATCATTTTTGAATTTTGGGACATGGTATCATCCTTATATTGATGCTCCCTGTTTTGATGCATGTAACAATCTGAGACGGAATTGCAACAGGCGTTGTGTTGCACTGAATATCTGAGTAAACAAAAGGAAACTTGGAGAGTGATAACCTTTTGTGCTTTATAATGCAGTTATGCAGAATAGCCTATGACTATGAGACTGGAAAGTTAAAGAGACATTCTAATATGTGTTTTCCTACTTGCGTTGATTGTTAGTTGTTGTACTGTACTGAGCCGGCTGCTGTTCATTTATCTGAACTGTGGGGAATTACTCTCTTGATCCAGATGAAAGGTTTAACTTTGCTGTTAATGTGTTATTGATTCAGATCGATGTTTTGACTTGCCAACTCAAATTCATAGAAATTTTGACACTAACTCCCTATGAAGCATTCTGTATCTACCAGGATTTTAGGCTGGAAATTGCCATGTTCCAAACAAGGTCAAATGATTTGTACTTTTGAAACGCATCAAAGTCCAGGGTGAACAAGAGCTTCAGAACTAATCCTATATCTGATGTTTGTATTCAGAACCTCTAACATTTCCTTATATCCCTATGGTTTGTGTTCGACTCTTTTATCTCTTAGAGTAAATTTCACAAAACTACATATTTTATGGTTCAAGTTGTAGAAAACCACACATATTTTGATACTTGGCACTTAATTACATATATTTTGGTAGTTTAGTTTCACAAAACCACACTATCGATGAATGGATTCACTCGTGATATGACGACGTGGTTGTTTCATCTAGTATAAGGACGTGGCATCGTATTAATTTCGTGCGATGGCTGGTAATAGGATGCCATGTCCTCGTCCTAGGTGAAACAGCCACATCATCTTGTGGGTGAATCTATACATCGATAGTGTAGTTTTGTGAAACTACACGACCAAAATATATGTACTCAAGTGACAAGTGTCAAAGTGCGTGTGGTTTTCTACAACTTGGACCACAAAATATGTAATTTTGTGAAATTTACTCTATCTCTTATCATGTATATCTATACCTCTAACAAACCACCCTGTATCAAACCGGAGTTATAGGCTGGAAATTACCGTGTTCTAAACATGGCCAAGTGATGCTCGCAAACAAGTTAAGGCTGAATAAGAAACATTTCAGAACTAATCCATCGCAAAATTTGTACTAATCAAGTACTTCCACCATCCACAAATAAATATAGTTAGTACTATAAGTCTGAACATCATATGATTAGGATATATCACATCTCATTATATTATATGTTTGTTTATTTTGGAATGAAGAAAATGAATGGGTGATACCGAGACTCTTGAGTCCTGATGGGCTAAAAACCCAGAGGCTTACGTGTGGGCCACACAGAAGATATGTGGGCCGGGCTCCAAGTCGCTAAGTCGATGCCCCTTAAATATTAGGAAAAAAAAATCCTATTTCCAAACCCTAAATTCCCCACTCTTCCTCCCCTCTCCCTCCCCACCCAAACCCTCGCGCCGCCACCCCCAGCCTCCGCCCGGATCCAGACCGCCTCCGCCGCCGAGCACCATGGGCTTCGACGTCGGCGTCGTCGCCTTCAACCCGGAGGGCTGGGGCCCTCCCGACACCGCGCCGGCGCCGGCATCCCTTGGCGGTGGCGCCGCCGCGGCCTCCATCCCCTTCGCGCCCTTCTCCCGCTCGGACAAGCTGGGACGGATCGCCGACTGGACGCGCAACCCGGCGGGCCCCGCCGCCCTCGCCGCCGCCTCCCGCGACTCCGTCTTCGACTTCACCTCCGTCGACGACTCCCTCGCCGCCGCCGCGGAGGACTCCTCGTTCCGCCTCGTCGACGCCAAGCCGCCGCCGCGCCACCCGCGGTTCGGCCCCAAGTGGCGCTTCAACCAGCGTCCGCAGCTCCCGCAGCGCCGCGACGAGGAGGTGGAGGCGCGCCGCCGCGAGGCCGAGAAGGAGCGCGCCCGCCGCGAGCGCCACTTCCAGAACAACCGCTCCCACCACCACCCCGGCTTCCGCGGCAACCAGTCCTCGTCGGCCAAGTCCTCCGTCGACATCCAGCCCGACTGGACCATGCGTGAGCAGATCCCCTTCGCCAACTTTACCAAGCTCTCCTTCTCCGTCGCCGACCAGCCCGAGGACCTCCTCTTGTGCGGCGCCGTCGAGTACTACGACCGCGCCTTCGATCGCGTCAACCCCAAGGCCGCACGCCGCCTCGAGCGCTTCAAGTCTCGCAACTTCTTCAAGGTCACCACCACCGACGACCCTGTCATCCGCCGCCTGGCTGAGGAGGACAAGGCCACGGTGTTCGCCACCGACGCCATCCTCGCCGCGCTTATGTGCACACCCCGCAGCATCCACTCGTGGGACATCGTCGTGCAGCGCGTCGGCAACAAGCTCTTCTTTGACAAGCGTGATGGTTCCCAGCTCGATCTGCTATCTGTCAACGAGACCGCGCAGGAGCAGCTCCCAGAAAACAAGGATGATATCAACTCCGCGCACTCCCTGGCTGTCGAGGCTACCTACATCAACCAGAACTTCTCGCAGCAGGTGCTTCTTCGCGATGGTGAGAAGGTTACCTTTGATGAGCCTAACCCGTTTGCTTCTGAGGGCGAGGAGGCAGCATCTGTTGGCTACCGCTACCGCCGCTGGAAGCTGGATGATGAGATCAGCATTGTTGCTCGCTGTGAAGTGCATGCTGTGAATGCTGATCCAGGTGGTGGTCGTCAGTTCCTTACTCTCAATGCGCTCAATGAGTTTGATCCTAAGATTACTGGTGTTGACTGGAGGCAGAAGCTTGAGACACAGCGTGGGGCTGTGCTCGCTACAGAGCTCAAGAACAATGCCAACAAACTTGCTCGCTGGACTTGCCAGGCTTTGCTTGCTGGTGCTGACATGATGAAGTTGGGATATGTGTCACGTGTGCACCCCCGTGATCACTACAACCATGCCATACTCACTGTTATGGGATACAAGCCAAGGGATTTTGCTACACAGATCAACCTCAACACATCAAACATGTGGGGAATTGTCAAGTCGATCGTGGACATCTGCATGAAGTTTGAGGAGGGAAAGTATGTGCTTGTAAAAGATCCAGCGAAGCCACAAGTGAGGATCTATGAGGTGCCTTCTGATGCATTTGAGAATGACTATGTGGAAGAGCCACTTCCGGAGGAGGAACAGGTTCGGCCGCCATCAGATGATGTTGATGCTACCGCGGAGGAAATGGATGCAGCGGCAGAGGCTGAGGCGAACAATGCAGCAGCTTCTGCAGGTGGTGAGGGCGAGAAGAGCGCAGAAGCTGCTGCCGCTTGAAGGGCTCCTCTTCAGGTTGCCAGCTAGATCCTTTTTGGTTTAATTATCTGTTTTTATGGTTTACATTTAAGAGTTGAACTGCCTGTTATCGATACAGTGGTCTTGTTTGGTCGATGATAAAACTGTTCTGTTTTTCATCTTAAAGATGCTAAGTTGCCCGCTCAATGACTATGTTGGTACTCCTAGTTTGATATCACTTCTGGCTGTTTATTGACCATGTTACTATGTTTAAACCATTACATGTGCCTCATTGTTTCCTCAAATTACTTTTAGGGCTCATTCGGTTGTTTTTCATAGGATTATTGTAGGAATTGAATCCTTAGGATTTTTTCCTATATGCATCATTTGTTTCATAGGAATGGATCCTACCAAATTCCAAAGGATCGTGGTATTACAAGCTAATTCCGTAGGATTGTTAGCATGAGGTGAGATCTCTTGGAAAAATTCCCAAGGAATGTAGTGCATGTGACATCCTAATCCTTCACTTTTCCTATTCCTTTGATTTGGAAATCATATGAACTGAATAAGCCCTAGTCGTTAATAAGCTTGCATTTGATTATTTTATATGGCTTTAATACGTTTCTGCTGGTGCGGTGCTGCGAGCAAGTAGCAAGTGTGGTGAGAGCCATGATGCCCTTAATCCTGTTCTTTGTACCCCCGAAGTTTTTTGAACGAACTGTACCCCAAAGTTAGGATTGCAATATTTGCAACTGGGAGAAATGAAGCTTGGATTTTACTGCTACATGGCTTTTTGATACACCGCAGGCATATATAGCACACATGAGTAATCCAAGTTGATTGCTACTGAAGCTGTCGTTTATCTGTATTTCATTTCAAGCTGCTAGACTTAACAGAGCGTATCAGTCTTTGCCTTGTGTTTTGATTAGTGTCTTGGCTGCAAATGTTACAGATTTTAAGTATGCTTGTTTCATCTTCAGATTTTACCTTCCTTGAAGAGTTGAGACTGTTGGTTATGTTAATTTTTGTTTCTTACTCTTTGCATTAGTCTGAAGAATGAATTCAGTTCTGTAGTCATATACGCTTTCACAGTTCAATAAACTTATTGACAACCAGAACATATGCAACCATCTGTCATCTGTGGGCTGCGATTCTGCAAGCTCTCCCTAAACTGGCCTTTCCATTTGGACAAGTTTTCAGTCGTTGCATATCCTTTCTTGGGCTGCATTTCTCCCTGTGTTGCTAGCTTTGCTAGGCTTATTAGATGTGACTGTTGAGTCTGTGACACATTCAACACGCAGGATCACGCAGTCCATCCATTCCATCCCTTTCCCAACCAAGATGACCTACTGGCTACTAGCCGATCCTGTTTGCGTTTGTTTATGCCTTGCTCAACTTCTCTCTCGATCGTTGTCACCACGGCTGGTGAGAATCGGATCGTACGCACCCATCAACAACCTTGCAGTGCAGAACCCGTTTACTCGCGTCAGTTTCACAGCATTATTCTACTGCCTGCATAACGCTGTCAACCAATGCCGTTTCAAACCCATCATATTTATAATCCCATACGCATCATCATCGATAAGCCACCTGTTTGTTCCTGGGTTAATTTACGTGTCAGGGTTATCCGATACACACGCTCGCTGCATCACTGTCACGATGGCATTGTACTACCACTCGTCACGGCCAGCCTTGACTACTCTTACAATTATTGTACTTATTGCTTGTAAATTGGCATGATGTATGTATCCTTGGAGCCAAAGCGTGTCAAGCGTGGCTGAAATGCCCATTTCCTACGTGCACTCGAATGGATGGCCAAATCGCTATTACTACAGTATTATCCCAAGCATTAGCAAAACAGATTGGCCAGGAGGCAACCATGGCTGGTCCACTCAACTCAGACCAGGCATGATGGTACAAGGGAAAGTACCAACAAATAGCGTGCTATCGCACTAAGCACCGATACAGAAAGAAACCGCTGGAAATGGCCATATGCCTTGGATTTCAGTAGCAGTGAAGCACCAGCGTGGATTGTCTGCAGTCCTGCAGCTGCAGTAGCAGCCGCTGACATATGAGACCGGATCCACCTGTCAGTCACTGCTGCAGAGGATTTATATCCGTGAAGCACACATCTATGGAGAGAGAGAGACAAGGAATCTAAGAGGTTGCATCGCAGGAAAGGCAGCAGCAACTGGCTGCTATTATTCCCTCGTGGAGAGCCAAGGTAAGCTACACTAGTAGCCTAAAACGGAGGTTGTTGGTTCAGTAATCAGTAGAGTTCACACACTGCCTGCTGCACTCATCGAGCTCTCCTCTCTGTGGTCCTTCCTGTCCATACGTAGATACCTCACGTCGCATTCAAGAATAATTTGGATTCGAGTGCCCCCCAAGTGACCCGACCCCACGACGCTGACGCCAACGAAACAACCTCTTCTGCTGTTCTTCATCATGGAAAATTGCCTGGAGCCCTGGACCCTGAGCAAAACAAGGAAACGTGAAAAATCCTAGTAGTAGGAGTAGGTTCTCATCGGATAACTATTTGGACTAAAACTTTTCAGCCGAAGCACATCATCTCACTGATTAGGTTAAGTACTTTCAACCAAATATAGATAGTAGATCCTTCATCAAGCCATTTAAGCAAAGTAAGCTACTTTCTCCGTTTTACAATGTAAGTCATTCTAGCATTTTTCACATTTATATTGATGTTAATAAATCTAGATAGATATATACGTCTAGATTCATTAATATCAGTATTAATGTGGAAAATGCTAGAATAACTTTCACTGTTAAACAGATGGAGTAACCAATAAAATTGCTTTGGTTAAATTGGAAAAGAAAACTTTGACCGATCAATCCAAGCAAGTTACTTACCGATGAGGCCCATAGTAACTTTTTTTCAGGTTCGTCGGCGTGGTTTTCAGCCGGATTCGCCGATACGGGCGTGCACGGACAGCGGCGAGCCCGGATTCCGTAGCATGGGCAATTGGGATGGCATGGGATGGGACCTCATTTCCTTGTCCATGTCCGGGCTCCAAAAACGTGGCCATCCACCGGCGTGTTGCCGTGTCATGCACCGATCGTCCGGGACATGGACAGCCAGCAGATGGAGCGGCTGGGCTGCGGTTGGAGGGAGAAAAATCACGGGGAGATACTTTGGGTGGCTCAGGTTTGTGCGTACTCTCATGGACCCATCATTTCGTTTATTCGGGAAATAAGTAAAATGGTATATTTGTAAACGGAAGATAATTTATAAATAAAATTGTTATGTACGTGTTCTTATCTCGATATGTAAGCAAAGGCTAAAAAATAAACTTTAATAAAAAACTTTAAAATCACCTCTAAATTTAAGATCGAAAATTTAAATTTTAGCTGATAAGTACAAGCATAAGCAAAAACGAGGTCCTCGGTTTCGTGGTGCTGTCTGATAGTATGATGTAGTGTACAGGCAATCATGCATACTATACGCAGTTGAGCGTAGGCAAAGCGATTACTGTCGTGTAAGTGAGGAAACGTAGGGTGGCAAGAGAGGAGAGCCAGCCATTTCTTTTGGATAGAGGTAAGGAGTGGGCAAGGGAAAAAAGTTGACCAAAATAATAATGGCCGACCATTAATCACGCCTTAGCATAAATAAGCTACGAGTACTCTAGCTAGCCGCTGGTGATGGAGTGCGATAGCCTGAAAGGGACGCCGTTCTAGTGTAGTGCAGCTACGCTAGCTGCTCCCGCGCGCGTCGTCTCGTTCTTCTCGTGTTCCCGTCTCGTACGTTCCTCCTCAAAATCTCCAATTCTTTTAGCCGAGACCGAGAGAGGGTTAGCTCACGTGAAATCCACCCGCGAAAACGGCTCTCGCGTCCGCAAGCCGCGGTTGGTGGTCGCATCATCCCGTACTCGCTCGCGTCTGCTCCAAACCGATTGGTTTTCACGGTTTTTCGATGTTTTGATATGGCTTTGGAATTAATTTTTCGGTTGAAAAAAAATTTCAAATGCTTTTGGAAACTTCAAACGTTAAATAATAAATTTCGATCAAAACTCAATCGAAATCTGTTGAAAAGCCGTCAAAATCTATCGAAAACCGTGATACCGATCACGAGTTGAAATGCACGGAAGCACCGCGCGCGCGGCAGCGTGGATGAGCGCCGCGTACGCGTACGCGAACGCGAACAGAGTAGCAGAAATCGTCGAGCAGATCATATCCATCATCAGATCACATGTGGGCGGTGACGGAGGAGGGAATCACGGGCCACACGCGCACACGGCACAGGCAGGCTGTCATTTTGATTCGGGCGACGTAGCTAAGCCACCAGCCTCCTCCTCGGCATACGCTACGTACGTCGGTGCATGGCAGTATTATTGGCACCGATTTGATCACCGAAACGTGTGTACTCCCGAGAAAATATCTCTTCTTCTTCCTGCAGGTGAGGCGAGAGCGGTGGAGGAGTGCATTTTTCACGTTCACAATGTGGCGCTACTACTACTACTGATTGGCAACAACGACCACACAGCCAACGTACGCGTCATGCGTGTTCCACGCCGCCAATTCTTTACTCTTTCACACTTCACTGATCACTACTACTAGTAGTGTAGTTGCAGCTGCTGCTGCTGCTCTCAACGACTAATTAACAATCTATTACTATTATATATTGAATTATTGATCCAATTGATCTACACATCGATCTCAACTTTATATGGGAAAATATGTAGTGCAAACCATATATATAGTGAAAACTTGGAAACTACCATTAGATCGAGAAATGGATGTCCGATATTCGTCCACATCACCATGAGTTAAAATTTAACTCGGAGTGACTCTACGAGTTAAATTTTAACTCATGGTGACGTGGATAAATCTCGGACGTCCATTTCTTGATCCAACGGTAGTTTCTAAGTTTCCACTGTATATGTGGTTTGTACTACATATTTTCTCACTTTATATGGCCTCGTCTACTACTTGGATTATGTAATAGACGAGGCCATAGACGGCGTATTAATAGAGGAAAGGTGACTAGGCCGTCCATCAACCGATCCACACGTACCTCGTCCTATTAATTAGACGATCAAGACGCATACATATACTTGTTGACCGCGTTTGATTGGCGCCCCAAGATATCACATCCGGGTAACTGTTTACTCGGAAATTAAAACTAGATGTTTTGCCGTGTGTGGCTCGTGCTTGATTCGTTAGTACTAGCTAGCTTGCAAACATTGCATTGCATGATGCTATACTGTTTCTCTAATAGGGCGATCGCAAATTCACATGTTGTGCACGTATATTTCTCTATCGATCCAACGGCACGACATCGATGTAAATATTTCCTTTGGTTTTTAATAGATGGTCCAATTTACTTTTATACATTTAATTAGCCATTTATCCTATTAAAAAATAAAGTAATAATTATTTACTTTGTTGTGTTTTATCACTAGAGGTATTCTAAGCATGGCCTATATTTTTTATATTTACCAAAAAAAAATGAATGGTCACAATATGGTTGCCATCGAGTCAGATTCTAACTCATATTTTTGTTCAAGTTCAGAACCAAATACGGTTAGTACCGGATAACATGATACTCACCCCTCCTATATTTTTTCCTCCGTATTGAATTTGAGAACAGACATCTACATGTATCTCTAATTAATAAATATTACATTAGGAAGATAATTAGAGTATTAAAAACATAAATCATGGAGAAATATACAATATTACTTGTGAGCTCGTAAAATAGTGCTAACGAATCTTTTATCATGTTTATAGATGCATTTATAATATATTTCATATATATTTGATAATATGAGAGATACGGACGGATACAACTCTCTATATCCTCGGATAGAAGGATATTCTTATTTTTCTCTCCCATATCCTTCCCGCGAGAATCGGGTCTAATGGATGAAAATACCCATTCCATTTTGCCCCAAGTTCAAATATAGGAAGTAATTTAAAAAGGATATGGTACAATTTAGCTGTAGCAGGTGTGACAAAATTGCCGGCACAGCAATTTGGTGCCACCGACGACGCTTCTGATCCACCTTGGCGTATTCAACAGTGATATATATATATATATATATATATATATACTTATATATACTAGCTAGGGCACTCAACTGCTCAAGAAAAGAAAAGGAGGGAGAGTTGCCTTATATATTTATAGAGCAGATAACCGCTCAAGGTATATTGGTATATTGTAGTAGTGGACAAAGATATAATCAATATTAATTAACAACTTGGTCACAATTAATATATTCCATTTCCAAAATATGGTGATAAAGTACAATATACTTTTACTCCCTTTGTTCCATAATTCTTGACGTTTTGAATAATAATACGTTCTCCAAAATGTTAGGAAACGATAGACAAACAAACGATAAAAAACAATAGATCAATCACAGAAGACACGGGATTTAATGTGGAAAACCCTCCCAAAGTAGGAGAGAAAAACCACGGTCGTGAGCCAGCAAAATATATTCGCTATATCGAGATGAGGTTACAACACCGCATGGCGGCTTACAAGAGGTGTATATGTGTATATATATATATATATATATTGAGGTGAAACCCTAAAAGGTATTACGATCCTGCCCAGCCTCTGGCAGGGCCTCCACTTCGCTTCGGCAGAATCTAGCCTTTATTAAATGCAGATGAATTTGGATATCTTTGACTATGTTTTTCAATTACAATGTACACAATAAATAAAAACAATTTTACTTTTATTATAGTATTTTGTAAGACAAATCTATATATGTTGTTTTAGTGCCTTTAAACTAAATATTTTAAAAGATATTTATAATCAAAGTTATAAAAGTTTGATATTAACTTTATCCAAAACGTCGGGAATTATGAAACTGGAGGGATTACTACTAATCCTACTTGACGAGTGCATTCATCTACACATTGACAACGAATGTGGGTGACGAAAGAAAAACAGATTTTCTGCGTCACCATTTGTCATCAAAAGTCAAGTGAGACCCATCAAGGTAAATACCACCCTAAGCATTACTAATAGTATCCTAAGCATCCGACTCACAGCCCTCGTGGACTTGCTTGAAACAAACAAACATGTGAAACACAGAAACCTAAGTTATCCTTGGTTACATACATGTGAAAGAAAGATACAGACAAAATTATCTAAGTTATCCTGCAAAACTCACCACCGACTTCTGCAACTTCAACTACGATGCTACAGGTTGATTGCCCGGTGCATGAGCACCACTGGTTTCTTGCTTAAATATTACTGTTACCTAGGCTTGCAAGTTGCTTGAACAATATAGCAAGCAATGAAGCGTGTGTTGTGTGTGGACACAAATCAAATTAAATCTGCAGAGAGAGGGGAAGAAGCCAAGCAAAAGAAATTAAAGGCAGAGAGATTAGTTTTGGCAGCGTGTGACACATCTCGGTTAGTTGGGGGATCGGTCTCGCGGTTCGGCGCCAACGGAACGCGCCACCTACTCCACCGCGCTGACGAAGCCATCGCTGACAAAATACGTCCTGTGCTCGAGTCACCCTTTAGATTTAACAAAAAAAATGATCAATTTCCATCAGTTTTGTTTCAGAAAATAATGCTACTGTCCCATATGATTCTTTTCCCCGGATACTACTACAGAGAATCAAGATTATTCTTGTTGGAACCTGCTCTATCTGTCTCAATATAAATTAATCTTTTGTGCCAGATCTAGATGTGACTTTGGGTCTAAATTCACCGTACATCCTCACATCCCGTACAAAATTGATTTATTTTGGGACGAAGAGAGTATTTCGTTGTGGTGACATGTATTTGCAGACATTATTGCTAATATACGTCCTTTTCATAATCATTCTAGATATAAATCAGTGTGATTGAAATCTTGATCATTTTGGTTCTCCGTAACTTCTAGAATCCTATTCGAACCGATGCTTCTTGTCTTCTTGACCACAATACTCCCTCCGTGCAATTCGTACACACAATTTCACATTATGTTGCCTATACAATATTAGGTTGGATCAACCCAATATCGAAATGTTAGCATTTGCCATTTAGTTTATCTTAATAGACACTTCGATCCATCTTCACATACAAAAAAACACACAATCCCATATTAAGATTTCTATACAACAAACGCTATTCTAGTCACACCAACAATATCCGAATATCACACGAGAAAATCCCAAATTTATTCGTCACGGAAGACGCTTGGATCCTTCTTCACACGCAAAGCCACCAAGGCGGCAGCAGCAGCAGCAACCATTTTCACATGGATACCGAAAATACCCCTACAAATACCCCTAGGTCCACCTCGACTCAACTGTCATGGAAGGGCAAGACCGTCCATTCCCCCAAAAAGGCCACGTCACCCACCGTGGATGGTAGAGCTGCTTGGTTTTTAACACACCACCACCACCACCACCACCACCGCACCGCTACACTACTCGGCTCGGCTGCTTCTTCTTCTCCTTCTCCTCATCCTCCACATCGCTGCGGATTCGAGCGGCGAGGCTTGGATTTTCTCCCGGCGAGATCTCCCCGGCGGCCGTCTCGCGATGCCTGAGGCAAATGCGGGTGGGCGGGCGGCGCCGGCGGCGGAGCAGCGGAGCAAGGTGGGTGGTGGCCGTGGGAGAACACTAAAGATTTCGCTGCTGCTTCGTTTTGTTTCTCTGGGTTCTTGGGGTTCGTCGCCGTGTTCATCTGAACTTGGATAGGCTGGACGAATTGGTGTTTTTTTTTGTTTTTTTTGGGGGATTGTGGGTTCTGATCCGAAGAAGTTTGGTGTCCTGCTCCTGCGCGTGAGCGTAAACGGCGTCAGGAAATTGCTCCCGGATTTGGAGCGGATTCTTGCCTTGTAGGAAGATCCTATCCTATCATATCCTATCCTACCTGAGCTTTGCGAGCGTTTCCTGAAATCTTTCCTGTGCATCTGCAAGAAGCCATTTATCTCTTTCCTTAAAACGTAGTCTCCTACTACAAGGCTGATTGACTTGTATAAACGCTACTATTAGCCCGTAATAACACGGTAATTCTTGTTTGGTTCAAAATCTTGGGGTAATGGGTAAGTTTATCCTAATCCAAGCAAGCTGTATTTTCTTTCCGGGATATAGCACTGTAGATATCTTTGCCCACTTAAAAAAAAGGAGGTATATTTTTACTTATAGGTTTGAGCCAAAGGTGTATCTTTTCCAGACTGATCATTAGACTTGTCAAGAATTAGGGCGATCATTAGTTCACCACAGCGGGAGCCGGGAGTAGAGGTCAGGTCAGTTTTTGTTTGGTCAGGCTGCAGTGTATCTGTATGTTTCTGTAATCCGGTTCTGTGAATTACTTGTTGCAGACCTTCAGTCTGTGGTTTCCAGTCGTCGAGCATAGACTAGGCAAAGGTTACTGTTTCATTGGTTTTTGTTTTTGCCTTTTTGGTTGTGATGTCTTTGGTGCAAGGAGTATTATTAGGAGTTCAATTGCAAGCTGTATGTAATTGGTTAACTTTTTTTTTTTGGCAAAGCTTCTTAGTATCCCGATAATGCGAAACCCTTGGTTTTGTGATTAGTTGTGTTGCAGCTGCTTAGCTCTTGGGGAAGATGTAACTCAGTGAATTTGTGCTTTGTTCCAATTCACATGCCATTGCCTAAATTATGTAATTGTTCTTGGATGCCATTGTGTTTTGAGACAGAGTGCTGAATTTTCAATCTTGAATTTTGTCCAGAACACAACAGAGATGGATTTCTTCAGTGAATATGGTGACTCCAGCCGATACAAAATTCAAGAAATCGTTGGTAAAGGAAGTTATGGAGTTGTTTGTTCAGCTATTGACCAACATACCGGTGACAAAGTAGCAATCAAGAAAATACACAATATCTTTGAGCATCTATCTGATGCTGCTAGGATCCTCCGTGAGATCAAACTTCTCCGGCTTTTACGGCATCCTGATATTGTCGAGATCAAACATATAATGTTACCTCCATCTAGAAGGGACTTCAAAGATATTTATGTTGTCTTCGAACTGATGGATACAGACCTCCACCAGGTTATTAAGGCTAATGATGACTTAACGAAGGAACATCATCAGTTCTTTCTGTATCAAATGCTTCGAGCATTGAAATATATCCATACTGGTAAGCATATTATGAAATCTTACCTACCCTCTGAAAGTTCTTCTATCATGGTATCACATTGGAGCTTCTCTGAGTTAGGATTATGAGCAATTCTAAGTAGTGCATTTGCACAAAAAGTTACAGTTTTCTATTAAGCAATGCGATAGTCTTAGTCTTATTGTCCTGTGCATTCTTGAAGTAGCAGTCGAAATTTTCCTAGTGCCATTTCTTCTGTCTTGTCTGTATGGTGTTAACCATGATTCTATTGATTTCCCAAGATAGCTGTGAGGTTCAGATTATATAGAGCTCTTCTCTTTGTATTGAAATTTCTTTGACATAAGTGCCAATTGCCAAAAATGTGCTCTCAATTCAATAGCTATCAAGTCGTGTTCAGTTCAGAAAGTCTTCTGTTGTATGAATCCTGTTCAAATTCTGTCTTTGGATCTGCTAGCTGCAGTAACTAAATTTATTATATCTCAATTGAGCATTGAGTATTTATCTATGTTCTGATGAGAAGTCTTTGTGGGTGCAGCTAATGTTTATCATCGTGATTTAAAGCCCAAAAATATATTAGCAAATGCTAACTGTAAGCTCAAGATATGTGATTTTGGACTAGCAAGAGTTGCATTTAATGACACTCCTACAACAGTTTTCTGGACGGTATGTTATTTTCAACACTAAGTTCTCTATGGAAAACTAGATGCCATGTCGTGTTCCATACCAAAGAATTTGTCATGCAACATAAGTCTCACTGTCTGCTTCACCATGCAACAGGACTACGTTGCAACTAGATGGTACAGGGCTCCTGAGCTGTGTGGGTCTTTCTTTTCTAAGGTATAATCAAATTTCCCAACCTGTGGGTTGCTTTATCAGAGTATTATTTCGTGTGCTCTTCATTTTCATAGGGCTCTACAGCATAAGAAATTTTAGCAACATGTTCCAATTTCTTCTTCTTATCTATTGAAATTGACCTTGAGATGCCACACACATACACATAAAGAGCAATAAAATTAAGGACTGAGATTCTACATGGTTGGTGCGTAGGTCAGTGTCCTTCTTTGGTTATTATATGTCAGTTAGTTTTAGAGTAGTGTAGCAGCATATTAATAGCAGGCTGCTTGTTCAGGAACATATTTTTGACAAGCCAAAATACACTGCTTAATGTTGCAGGTACTCCTGTAAAATCTGCTGTAGTTGTTTTTTGTTATCCCTACCTTCATTTTTACCTCCATTCCTATGCTAAGTTGGTGATACTAAATTGATTCTTTTCTGCAGTATTCACCAGCTATAGATACATGGAGTATTGGTTGCATTTTTGCGGAGATTTTGACTGGAAAACCTTTGTTCCCTGGTAAAAATGTGGTTCATCAATTGGACTTGATGACTGATCTCTTGGGTACACCATCAATGGATGCTATTTCAAGGGTATGACTTATTATTATTATCAGAAACATTGACATGTTTAATTCTCCAGCACAAATTATTCCAGGTCTGATTTTTCCATGTTTTGACTGCTTCAGATTCGGAATGACAAGGCAAGGAGGTATCTGAGCAGCATGAGGAGGAAGCAGCCAGTACCTTTTTCAGAAAAGTTCCCAAATGTAGATCCTTTGGCACTCAAGCTCTTACAAAGGCTTCTAGCATTTGATCCGAAGGATCGACCTACTGCAGAAGAGGCATGCAAGCTCTACTTGAATTAGATTAGTTTTCATGCTACTGTTTTGCATTGTCATCTGTGCTACTAAACATAGTTATATATGCCTACTTTAGATGTTATTCTAACAATCTATTTTGTGTATAATCAGGCGTTGGCTGATCCATATTTTAAAGGCCTTGCAAAAGTGGAGAGAGAACCATCATGCCAACCAATTTCAAAAATGGAGTTTGAGTTTGAGCGAAGAAAGGTTACCAAAGATGATATCAAGGAACTTATATTCCGTGAGATATTAGAGTATCATCCTCAGCTTCTGAAGGATTACATGAATGGCTCCGAAAACACGAGCTTTCTATATCCAAGGTTTTTATCTTGACACATCTTATAAATTATTTCCCTGTTTATATGGTTATATTCACAACCTTTATTTTTGTTATGTAGTGCTGTTGATAATTTCCGGAGGCAATTTGCCATCTTAGAGGAAAACGGAGGAAAGAGTGGTGCACTAGATAGGAAGCATGTTTCTCTTCCAAGGTAACTTACATCGTTACAGTTCTTTCCAATGTGATCATAATTGCCAATTCAGTGATTTGTGCTGCCATCTATTGCATCTGTTAAAATTAATACACAAGGGAAGAAAAAATGTTTTACCATTAGTATTGGGTTATCTTGGCTGTCAGATCCTAGATATTGTGCTTGAACTTTGCAGCTGACCTTTGATCGGCTCTTTGCAGGGCTACAACAGTTCACTCTACATCAATTCCTCCAAATGAAGGCCTAGATGCAACATCCCAAGTTACTCAAAGGATCCCAACAGGTATCTGTTTATCTTTACCATTTGTGACTTAATCCAGTGTACATTTTAATTTTGAATTCAAAGAGCATTGATCTCATATATTTCATCTTTGTCACTCACAGCTAGACCAGGAAGAACGGTTGGTCCGGTATTACCATTCGAGAATCCAGGCGCCGCAGATCCGCACAGCGCACGGAGGGTGGTGAGGAATCCGATGGTTCCTCCAGCAGCTGCCAACAAGTCAGGATACAGCTACAACCTAAAGTCAGACTACTCTGATAGGCAACATCAGGAAGAGCTTGAGAAAGATCGTGTGCAGTACAGGCCTGCACAACACTTGATGGATGCTAAAGTTGCTCCAGATACAGCCCCGGACATACGGTCTTCACAATACTACTTTACGAGGAGTGCTCCCAGAACTGATCTAACAGACAGGGCTGCACTCCAGGGGAGCATGCTATACGGCATTGCTCCGTTCAACGGCATCGCAGCAGTTGCTGGTGGATACAGCAAGGTTGGTGCCGTTCAATATGGTGTTTCAAGGATGTACTAGAGTTTTAGTCAGGCAGTTGTGGAATTGCTCCATAGATGAGCAAGATGGGAATGCCGGAGCATGGCTTTGTGTTGTGCCCATCCACCCAGATATAAGGCTGGCAAGGGAATTGGTCGCATCTGGTCATGGATGCAGGCGAAGGTTGAAGAAAGGAGAAGGGAAACTCCTATTCCATCTCAGGCGGCCATTGTCCATTTGAAATGGCAGTGAGCTCGCGATGGTGAAAGAGGAAAAGAGGGAGAGAAAGTTCATGGTGGAATTTCTCGCACTTTATTTGTTGTGGAGAAAAGGAGAAAATGTGAATAACAGCACTAGGCTGGGCTTGTGTACATACCTGCAACCCTTGATTTTTTTTTCTTGTTTTCTTGCTAGAAGCTGTTGCTTCTTGTGTAAACCTGCAAAAGCATACTCCGAAAATGAATCATTCGCCAAAAAATTGAGACGGCGGATTATTTGGTAGAATGTTATGCTAGCTATCCAAAGTTTAATCTTGTTGAAATGAGGAAGCAAAATATGCTAGTGATATTTGAGCCTCCAGCCCAGTTAAACAAGCAAACAAAAGTCAATAGAAAGAGCAATTTATTTGATGTACCTTTGTTTCAGTTTCAGGCTTGGGCGCCTGGTTTCCTCTGCTCGCATCTCACGCAGGATCCATATTCTGACGGACAAATTGGATTGCAAAAATATCATTCGTTGAATTTTGATGTCCAAACTCCTAAGTGGATCAAGCCACAAATATTATTCACGACCCATATTCTAGCGGGCCATCTTTCTCTGTGGCATTTGCCGAAGAACATACAAGTAGGCCGCACATGAATGGGTCAACTGGTGTTAAATCTACCATCCAACACTTCTCAAAAACAAAACTACTACCTTGTGCTTACTGTATTTCTATGATACACCTTGTCAGGTAGAACCTATTGCTGGACAATCTCTATGACACACACCTTGTCAGGAGAGCAGTAGTTCAAGACACTAGTGACCTCTGCATGCAAGCGATGACAGTTCGTTGCCTCTGGTTGGACATCGACCCATTGGCCATCGACATGCTCGACGTGCACATGTTGCTCCTGCTGCGCAGAGAACCTGAGCTTAGTAACATCTCTGCACATCTTGTTTACGTGGTTCATGGAAAGAATCAGATCAAAATCATCTTCTGTTTCCTTGCTGCTCTTGCGAAGCATGAGGCCAGCATCCGCGCCAAAGGAGCTGACAGCCCCAAACAGCAACGGATGCCCAAGGTTTGGCTTATTGGATAAGCTGCATATCTGCCGTACAGGTAAGATACATTTCAGGTACCGGTTTATGAAGGAATAGAATCAAGAAATAACTTGGATAAAATAAAGAGGAAGAAGTGCAACCTTCCAGCTTGCATGGTCAAAACTCAAAAGAAAGAAGGATTTGAAACATTAGTATACTACACTCAGAGATGTGTTTCACAGTGCAGTGTCAAGGGGGTGTGTGGTTTTAACCCCCAACACGCTCACAATTTCTTCTTAAAAAAATGTTTGGAGAGACGTCTCCCTCCAAATCTCGTTTGTTTTATTAGTATACTACACTCATCACTGCCTCACTGGCAGTCTGGCATTTGGTAGACTATATGTTTTCAGGCAGCGGTAGTAACAAATGGTAAGCTACATAAAAAGGGTGTGCTTCAAGTTTCTAAAGAGGTAATCGAAATGAAAATGTAACAATTATATCATGGCTTTATATAACACAGTGTTCCTCTTCATTCTTGACTATTGTGTACGGAGTTCCCAGTTCATAATGAACAGAATTATTAGAAAAAACAAAGTAAATGACTGAATGCCAAATGAGTGCCAGGACAAGAAGGTGAACTGCACTGGATCTTACCTGTACATACTCCACACCCATTTCATTTAGAGTATCTAAAATTTTATTTGATGATAGCAAGCTGAAAATCACCCCAGTTCCTGCTGGCTTCTGTAGTATCTCCCATGGAGACTTCAACAGAATCTTCCTGCTGTTTAGCTTAGAGGACATACTGACAATCGGAAGTTTCATTTCTTCCAGAACCCATACCTGCAAATGGATTCCACAAAAAAATTGAAAAAACAAAAGGAGAATCGGTAATATCCAGATTCCAAGTTATAAATAAAGAAATAATCACTAAAAATATCAAAGAATCCATGATGAAACCATTTATTTTTCAGGAAAAAGAATAAGGCACTATTAGGATCTGCAAAGGGGGGAAAAGATACGCCAACTCTGGAGAAGGCAGGCATGAAAAAAAGTACGTGTACAACTGTATATTGCAAGTAAGCTTGTCCCCACCATAACGAATTCGAGGTTCTCCATACATTTTACAAATTGGAACACAAAACAACTATTTCTTTGTACTGAGTTGTGTTCAATGGGTGAAAAATAATAACAAGATTAAGTTTCAACTGATCTAATATAATATATAAAAAAAGAAACAACTAGTCATCTTGGCTGAAACTTCTTTCTACGCACTACACAAAACATAGAACCACGTGAGGACCATTTTAAGACAACATTTACCTTCTGAGTGTCTAAACCAAAATAGTCATTCTCTACCAAACAATTCTGAACTGACCCCACATGACCAGCAGGACAAACAATAACAAAAGGGATAGAGCCTCGGGTTTCTTCAACCTGTATCAAGCAAAAGATATATCAATTTTCTCCAAACATTCATAATGAAATAGAGTCTAAGGCTGTGTTCAGGAGGTGTTGGGAACCCCTCCTCCCCGGCACACAAAACGAAGCTCATATTATTGCATGATTAATTAAGTATTAACTTTTTTTTGAAAAATGGATTAATATGATTTTTTATAACAACTTTCATATAGAAAGTTTTTGCATAAATCACACCGTTTAGCAGTTTGAAAAGTGTGCGCGCGGAAAACGAGAGAGGTGGGTTAGGAAAATGGGAGAAGAACACAGCCTAAAGCTCTTAACAACAAAGCACATGAAGCAAACAAGCACAAACCAACCAGTCATAATTTTAATGTTTGTTGTAGCTAAATAGATTAGTACTATGAACGATGAGAGAGACTGAGACTAAATCGATCTTCAATCTCTCTCTCCTTATGGCAGCATGGCATATATAAATTTATTACTGGAACAATCAGAGAGAACATAAAACTGCAAATTGGGCATGCATATTTAGTTCCCATACAGAAAGAACTGCAATAAACAATCATGAAATGCATACCTTCATTAACTTATTAAAAGAATTAAGCAATCCCTGAAACTCAGCATCCAGGGTATCAGAGTCATTTGTAATAAGTATGGTGGCTGCTTTCGACTTCTGAATGATCCCAGCGCCTTCATTGAGTTCACTAGCGAAGTTCGCATTCTCTTCATGGTTCAAGAGGGTTTCGTAAGGTATTCTCATCAATTTTTTCCTCGATGAAGAGGATTTGACAAAGACATCTTTTGACAAGCTGCAAATAGTAACATGTTCGAAAAAAGGAAGCTAGATTAAGAACTAGAGGCAAATTACTGACATCTATTTAGTGAAAAATTGCAGCACAAGTCAGCTTCTCTTGAAAAGGATTTAGGCAGAACAGAAAAGGTTGTCAGAAGTCTGCACCTGCCAATTGGTCTGCTAACACTATGCATTGCATGTCGGAACAACTGAAAGTCAATGGACCCAATCTGTTCTGCAAGTGAAGCCTTCTGAACCTTGTCCCCAGATAGCAAACCTTCCAGAACATGACCCTGGTCCATTTCAGATAGTATCTTCTTTGCTGCAATTACACGACGCTGTAACCTCTTCTTTTCCTTCCATTCCTGTGATATTTCACATCTGGTCACGCTTTATTTGCAAAATATCAGGTGGTTCATATGATTGCATCGTTCTTGGTTAGCACCACAAGCAAGAGAGTTCAATGTGTTTACTGCATCTATTCATTAAAAAAAATGTGACATGTGCATTCAATATTTGCAAAAGCTGTGCAGCTGCTGAAATAAACGTTTGAGTTTTTTAGAACCTTTTATTTTCTGAAACAGGGGTGGCCCCCTTCTATAATGACGTGAAATTCTTTAGACCTGACATATTCTTTACTTTTATGTGCGAAAGAATGCTTTATACATGGAACATAACATGCAAGAAAAGGATGATGCAGACCTAACCATAGCACGCCTTTCTTTCTTTGATCTCTTATCAGAACGCGCGTTGAGCTCAAGAAGCCCCTTTGGAGGTGTAATCCACATTTCTCTACTCTCCATATCAATATCAGGTACAATATCCTCAGCAAATGGAATCCACACATGCTCACCAGATGGGGTGGAACCTTGATTTTCTGAATTTGGCTGAGAAACAGTATCCTCAGTGCCACCAACCATAACCTGTAGAAGATCACCAGCTCCAAAGTTGAAAACCTGACCAACTGTTCCAACAAGCTTGCCCGTGTCCTATGATGAAAACAGAGCAACTTTAACTAATTATCAAAACAACTTTAATTAATTATTAGAAATTGGATGAAGAACTGCCCAATGAGAAAACAAGCATCATTGCATCAATACTGTGTTCTTATGTCCATGCCAGTGCACATTTTGCCAGTGTTGTTTACTTTTAGTAGGTGGGAAAAAAACTTATTTAAGCTGGACAGAGCAATTGAAGAGTAAAAGTTCCTAGTTCCAGCATTAGGGAAAAAACCCCATATAAGGCAGCGTTTTTGTAAGATAGTTTTATTTTCAGGAATGCATACGCTCAATAATAAAAGAATGCCACAATTATTAGTCTGTTGGACATGGCACATTTATTGAGTATCCAAAGGCAGGGTCGAAGACAAACAGCCAGAGAGCCAGTAATGTATTACATGTACACGTCATCCAGCTACCACTATATTTCAGTTTTACTGCCTAGGCACCAAATAGTAGGATCATGCCTTTGCTAACGTTGTAGATTCATTTTGTTATTTAAACCAACAACTAAATCACGAACTTGAAAAGGAAAATATGTACCTTGACAATAACTCTCATGCCAACAAGATCAAGTGAATAGATTTCATCTTCCTCCATTTTTGGTCTATCCCCAACTTTCACAAGTATAGCTGAACCAACTATTTGCCTGGCCTGAAAATAGAGTAATAAACGAATTACACCAGAAGCTAGGTATATATGCCAACTTATAGTAAGCATTAGTTACACATTACATACTGAATGCTATTCATAAAAGGATTCTGATCTAGACACATGCCGACCATAATATACAATTCGTGTGCGCTAGGTTGAGCTGAACTAATCATGCAGTTATACTCAGTGATGGTGTGTAAACTTGATCTGCCAGAAGCCGACAATTGATGTTGTATGTATGGAACAAAATGTACAGCATAGATGAAACATTATATCAGTTCATTTCCAACGACCTATAAATATCTCAATGCAGCCGATAATTGTTGTTGTAAAGTTGTATGTGCGCATGTGCGGAGCAAAAATACAGCATGGATGAAACATCAACTTAGTTTGTTTCCGACGACCTACAAATACCCCAATGCACTTCTAAACTAGTATCAACTATAGCAAGCTGATTTAAGGCTACGAGTCCTAGAAATTAAGAGCAAATGACTGTATAGGAATGCAATCAAAGTAAAAAACCAGACCTCATCCACGGAATCGACCCCATCAAAGGTGACGATCCAACTCTTCTTCCCGGTATGAGCTCTTCCTCGAACAAGCTCAAATTCCTTTACCTGCTGCTTCCCAGCGGCACGGGCCCTCAGCCATCTCTTCCCCGGCTGTCAGCGTGGCATGATCGTGATGATCAAACAACCGAACAAAAAACAACGCCCGATTACATATTAGCTCCGAAATTGGGGAGCGGGATGATGGAGAACGAGGGATGGGTACCGTGGCAAAGCGGAGTTGGGGGAAGTCGGTGCGGGGCGACACGAGGACGTCGCCGCGAACCCCGTGCGCGCCGCTCACGTATCCCACCACCACTAGCTCTTCCTCCTCCTCGTCATCGTACTCCTCCTCCTCCTGCGCGTCGCCGAGGCTGGAGAGCAGCGCGGCGCCAAGACGGGCCGGCGCGAGCGCGAGGCGGCGCGGGGGGAGGTGGGTGTGTGGCGCGGGGAGGCCGCGACACGAGGAAGGGGAGAGCGGGAGGGAGAGGAAGAGGAGGGAGACCGGTGCCGAGGCGGAGGCGGAGGCAGTGGCGGGAGGCGCCATTCGCGGCGTGCGGGGAAGCTGCTGGGATTTGGCGCTGGGAGCGTGGAGAAGAGGAGAGCGAGCGAGAGGATAGGGGAGGGAGGAGGAGGGTTTTTTGGGTTTTAGGCTTTTAGCCATGGCCCGTGAGAGCTTCTTCATCGGCCCAGCCTTCTTGGAATCCTTGCGAGCCCAGTAATTTTGCAGGATTCCAATAATTTTGTAGGATCTTCAGAAAAAAAAAAGAGTTTTACAGATTTTGTGATTTTGTTTTTGAATTTTTTTTGTTTTAAAGGAAGCATGCTAGATACTACACTTGTCAAGTGCTAAGTTGTTACATGGAATAAAGTTGTACTAAGATGCAAAAGCAAATCAAATTGACTTCTTCTGTCCATGCAAATGTAAAATATATCATGCTTATGTCCGAATTGTAATCAAATTTGGTCGACATGTTTCTTGTGTTTGAAAAGAATGTGGTTTTGTTACATATTACGGAGCTTCAGAAATCAGAAGTAGGACAAGACAAATATTACTATGGAATTACTGAATTGTCAGCTAAGTTAAAGCCTCTGCAGTCTGCACCAAAGAAAGAACCATGGCTACTACCCATCAATACCAGCTGAAATTCCAGTCACTAGACAGGCAAAATTGATTGCTACCAAGGCCCTAACTTCTCACTGACAAATACATCCTTGTTTACTCCATTAACCGCAAATTAACACCAAGGAAGGAACAACAACAATGGGCCAAAAAACTCATGAATCCTGACTGATATTACTGATAGACAGAAAGTTTTCCTATCCAGTGCTAACCATAAGCAAATTTATTTATCAAGCAGCACAGATGATACCAGCTTGAGCAGGCAGCACAGAAGTCGAATACACATGACACATGTATAATGGATATATCTCCACCTCCACCGGATTCGGTGTTGGCTTCTCCGCCGGCGCCACAGCTTTTCCAGCGATGACCTCCTTCTCCGCCTTCAGGTCCATCATCTTCAACCTCCCTCTTCTTCATCTTCAAAGCTTGCCCGACTCATGGACTAGGATGAAGGGGTGTCAGATCAAGCAGGATGATATAATTTACTCCTGGACAACATCAATCCACTTATCCACATCCATATGATGTAGATAAATCAGAGGATGAACTTGGAAAGGAAATACTACCTCCGTTTTTTAATAGATGACGCCGTTGATTTTTTCGTACATGTTTGACAATTCGTCTTATTCAAAAAATTTACGTAATTATAATTTATTTTGTTATGAGTTGTTTTATCACTCATAGTACTTTAAGTGTGATTTATATCTTATACATTTGCATAAAATTTTTAAATAAGACGAATGGTCAAACATGTAAGAAAAAGTCAACGGCGTCATCTATTAAAAAACGGAGGGAGTATAATCTTTAGTCTCCTATGATTGAATTTGTTTGTACATAGGCTAGTTTAAGGTAGACGCTACGTACAGAACTGCAAGTACAAAAATTAACATTCCCACCAAAAGAATTCACAAAATCTTGGGAATCAAACTCGGTAAAAGAAGCAATGGGAAACTAGTTCGATGATGTACCACACAGGTATCCTGTTCAACTATGGGGAAAAAATTCTTTGTAAAATAAGCAAATGAGCAGTTTCTGATATTTGTCGCAACATCTAAGCAATTGATCTTGGACGGCCTAACATTTGGGCGATAATTGGTCGGACGTCATCTGCAACAGCAATGGCTTCCAGGAAGGGTATCAGCTCAACCAATGATTTGTCAGCCGGGTCGCTGGTCCAACTCTCTATAGGTATACCATTTTCCTCCTGTAGCCGGAAAACCTACAGCACATGTGACAGAAAAATATTCAGGCACCAGATGATATAGGACCCTTCCCGAACTCATAAATTCAGGTTTCAAACTCAAAGCCAAGATCCACTGAAGCAATTCAAAACCCTAAGCATTAGTATAGCCATAAAAATTGGACAAAATTAAAAGGCACCTTAAGATGGATTATCACGACGACTCACCTCTGGAGAATTGTCGATTATCACAACCTTTGCGAGATCAGCAACAATAACAGTCAGATCCTTAAGATAGCTACCATCTACAGGCAGGCATGAATCCCGGAAATAACGCTTGGTAAAAAATATGTTCTTGGGATCCAACATATCAAGCAGCCGATTTGCATAGGAGCTTAGGCTAGCTGTGAAGATAACAACCTTAAACATCTCAGACACCTTCTGAAGGAAGGTGTCGACATGTGGCCTCTTCTTCACGTACACAGTGTGCTCTTTTAAGCCATGGTACATAGGAAATGAAAAGTCAGCACCATCACGGTCAACCGCTGATGAGTGGATAAGAGTTTCTGTGCAGAAAGAAAACGAATATGACGTTAATCTCAAGTGCAAGGAAAGAAACACATGTGTAAAGGTCGTCATTCATTACTTACCATCAAGATCAAGAACAAGAGTGATGTTCTTTCTAGGTGTTGGTAAGAAACTGTCTGGATATATGTCAGGAAGATCAGCTAAATCAGGCAATGGACCAGTTAAATTCTGGTCAATCCAATGAGAGAAATGAACGCTATTATAGCACATGGTTGCAGTTGCCCCAAACGAGTTAGCTTCGTCGATGGCAATACTGCCTTCTTCAGTTTTCTCAATGGAAGGTAGTACTCCATATCTCCCACTCGTGATTGCTAGCTCATCAATGGGAATAAAATCATTTGAGGTGGCATTAGTCAGGACTCCAGCTGAAGTACCAACATTGAAAGGAACAGAATCCTCTGTCAGGGAATGGTTCAACGGATTGCAACTCTGAGTCAAGTCCCAGGTAGGATTTGTTGTTGTAGGAATGCCATGTCCATCTGAGAAACACACAATACCCAAAACCCGTATCTCCATTAGAAAAAAGTTATTTGACTTTGACCTTACCATGGAATTTAAATGCAATGGCAGATAAACAATTAATACTAAGTGATAAAAATAGGTAATAGTGTGTTTAAGTTGATAGATATATGGAGTAACAATTCCACAATCTTTCTTGCACTAACCCATGTCCAATAACATACTACCTAATGGGGCTGAGGATGGCGAAGCAACCATCAGATGAGGACAGGGATGGGAATGCAAAACCACATGCAAATTTCACATTTTGCAAGAAGGCTTTGGCATTGGCAATAAGTGAAAACCTAAATGCAGTCAAGGTTATTAGCATGCCCGTAGTAGCCTGATACAGGAATCCAGAATGGTCATCATTGTTGACAATGAAAACCCCTCAATTATGTTAGCTGCATCGATTGCAGTAAACCAGTGGCATATTAACACAGTAATAACTAAATCAATATTCCCATAAAAAATAGATTCTTGGAAGGAGCATTTTAATGGTCTGTTTCTAAACAGATTATTTAAATAGGTGTGTTCTACATACGCAAGCAGGTCAGTGTAGTCTTGTTCAGGGGAAAGGGTAACTCATAACTCCTTACCTTGATTGACATAATTTAGTGAATTTAACTGATGATCCTTCTCATAATATGGTGACGAAGTTCTTGATTCAGTTACCAAATCCTGCAAGTATATGCCACTTAGTTAGCACTAGAGGCGAGAATTCCTTCAATCTAGAGAAAAACAATTATCCTGATAGAGTGATGCAGTTACAACTTCAAAAGAAAACGGAAATAATATAACATGTACATATCTTTTTTGAGACGAATGCATAGTTCATGTTAACCAAAAGGAATGTTGGTACAGAGTACACTTAATAAAGTTGTCAAAATAAAAAAAAACAAATGTACAGTATCTGCAATTCTAAATGCTACATGATTTTTGGAAGCAAACCTATCATGTGCAATATTACAAAGGTTAAAAACTTTTATTTGTCTAAATTTGAGTAAGATCAACAGTTGTTAATCAAAGCATGAGACGTGCATTTAATCACCATCTTAGAATTTTGTCCCATCATTGGATTTGGCCAAACCAGTAGAACAGTGCAGCCTGTCTGGGTTTACCTGTTTTCTAGATTACATGTATTTATAGATTTCACGTAACCATCTTCTTTATCCTAGAGCTATGGCTAGAAGAAAGTGTAGACTGCAGTGGATGGGGGCATGGCAAACCAATGGTATTACCCCACTCTGCATTTTTTTTTCCTTTCACTTGTCAACTGGATCTCATGATCATCCTCATCTCATTGAAGGTAAACATGGTATGTGCATATGCATGTTTTTCAACAATCCCATACTGCATATATCATTATAACATAGATGATTTTCTACAAATGAGTTAGTCCCTCGGAGGGACTAATAATATTTTATGTTGTGAATACTAAGATTAATGCTCCCGACACCAAATATTGCTGACTAGAGGGAGTATAACTTTGCTAAGTCTTGATTGAAGCATTTTATTAATAATTTACTACATCAAGTGAACTAGATGGTGCACTTGACTAAAGGAAGTAGTCATTCTCACATGTTGTTCCGCAACTTGACTAAAGGAACCAAAGATAATCATAGATGGGCAAAAACATGGCAGATACATCAATAAATAAAAATGTGTTATCCAAGAACATTTCTTACTTCGGCAGTGATCTTACCAACGGGATTGAAAAAAGCAAATAAACTTTTTCTGATTCTTTTTGAATGACTTGATTTGTGTACATGAAATAGCCTCCATCAAATCAATAAAAGTTCAAAGGAATGCAAATAAGAACATAAATCAAGAGCAATTATTAAATAATAAATGTAGAATCAATAAATGCAACATATATCAATATCATATTAACATATGACTAAAGAAGTACAACATTTTCATGAAGAGAAAAAAAAGAGAGGAAGAAATAGCAGAACTGGTACCTTAAGCAAAGTAAAAGTTCCATCATCCATAAAATCAGCACCTTCCCCACTCTTATTATCCTGCCCGGCTATCTGAGTCCTTAGGTACACATCTGAAAAATAACAGCCACAGATTATAGATGCATTAAAGTGGAGTTTCTCTAATAACATAGTACACACAGGGCATTCAGAAACTGTTAGTTAAGTTTCTCACCATACTGCAGATCTCCACAAGGCAAAGAAAATCCGGTTGTTTGCTCATATTGATTGAACTCTCCAGTTTTAGCCAGCTCCAACTTATTGTTTTGTGAATGTACATTCTCTATGGTATTATCTAAATTAAAGGAGTCATAAAACTCACTCCCAATATCATCATCATTACAATTGTTCTTCATCATCAATGTTAGCATATTAATGAATGCTGCGGCAATATGAACTATAATACATACGCTGCAAATATTTGACAAAAGAATATTTTCATTACAAAGCAAACCGAGTCTAGAATAATATTCTAAAAACAAAATGAATACAAAATAGAACACAAATGAACGTGCCATCATCATTTCTTTGTGGATAAAATACACTTAAAAGCAACAAACCAGTACAAGTTTTCATGTAATGAAAAAATAAATGTGTAAACACAAATGGATAGGAGAAACCTAAAAACATCTTTCGGAGACAAACCATGCCAAGATTTAATCATTACTTGGTTCATCATAATCATACAATAAGGGCAAACAATCATGTATTCCTATTCCTGGAAAAAAAAAACAAAGTATCCTCGCCCACACAATCCATAACAGCATAGAAATCTATTTCAAATGGTAATAACAGTCTTTTTACACTTTGCTGGTGCTGATTTCAATTAGTATGTTTAGTTTCTACACAAAATATACTAACTCAGATTCAGTATTTAGACGTACAGCAAGTACAATTCAATATCATTTTTTTAAAAAAAAAGAGAGAAGAAAACCACAGTATTTAGACGTACAGCAAGTGCAAAATCATGAGAGCAGCGGGTAGACATCTAGCAATGCTAAGTTGCTACAGTAAAGCAAAGTTTTTTTTTTTTTGCTAACTCGGTAAAAGAGTAAAATTCCCCGAACTATCACTTATTGATTTTATTTTTAAAAAAAGAGGATCAACAATTTCGATGCAACATATCCGATATTTCGACTAAGCTACGAGAAACGGGGCATAGCCAAATCCTTAGTCCTATGATAAGTAAAAGAAACCAATGATTTAAACCACCGCCGCCCACAGAAAATCGCCCGCACTATAGACACGAAAACAAAAACTTAAATTTTTGAGAAAATCACGTGTTTGAAGTTCAAAACGTGCCGCACAAATTCAAAACGCGAGCAAAAAGGGGATAATCCGCGCGCAAATCGTATTCTTCGATCCCTGCTTCGCCGAAAATGGACGGAGCGCGGAACCCCGCGGAAGGCGCCCATTCGAATCCTCGAATCCACCCCCCAAACAACGCGAGGGCACCGAATCGCGCAAACGCCATCACGAACGATACCATCCAAGCAGAGACGACCAAAGAACTCGAAATTTAGCAACCCCGGAGTCGGGAGCGACAGGGCTCCGAGTTTTAATCTAAAACCCATTTCCTCCACGAATACAATCTACTACTCCCAACAACCAATCCCGAAGCAAAGCACACGAATCAAACCATTGCTAGAACTCGAACAGGTACTCGAAGGTCTCGCTTACCGGAGATAAACGCGGATGGATCGATACTTCTCTCTCTCTCCCCCCTCCCTCTCTCTCTCTCTCGTCGCGGCGAGGTGGAGAGAAGCGGAGTAGAGGAGGAGACACCAAGAGAGCGGAGGGAAGCAGCCTGGTTTTATTAATGGCAGTTCTAAGCAGAGCCCAATTCCACACCTACCCAACAATAACCTACCCTCTGACCCTACAACATCACTGACATCTGGGACCCACAACAATACTCAGTTTTCCGGACCCACATGCCATTGTCTAAGTGGTGTGGATTTTCAGGTTGAACCGTTTGCTTCCTTGCTGTAATTTTTTTCAGTTTTCCGCCATATGAGTTACCGGGGTCAACTTACCCAGGGTGACAGACAGGTGGGACCGGTAAGAATGCCGTGGGCCTGATGTGGACTAGCGTCCGACGTGTGAAAAATGATCGCGACGCCACGTGCCGGAATGCGGCGGGGGCTCCCTGGTCCCACATGTCAGTGGGGGAGCGCGTGTGTAAGCATGTGGGCCATGAGGAATTAAATGCTGACGTGGCTTCTCACCAGCCGTCAGCCCGTCGCTCACAGCCCATGGTTAAGAGGAGATGCGAGATCCGGGCGGCCCATACTTACATGGACCGGGATGGCACTGCGAGCTACGTAAGGACCATATTTGTGGGGAATAAGTTCATCTGAGGTCCCTATACTTGTCAACGAATTCGATTTTCGACCCTCAACCGAAAAACCAGACGCAACGGGTCCCTCAACTATCAAAACCAGTGCAGATTAGATCCCTCAGTGGTTTTTAGAGCGGTTTTGGCTGACTTGGCGCCTACGTAGTTAATTTGACTTGGTCTCCATCTGATGTGGCATTGACGTGGCGCTTACGTGGCAATTTGATATGGAAAAAAATAAACCTCATAGGACCCACATGTCAGTTTCATTTACAAATTAATAAAAAAATTGCGAAGCCCACGTGAACCCTACATGTCAGTCCAACTCATCCCTCTTCTTCCTCCTCTCTCCCCTCTCTTCATCACTCATCAGTTCATCTCTCTCCCCTCTCCTCTCTCACAATGGAGAGGCAGCGGCGCGCGGCGGCCGGCGGGAGAGGACAGAGGAGGGAGCGACGCGTGGCGGCGTAGGCACGGCTCCGGTGTGTCACGCCCCGAACTAGCCCCGAACGGAACTAGCCCGTGACGCTCCAAATTAACCTGTTAATCGATACCAGTCCCAGGAAACAATGCTAGTATCACAGAAAGACAGAATATCACAGCAACAGTGGTCTCTTTATTACAGAGTAGGAGTACAGTCATGTTGGGCTGTGGACAGATCCCGAGCTCACAACTGCATTACAAAAGAGAAAGCGGAAGCCAAGACTTAGACCAATCATCACAGGCGCGACTTGGGAACTAGGCCGAAACCCTAAAACTCATCGTAACCGACTTGCTCCTGGAAGAACTCATCAGCGGGATCCACATCATCTTCTTCAGCAACTGGGGGGGTTATTTATATAGAGCAAGGGTGAGTACAGGAGTACTCAGCAAGCCATGGGAATTTAAGTGTTTAATGCAGGCTTCAAGGAAAGACTGTTGTTTTTGCAATTAATTTTATTTAAACTCCTTTTTGAAACCACTAAGTGAGTGCTTCTCAAACGACACGGATGAGACAGTGCATCACGCCCGGTCGGAGTATGTGCAATATATCAGTCTTTGAATTGATTCAAGGTTGGCACCCAGCCAACAACTTTCAAACGGCCACACGGGCCTGACTGATCCCATCAGCCGCCGATTTTCCAAATATCGAACCCATTCCACAGCAGCAATTTCACAAAGCAGTAGTCAAACAAAACTACGCTAGGAATCACCTCACATCCGCCCATGACCGTGGGCACGGCTGTTCGAACAGTTTAATAACCTCTGCAGAGGGGGTACACTTTACCCACACGGCATTACTAACCCGGATCATCCAGCCCGTGCAGAACGGCCACGTCTAGAGACCTTAAGGCTTTCATGACAGGGCATTTTGAAAGCCGACACAGGTTCACCATATGCCAACGAGAGGGGTCCCAGACCAACACCAGATTAGGTCCCAGACCATACTGTGCCAGGAAACCCGGGGGTTCTCCCCGGCACCACCCCGTTGAATCCATATGTCTCTTGGCATCATGGTTCCCTCGATTAGCTAGTTACTCAGCCAGGGGTGTCCCATTCTACCCATGTGGTCGCACTTGTCTTATGCTCGGATGAAATTCCAAGGAAACGGTCCTTAAGTGCAAGAGCGGGAAACCGTACTCCCGGTACATTCTCCGGTCCGCGATTTTGGAAATTCATTTAGTTCGCAAGCACCGACCCAGGTGTCGGGTTTTCCAAGTCTTTTGTAAAACCCCAAGTTTTACCCATCGTTGGATGTTTTAAATTTGAGGGGAGGTGTTCCAATGCGCGTGCCCGAAGGCCCGTGCATCGAAGCACAACAGTCAACAAAGGAGGTCTAAGTGTTCAATAATTCAAGGAGGGTAATTGCAGCAATTAGGATGGGGGCCGACAGGCTATCTCGCAAGCCGCGGCCGAATTACTCGTGTTAATCCTATTCATGCAATATTTGCGGAAAAGAAATACTTAGATTTAAATTATAGGTGCAAGATGATCAAAGGTGACTTGCCTTGCTCGAGACCTTGAGCTTGATCCTCGAAATCCTCGCACTGCGGGTCTTCGGGCTCCGAAACTACACGCGAAACGGGACAACTCAACAAACGGCAAAAATAAAGCCCTATTATTGACCTCTAAGCGTGCTATTAGATAGATCTCGAGATTTGAGGAATTTTGGAAGTTGAACGGAGTCAAACGGACTTACGGTTGGGAAGATATTGAATTTCTAAGATTATTGGATTTTTTATCTAAAGGAAAAAGGATTTAATTAAACCCTTTTGAAAAAGAAAAGAAAGAGGGAGGAGGAACGGACTTCGCGGGCGGCTTGAGCGCGGCCCGAGAGGGGTTGGCACGGCTCGGCCTTGCCATTGGGCCGGCCGGCCTGAGGGGCGGCCCAAGGGGGCTCGCGGGGAGGGGAGGAGAGAGGGAGCCGGTGGGCCGGGTCCACCTTGTGTGGTCCCGGGTGGGACCTGCTTGTCGGCGGCTCGGCTCACCGTGAGCGAGGTGCACGCGGGGCGTGCTAGGGTTTGGGAAGGGGAGGCGCGGTGCACGCGCGGCTCGCGGTGGGCGCGGATGTGGCGGGCCCACACGCAGTCTCACGGCTCGCGGTGGACCGCACGCGCGAGCGGGGCCGAGGAGAGCGGCTGACCGGGGTCGGCTTGACCCGGTCGTGGCCGAGGTGGCGCCGACGTGGCGCCTTCGTGGCAGCCACGCGGGCCGGCGAGAGGTAGACGACTACGTCGGCCGGAACGGACGGCGGACGGCGGCTGCGAACGGCGGGCGAACCACGGCGATACAGGCGAAAGCGAGCACACCGGGTGGTTGTACGAGACGAGGGGAGACGAGTCAACGGCTCGGATTCGCCGGAGGGAGTTCGTCGGTGGAGGATTGCGGCGGCGGCCACTGGCGGCGAGAGAAGAGGGGAACGACGACGAACTAGAGCATCTACACGACCTCGGGATTGCATTCCTAGCACCGGATTGGGCGGAGCTACGCCGAGAGAAGCTGGCGACGAGCGGCGGTTTGCGGCGGCGAGCGGCAACGGCGGCGAGGCCGCGCCGGGCGGTGGGAAGGTCTTGTGCGGCGCCTGCGAGCTTCTAAGGGTACTACGAGTGCTACCACACAATCTAAGGGGAGGAAGAGGAGCGAAGAGGGAGAACGGAGGAGAGCTCTACCGAGACGAGACGGGGCGCTGTGACGAGAGGCTGACGGCACGGGAGTGATCTCTCCGGCCTCGGGCCGGGGAAGAGGAAGAAGACGAGCTCCCGGAGTCCCCTTCCGCATCCACGAACGCGCCGGCTCCTCCGGCATGCGTGGCAACGAAAGGCGGCGGCGAACAGAACACGGGAGGCGACGAGAATGGAGTGGAGGCGATGGGACAAACAAGAGGAGAAGGAAGGGAGGGCGCCTGGGCTTTATAGGATGGCAATGTCGGTTCGGAACCCGACCTTGGGTGGTCAAGGAGTGAGCTGGCGCTCCGACGCTTGCGGCCAAAATGGCGGCAGAGGGCATGACGCCGGCGGCAAGAGAAAAGGGAAAAAGAAGGGAAGAAAGGGGGGGCTTGCCCCTTGCTACTTTGGGAAAAGGAGGAGGGAGAGAGAGGACGACGGGGCAGTGGGAGGAGGGGCTCTGCCTCCATCCCTTGGAAGCTTACGCGGAGGTGGCGGGGCCGGGTCGTGATGACGGCGATGACGGCGGGGGCGGTGTGGAGCGGAACGGCGACACGGGCGGCAGGCGCGGGCAGGCGCGGTAGGCGCTGACGGCGGCGGCGACTAGGCGGTCGGCCACCACAGCGCGCGCGCGGGAAGCAACGGTGCACGGCGATTTGAGCGGCGGTGGTGGGAAGCGGCAACGAGAGCGAAGAGGGAGGGCGCTCGGCTCGGCGCGGCTCACGCGCACGCGCGCCCGGTGCACGGGCAGAGCGAGGGAGGGAGAGGGGGGGAGAGAGAGAGAGAGAGAAAGAGAAAGATGGGCCGAGAGGGAATCGGCCCACCAAACCCGAGGGAGGCAAATTAAACTTTTGCGGAGGAATTCGATTTGGGAAGGAATTGGATTCGGGATTTGAATTCGACGATGGATTGGGGATTTGAGATCTGGAATTGGCACGGAGACTGACTACAAGCAAAGAAACAATTTTCGCAATTAGGGTTTTTAGAATTTAAATTTTCCCGCTAGACGCCACGACGGAACGGACGCTACACGGTGGCTGTGGGCGGAAGAGGAAGGGACGGCGAGAGAGGTGGCCCTAGTCGTCGCGAACGCCTCCACCTCCGAATCCCTCGCGGCGCTCGATGCCCGCAAGGCCGCCGTCCCCGGCTCCCCACGCGCCTTGCCGAGGTCGAGGCGGCACTGTCCACGGCCGTTGTTGAGTCCCCGCCCGCCGACGTCCGGGGCGCGCTCTGGTGGATGTGCGACCGCATGGACGCCGCCGCGCTCTGGTGCTTCATGGTGGCGCTTTTCTGTCCATCCGGTGGTCCGGCCACTATGCCGGGC